ATGCATTTTAATGTGCTTGAAATAGACATTCCAATTGGTATTCGAAAGGCTTTAGTCTTTATTGCGTGGGCGGTGGACGGAAGCATAGTCAAAGTACTTACAATACGTTTGGTAAGTAAAATTTCTTTATATGTATGTATGTGTGTATGTCTTTCGACGAAACGGTCGTTTTTGGCGGTAAATTGACTTGCATGCATAGTTTTTTTTTTTACTTTGTCTCTTTTTAATTTTTGTTTATACATATGTATTGCTTTTCAATTTCTTTGTACAGCGGCAGACTTGTCTTGCCAAGGTAGTTGATAATATCTTTTAAAGACTCTTTCCAGGAAATACGATATTTCAAATTTAACTGCTTCTCAACAAACCCAGCTGATTGACAGTACGACCAAAGACCAATATAATCATGTTTATATTGGTCTTTGGTACGACCGTAGCACGCTTAGATCTGATGAACTCTCAAAATTTTGGACACACTGGAAAGACTAAAGTTTTTACGATAGCGTAATCGTTTGTCGATCTGGATACTAGGCTTTAATCTTATCCGCTAGGGTTCACCCAATGTTCATTTCCGCAGTCAGTTTTTATACCCTTGCAGAGGGTATTATAATTTCAGTCAAAAGTTTGCAACGCAGTGAAGGAGACATTTCCGACTCTATAAAGTATATATATTCTTGATCAGCATCACCAGGAGAGTCGATCTAGCCATGTCCGTCTGTCCGTCCGTCTGTCCGTCCGTCTGTCCGTCCGTCTGTCCGTCCGTCCGTTTCTACGCAAACTAGTCCCTCAGTTTTAAAGCTATCTGCTTGAAACTTTCCCAAAAGTTGTATTTCTATTGCAGGTAGTATATAAGTCGGAACGAGCCGGATCGGGCCACTATATCATATAGCTGCCATATAACTGAACGATCGGAAATGCCATAACTTTGATGTTTTTAAAGTTAGGAAGTTGGGATTTTCTATGGGTTTTATTTTTGGCCCATCAGTCTGACCTACCAAATTTCATAAGGATCGGCTGACTATATCCTATAGCCGCAATATAACTGATTGATCGGAAATGCCATAACTTTGGTGTTTGTTAAGTTAGGAAGTTGGGATTATCTATGGGTTTTATTTTTGGCCAATCAATCCGACCTGCCAAATTTCATAAGGATCGGCCGACTATATCCTATAACTGCCATATAACTGAACGATTGGAAATGACATAACTTTGGTGTTTTTAAAGTTAGGAAGTTGGGATTTTTTACGAGTATTAAGAATGCATCATATGAATAACCGATCCGGTTTTGAAGAATATAATTTACAGAATATTCTGCAAGGGTATATCAACTTCGGCTGCGCCCGAAGTTAGCTTTCTTTCTTGTTTTGAATTAATTCCATTTAATATACCCCATATTCTGGATATTGGCCACCTCAAGTTGTCAGCCATAAGGAGACACAACGTAAATAGAGACCTACTGACGCCATATATAACAAATTTCGCTACTGGTGAAGCAAATCGAACCATTCAGAGTATAGTTTATGAAATTGGTGTGATTTCGCTATAAATACAGTTGAACCATTTCTAATTTCATATTATGCATTATATTAAGCATAGAAGAAGAAGAGGTAAGTTGTTTTAAAATTTAATTGTAAATTCGAAAAAAATGTTTTCACTTTTTTCTATTGCAGTAACATAACTTTAGTGTCAGAAAAATATTTGTTAAATAGTTAATAGTGAATAGTAACAACGATGGATAAAGATATACGTATTTTAAAATAACAAATTATTATTAATTATTATTATTAATAAACTGAATTGACACCCAAATAAATAATAATTTGATTACCTTTAATTGAAAATTCAATGGAAATTCCATTACAATTCTTATTTTATTTTGTTTGCTTAAAAAACATTGTGGATTACAATTTGTAATTTGTAATTAAAAGATAGACACCAATAACCTAAATCAAATCAGTCTTACCTTGAACTTCACCAGCTCATGGCTGTTAGCCATGAGAACAGCCTTGAACTGAATACGCTCCAAGCTAAGACCCAGTTCAGTGGCCCTGACACTGACGACGCTCTAGTTTACTTCATGCCCGGCCTTTTTGGACGCTTGCCAAGTTGAGTCGGCGATGTGGAGAAGCCCCCTCCTCTGGAGAACCCCCAATCACCCGCCCCGTCCAACCCGAAACCAGACCCATTCCCCAATGGAGAGCCACTGGCCAGTCGACTGCCAGACCACGCTCTGACCAAACACAAATGGTATGCTTGGGGAACTTCGAGTGGATGTGATTTGCGCCGCTGCTGGCGATGACGACAATGCCGGGGCGTCGTCCACTTGTTGCTCGATCGTGCGCCCCTGTTACCGAAACTGGATTTTGGGGCCTGACTGACCGCACTATCGGTGCCGGGACGGACAAGCGAGGCGTTGACACTTGCCAATGCTCAATGTACCAATCAACCATCGAACCGCCGCGAACTGAACCGCACCACTGCACCACCGACCGCAGCAGCCACACCCACTCGGGTGGTTGACTGTGGTTAGTTACCGCTACGCGCCGACAATTAGCGAATAACCTTAACCTTAGCTTCCAAAAAAGCTCAAATCACAACCTGTGCTATGAGGCTCACAAAGTGCTTAGCTGGTGGCCGGGCCACCCGAAATACAGCGTCGAGGAAAACCGAGAGTTCATTTAACCCGCCACGCATCGAGTGAATATTGCCGCCTCCCCATTGAACCCCCCACCACCCCTCCACCCGATACCGAAAAACCGAACGCTCACAAAACACGGGGAACTTGTTTCGGCACATCTCAATGCCACTTGGAGATTATATGAGTTGCTTATGTCATCGACAGACGAGCAAAAACCCCCATGTATTCCCCTACCAACAGCCAGCAGTTTGCCAAAATTCGCTTTGACCTACTGATTGCCGAAAAAGTTTGCGAAATTCGCGAAATTCGCAAAATCCTTGAGTTTCAAGGTGCGTCCTTCACTTGGCAATGGGAACGGCCCCAAAATTACGGTCAAGGCGAGCGCTTCAACCAGCCGAAGGTTAATATTTGCAGGCGAGGCTAACGAGAACGAGAATGCCAGAAAGAGATCGAGTCGTGTGTCAGCAGAGGTCTCGTTCTCGCGGTGCGCTACAAGGCTTGGAGCATATTAATTCTTTTGCTATCATGGGCCAACCCTAGCTTTCTTATTTTCAAACATATTTATATTTTGTTTTTCAAAGCAATGCAACAAAAAATATAAGCAATGGGGGCGCCTCCAGTGAATCTCAAAAGGAATTTTAAATACTCATCAATTATGTATGTACAAATTTGCTAAGGCAATAAACATATGTATATTAGAGAAATTGTGTTCTTTGGCTGTTAATACTTATCTTACTTAATAGAAACAGTCTAAATATTACCAATCAACAAAGTTATTTACCGTTCTATTCTTGAGAAGGGTGCACTGAGTACGCCTACCCTTGCACGATTTTTGATACGTGGTACACACACACACACACGTTCACAATGAACAGGAATTCCGCCTCGCAACAAAGGCGGAGCGAATCAAGTGTGGCTCGTTGTTGTTGCTTCTGTTTTTGTTGCTTTTGGCTGTTTACCCGTGACTTTTTCGACTTGCCATGTTGTTTCTGTTGGCGATGTGATGTTGTTGTCGGCTGTGTTCTTGTCGTCATGTGTACGATATTTTCTGGCCGCCTAATGAAAATGTTGCTGTTTTTGTTTTTTGTTGTTGATATAATAAAACACCGTCGCCGCCCCCGCACCGTTTTGTTGTACAAACACTTAACTCAAACGTCAGGCCGCAGCCGCAAGAGCAGAACAGAAACGGCAGAAATCGCGCGAGGCGAAGCGTCGCGTCGCGACGCGTTTTTGCCGTCGCTGTCAGTCGTGAAGGTGGGTCATTGTGAAATGACAGCGCCGAACCAACCAGGCGCACAGAAGGCGCGAGCAGGATGGCCTCTTTCCGGTGCCAGAGCGAGACAACCCCAGGAGTCATGCCATTCAGGGGTGAATTGTAGCGTAGTGCCATCCCTGTCTGACGCCCGTCTTCGCGTGCTGGGCGCCGGTGCGCATTTTTGCGTCTGAAAGAAACAGGTCGAAGCCGGCCAAAACCCGCGGAAACGAAGATTAATGTGAATGTCGCTCGCTCGAGGCGAATGCCGAAATCTGCTTTCTTATTTGTTATGGGCTCCTGTACCTCGATGTCGGAAAATGTCGTGCAAGTGTTCGCTCGCACCCGCATTTGTCGCTGCAAGCGCCAGAAAGAGACGTTACATTTCGAATTTGACTTCTTCGTGCTGGTCGTACAGTAAAATGGTGAATTCGAATTGTGTCATTTTATGTAAAATGGAGAAACGTTTCGATTTTTACCCTTAAATATGTACATATCTGTGCCCCATTCTGGTGAAAATATGAATTTTATAGTTTATAGTTGGGTTCTTGGGTAAAATGCAGAAATATAAAGTTTACGTGGATGAGTTATAAAATAAATCTGTTGATCGATTTGGCGCATTGATAGAATAAAAATCTATTACATTATAGAAAAAAAGCTAAATAACAGACTAATAGTAATTTTAAAATCGAATTCATAGTTGTTTTAGAAATGTATCTTTAAATTACTTAAATAAAAATAAAGGCTTTAATAGCCTTTAAATACTTAGACTTAAAATTGTACAAAAAAAAACGTTTTATTTGGTGAAATATAATTTCAGATTGTATTAAACGCTGTGGAATTTTTAACTTATTTTTATTTTTGTTCAATCAATTTTATTTAATCAATTTGAATAATGGAATAACTATGAAGAGTCGTAAAATCTTACGGCTACCTTCTTTCCGCTGACGCAAACATTCGTAATTTGAGCGCCGCGAAAATGTCTTAAGTCTCAGATAAGACGCTGGGATTATCCCCCTGAGGCATGCACACGCACCCCAAGGTCAAACTTGCGCCTCTTAATCCGCCTTAATTAAATTCTTGGCCGGGCTATAAAAGCATTTTGACAGAACTTGGCCCAGGTCATAGGTGTCACAAGTCAACGGCCAGCATGTTGGGCCACAAAGGAATCTGAATTTTAGAGCGGATCAAGCAAAATGCACCTCAACGGCCCAAGTGGGCCGCAGGCCTATGTGAACGATAGCTCTGGAGATGGAGGAGTCTTCCCGATGGGACATGGATATCCGGTGGAGTACCAACACCTGGTCCACTCCCATTGGCGGGGGTTCAGAGAGGCACCCATCTACTATCACGCTGGATTCTACATTGCTTTTATAGTCCTTATGTTATCAAATCTATTCGGCAATGGATTGGTCGTCTGGATTTTTTCCACGTAAGTTGAAACTTTTAAATACATCGAATTAACAAAGTTTTAACATCGAAATGCTGACTTTTCGTAGATCAAAATCCTTGCGAACTCCATCCAACTTGCTGATCCTGAACCTGGCTATTTTCGATCTGTTCATGTGCACCAACATGCCCCATTATCTCCTCAACGCAACCGTGGGCTATCTAGTGGGAGGAGATCTGGGATGCGATATATACGCTTTGAACGGAGGCATCTCCGGGATGGGGGCTTCCATAACTAATGCCTTTATTGCATTCGATCGGTACAAGACAATATCAAACCCAATTGACGGACGATTGAGCTACGGACAGATTGTTCTTCTGATAATCTTCACCTGGTTTTGGGCCACGCCATTTTCAGTACTGCCCTTTTTTCAGATTTGGGGACGTTATCAGCCAGGTGAGTGGTAAATTCACATTGTTTTCCTTTTTCTTGCTTTTAGACTTTCGAGCTATTCTAATTAAATTTCAAACGGGTCTAGAACCATACTTTTTTATATTATCCTGGAATTGTCTAACGCATCTTATGATAAGTAATTTAAAATCAAGGAATAACATAAATTTTATTTTCAGAGGGCTTCCTGACCACCTGCTCCTTTGATTACCTGACCAACACGGACGATAACCGGCTGTTTGTGCGCACGATCTTCGTGTGGTCCTATGTGATTCCGATGTTAATGATCATGGTCTCCTACTACAAACTGTTCACCCACGTCCGCGTTCACGAGAAGATGCTGGCAGAGCAGGCCAAGAAGATGAACGTCAAGTCGCTGTCGGCCAATGCCAATGCGGATAGCATGAGCGTGGAACTGCGGATCGCCAAGGCGGCCCTGATCATCTGCATGCTGTTCATCCTGGCCTGGACCCCATACTCGGTGGTGGCGCTGATCGGATGCTTCGGGGAGCAGCAGCTCATCACGCCCTTCGTCTCGATGCTTCCGTGCCTGGCCTGCAAGTCGGTGTCCTGCCTGGATCCCTGGGTCTATGCCGCCAGCCATCCCAAGTATCGTCTGGAGTTGGAGCGCCGCATGCCGTGGCTAGGCATCCGCGAGAAACAGAACTCTGGAACATCTGGAGGGCAGGAGAGTGTGGCCAGTGTCAGCGGCGACACTTTGGCGCTCAGTGTGCAGAACTAATGGAACCCAATGGATTAAAGATGTGAAATAAAGCATGGAAGTGTAATTAGTTAATTAGTTATAAGGCGCAATGAACTGAAAGAGTTCCAAAAAATACAAACCAAAAAAAGTTGGCATTGAAAAATAATACATGGTATTTTTTTTTAACGAATAGTGCGGTGAGAAATGATTTCTTCTAATTTAAGTTTTTTAACATTCCTGTTACAAAATGAAAGAAAATGTTGAGGGAAAGCTTTTAAAGCGAGTTTCCTCTACGCAATTATCAATTCCAAACAAATTTATTATATTGTTACACATCTTTAAAGGTTTTCAAAAGCGTCAATAAATTTGGTTTATATGTACATTAAGGCGCTCGAAATTGTAAGGTCTTACCCGCTTATACTAAGCGCATTGGTGAATTAAAGGCATGCCGAAAGAAATTGGCCGAAAAAAATTCGTTTAAGGATCTGTGGATGAGCTTCCACGCTTATCACTCATACGTACTGTTGCCTTGGCCCAAAAATAATATATTCTAATTTACATTAAGTGTATGAGTGATCAATTTTTTAGGAAATGGAGAGCCCATTACGCAACTCCAAACTATTCAAATTAAATTGGTTGTCCATCAAATCCATTTATAAGTTTCATTTTTTGGCCCACCCAAATGTACAAGTGTATATTTGAACACGGAAATATTATTTCCAATCGATTTTTGCTAATTTCCTTCTACTACGGTACATTTAAAAACATTAAAATTTGCTACTTTTTGAGAAAAATAATAACCATTAATATGCTTGTAAAATACACTTTTTTAAAGTGTATAATAAATATATTTTATAGCTCGAAATAATTAATTGGTTTTCGATTTAAGAACATTTTAAAATTGAAATGCCTTTAAAAGAAAAGCCTGTTGTTTTCAGTTTGTAAACATTTAAAAAGATATTTCACATTTTTCCCTTTAATTGTGCTACTTTAAAAAAAACAAGAAGTAAAATGGTGTTGAACTATTAACTTCAACAATAACATATTATTTTATATACTTTTACAAGAAGTATTTTAGCAAGATAAACGCCAAAATGAACAAAATGAAATTTTCATTGTATTTGTTCAAGCACAGCACATGCAAATTTAATTTACATTTATTGTTACTGGCAGATTGAGTTCTTTATCCACACATCTAACTTGTTGTCTAGTTTTTTTATCCACAATATTAAAATGGAGTTCAGGGTTTCCCTAAGCCCCTCTTATCTCAAAAATTAGAGGCAAATCGAAAACAATTGGGTTTGACAGCATCAAAGAGCGCACACTCGAGAAACGGAATCGGGAACAGAAACAGAAAAGCGGCGGCAACGGCGATTTCAATAGGTGGTGGCAGTCCAGTCGGCCAGTCCAACCACCGGCGAGGTTGAAGAAGTTGTGCTTCTTTGTTGCTTGCGCACATCCAACCAATCCGAAAACGAAAAGCGGCGTTTCAATTCAGCGAATGTTCCACACGGTACCAGGTGAACAGAGCCGTTAGTAGCGGTTTACAACATTTAAACGCGGCCGTTGAAAGCGTGATTGGCTGGCCGAGTGGGAGTGGTGGGCCATCGAATCCGGAGCGAGGAGCATGGCAACAATGTTGCAGTTGTTCCCGCACCACGGGGAATAGGAATATAATATAGACCAAAACCACGACCACTACGGTGCGAGCGAGTGGCGCGAAGTGGGGCTTCTTCTTGCTCTTTAAGAAACAACAAACATTTTTACTAGGTCTCCAGGAGATTTAGCAGCATGCCGGGTGGCTGGCGAGCGATTAGATTTCCAATGGAAACTCAATAGAAACGCTGTTAGAAGCGGCGACCACAGGTGCGAGCGAGACGAGCGTAGAGAGTGTGGGATTAGAGAGATAGACAGATGTGCATTCAGCATCTGCCTGGTACTTTCCCCCGCCCCCATTCCCCTCCCACCACTTTCCACTCGATTCTCCGGATAATCCAATTTGCGCGTTGAATTGAAGTGCTGTCGCCTCGGAGCGATTCGATTCGTTTGCTTTGCCTGCGTCCGGTGCTTCCTGGTGTGTCGTTTTCGACATTCCTCTTATTGTGTGCCCGCCCGACTTGTTGCATGTAATAATAATAATAACGAACGAAACGGTATCGTAGCTGTTTAGTGGATGATTAAACTGAATTTAATCGTTTGCGAACAGGCGCTCAGCTCCGAAGAGGTGGTCGGCCGACCATTATTGCCGCTGCGTTTCTCGCACGAAATCCATACACGAGTTTAAATTGCCCACTGAATGGGCGGATCCCTACAGTCGTCTCGCTCCCACACTCGTTTGGCGAGCACCTTTAATCCCTGTTGCGAATTTGCTGCACAGAATTGTTCTCGACTCTGTAGCTATGTGAAATGAACTAATAAAACCAAAAAAAACTAATGTATGTTAAAGTATTATGTGTATCATGTATTTTTAAAAATATTTTAAATCCTCCTCACCCTTAACTTAAAAGCCTCTCCTCAGAAACATCATCATAATTTTTGACTAATGCTTTAATATCAACATTTTCCGAATAATGATGTATTTATTTATTTTTACCGTTTGAACTACTAAGGATTTAAAAACATTGATATTAAGAACACTCTATTTTTTTTATTTTTATTCATGTTCAAAATTTTTTTAGAATGATATTTGGATTTCGTTGCCGCTGCAATTTTTAAAATTTTTTTGCAGCTGCAAGTCTTTTTGATGATGGTTTTTAGCAGACCCGACAAAATTTAGATGCATAATATTCTATTAATGAATGAAATGACATGAATGACAAATCTGGTAGAGAGTAATATATATGTATATATTTGTGGTACCATTCTGCTAATTTATAAAATGGTAGAGTCACTCTTGTTTATTTGTCCAATTATATTGTCACTTTAAATATGCATAAAATTATCTCCTTACTGTTTAATTTCGAAAGCACTTGAACTACCTCCATACATTCATAATTTTAGGTTATTTTAAACTTAAGTTTTTTTAAACATATTCCCAATTCTTGCCCAATTATCCATCCCATTTTCCACAGAGCACCCACTTTACCCTCCTGTTATCTCGCTTGCTCTCGTTGGAGACATGCGACAACTGACAGCAGACCTTTCTATCTCCGTCTGGCGGCATTAATCGTCTTTCTATGATTTTGGCAATCCTAATAATGCCAATTCATGGGGTGGGCGCCTGTTAACTAGCAGCAGGCTTACAGCATTAACATGACAGAAATCGATAACAGATGATGTTTGGGATTCCACCCACTTATCCTGCGGCTCTGTTATCATTTGAACGTTAAAAATTCGATTTTATAGAATTCCAGCAACGCCCCGAAGAGCGAGAAAAGAGCAGTGTGTTTGCCAGATAATTACAAAGGCAAACCCAAACCGAAACCGAAACCAACAAGAGGCCTTTGGAACTAACTGCGCTAACAGCCCAGTTGCTACGCATTCTGCGCGCCTCTTAGTTATTATGTCAGATCTGCAATGTGCGACTATAAAATACGTATGCGGCCGACGAGAATTTATTGACTCGACGCCCCCGGCTGGGGGTGTGAGTTATAAAATTGATGGCATAAACTGTCTTGAATTTATAAACACACACGGTCCGCTGCGCCCACGGCCTGCATTTGCATTTCCTGGGCGCCTAGGCGGTTTTTCGAGTGTATGGTAACATTTTGTAGTCATTTTATGCGCCACAGAGTGTGCGATGAACTTGTGGGGGGTGGATTTGCACTGGCCACGCTCCCAGTTTCTGGAGGCCTGGTAATAATTTTCGGTTGTATGTTGGTAACATTTTGTGGTCCCAAAATGTTCGTGCCCGGCAGCGGCAGCTCTGGCAACGCTTCTCGCACCATCCCGCTCCCACTTGTGACGGGCGGGCGGCGGCATGTTGGAATTTTGGGGCGGCATTCCCGACCGCATATTTCGAATCTCGTAACGCCCGGCATTCCGCTGTGGGCGAAGCCAGGGTTGTCAAGTCACCGGACTGGATCGAGGCGCGACAGGTGGTCGTCGGGCTGACGGCCGCGCGGCAACCCTGGTCGAGCGTTCCACGGGCCAATGGCATTCCTAGCATAACAAAGCGTCTGCTTTTTGCGCTGCTTGCCTGTTCGGGCAGCTGAGTGAAATTTCATGCAGCGCGATTCTCACAAATTTCGAATTCCCCACATATTTTTGTGGCGTGCCGTTGGCATTTGTGTTACTTTTGGCTCTGTTCTCACTGCTCGTGATTATGACGTTATGGCTGGGTGGTTGACTTCCCGCTTCCTCTTCCACTTCCACTGTTTTTTCCCGACGCTTTGCGACCTTGAGTGGGCGGGTTATGGAACTTTGGGGTGACTGACATACATTTTTGAGATGGAAAGAATTTATTTATGTTTGCCCTTGAGGAGATAAGCACAGGGACAATGTTGACTGTTTTTGATTTTTGGAAAGGGAACAGAAATGAGTTTAGACTTTCTCGGGGCCTATATTTTCCTTCCTTAAATAGGTAAACTTTCACAAACAATTTAAAATGTCGAACCGAACAAAATTTTTGAAAACTGTTACAATACGGCCTACACTCTTCACAATATGTTGTATACAACAAAAAATTGTGTACAATATATAAATTTTAGAGACAAGTTCAAGGAATACTTTTTAATAGGAAATGGTTGGTTAATAAAAAATTTTAGAAAGTTGTAGTACTTAAGTTTAATTTTTTTTGTTTTCATAATAGCAGTTTTGTATAAAAATATGTGCACAGCATATTGAATAAAAAAGGTTTTTTAAATATAATTTTAAGTGACTTTTTTTAACCGACGACTAAATCTTATTTGTTAGGAACTACTTATATTAAAAGCCACAAAGTTGTAATTGGTTTGAGAAGGATTTATTTTACAAACCGACATTTTGTTTTTTTTATTTGGGAATTATTTTAGCCTTTTGTACCGAACTAAGTTTTCTAAGATACATATTTAATAATATCGTATCACTACGTTTCGAATTATTTGACTAAGCTCCTAAAAATTAGGCCAATGAGGTGCACATATCTTTTAACCGAAAAGGATATGTGATCTTAAAGGAAGTAAATTGAAAATAAATTCGTCGAAGAACAAAATAATAATAACTTGGAAAAAAAAATTGAGAATAAAATTAAGAAAGGTTTCTTAAGAATATAAATAAATTCACAAGTTGAAATCAAAATGAATTGTTGATCTTAAGTGCCGAACACTGAAAATAATTTTCTCGGACCCTATAAGGGGAATCATTTGCGGAAAGAGCTGCTTGGCAAAATGTGGCGAAAAAATCCCGACATGCCAACTAGTTTTTACCATTGGAGTGGAAGGGAGATGGTGGGGAACCACCTCATTATCCCCTCCACAGATTACGCACTGCATCGACATCGACTCCTTAAATTCAAGGTGACATCGCTGAAGTTCCACCGAGCAACCCAATCCCGTCCAGTTCCGTAAAATGGAGCCACCTTGCCGGGTCCCACTCCCACTGGCCAAAAGTGGGTGGCAGTGGTGCTGCTGGAGTTAGACGCACTATTGTCCTCTGTAAATCCTCATTGTAACAAGCGCCCAGAATCATTGCCTTACGCATAAGTCGACCTGACTCCAGACTTCAGAAAGTGCAGCGACCACAGCAGCAGCACAACAGAAATGCCAATGCAAAAAAGTTGCCATAAAGAGACGACAACGTCCCCATCTCCGCATCGGCATCGGCATCGGCATCGCCCAAAAATAAATGCAACGCCTCCGAATGGACGATCCCCAGCTACTCGCACTCGCCCCACATCCCGCTCCGACCCTGGAGATCTCAACCCGTCGGATGCAATGTCCGTTGCTGCTGGGATATTGCTGCTGTGATATTGCTGCTGGGATGTTGCTGCTGTGCTGCGGTTGCTGCTGCTCCCAGCAAGTTCATTGGCCCAGCTCAAGGCAAGGCGATGCGATGCGAAAAGGAAATCAAGAAAGAGCACACAGCGAAAATTGAACGAGCAATCATTCTGATTGCGTCCCGCAAACTGGTTTCAGGGTTACGACTGCGGTCGAAAGTCGTATCGGGTATATGATATTCACAGGGAACTGAGAATGAATCATCTGGGCAGTGCAATGAATATGTTTCCGTTTGGCTACTTTAAAATAATACAAAAAAAAACACTAGAATTATATTTGTTTGGGCGGAAACTAATAATTTGTATACTTTACCAATTTAAAACAAGAAAGGAAAGCTAACTTCGGGCGGAGCTGAAGTTCATATACCCTTGCAGAATACTGTGTAAATTATTTTCTCCAAAATTATTCATATGATGCATTCTTAATACTCATAAAAAATCCCAAATTCCTAACTTTAAAAACACCAAAGTTATGGCATTTACAATCGTTCAGTTATATGGCAGCTATAAGATATAGTTGGCCGATCTTAATGACATTTGGTAGGTCGGATTGGTAGGCCAAATATAAAACCCATAGAAAATCCCAACTTCCTACCTTTACAAACATCAAAGTTATGGCATTTCCGATCAATCAGTTATATGGCAGCTATAGGATATAGTCGGCCGATCAGTGGCGGATCCAGAGACGATTCTTGGGGGGGTGAAATTGAATTTATCCTTTATTGCAGAGAATATTTTTCTAGCAAACAAGTGAAATTTTCAGGTTCTGTGGTTCCAAGGGGGGGGAAATTAGGGAAATTTCCCCCCCCGTGGATCCGCCACTGGGCCGATCCCGGCCGTTCCGACTTATATACTACGTGCAAAGGAAAGAAGGGTGTGTGCAAAGTTTCAATTCGATATCTTTAAAACTACGAGACTAGTTCGCGTAGAAACAGACAGACGGACAATGTTTAAAAAACCATCGAAACTATTAATCATTAAGCATTAAAGATTCCTTGTCCTACTCAAAACTTATATGAAGTTTTAATCGATAAAAAATCGAAATTTATAAAATTCTGAAACTTATGGGGAATCGAAATAAACATAATCAGAAATAAAACTAAATACTGGAATAAATCTACATACCGTGCGCATCGCAAAAAAGTTGTGGTTTTCGAGAAAATTCGAGCAGCGAAATCTCACTGTTCCGCCGTCAAAGTCCAGAAGTAAAGAAGACGGAGCTAGCAGGATGACTCAAGAAGGTCCGGATATGCCCACTTTCAAGTGCGTGCTCGTCGGCGATGGCGGCACCGGAAAGACAACCTTCGTTAAGCGCCACATGACCGGCGAGTTCGAGAAGAAGTATGTGGCCACATTGGGCGTGGAGGTGCACCCGCTGATTTTCCACACCAACCGCGGCGCCATCCGCTTCAATGTGTGGGACACCGCCGGCCAGGAGAAGTTCGGAGGCCTGCGCGACGTCTACTACATCCAGGGCCAGTGCTCCGTCATCATGTTCGACGTTACCTCGCGAGTCACCTACAAGAACGTCCCCAACTGGCATCGCGATCTGGTCCGCGTCTGCGAGAACATCCCGATCGTCCTCTGTGGCAACAAAGTCGACATCAAGGACCGAAAGGTGAAAGCGAAGAGCATCATCTTCCACCGAAAGAAGAACTTGCAGTATTACGACATTTCTGCCAAATCAAACTACAACTTCGAGAAACCATTCCTTTGGCTGGCGCGCAAGCTGGTTGGTGACCCCAACCTGGAGTTCGTCGCCATGCCAGCCCTGCTGCCGCCCGAGGTCAAGATGGACAAGGACTGGCAGGCGCAGATCGAGCGGGATTTGCAGGAGGCCCAGGCGACCGCCCTGCCCGACGAGGACGAGGATCTATAATAGGATTTATTTATAGTTAACTAAGAGGAATGGCCGGATTTGCACGGGGCAACAGGAAAGAGGCGAACAGGAGAACTCGAGCAGAGCAGTCACCAGCAACCACTACAGAATAGGAGCATAAGCAATAGCCTACGATCCAATCTATCGGATTACCAGCAAAGGATCGACCTTCACCAGCAGCCCTGCCAGCCTTCTGCCGTCGATCGTAATATATATTTTTAGATCCAGTCATTTATAAGTCGGTTAAACATGATTTTTTTTGTTTCCATTAAAATAAAAAGTCAAAACACGTATTTAAAAAAAAAAACAAAAAAACAAAAAAAAAATTAAAAAATATAAACAGCATTTAACTTGACATTTTTGTTGTGTTCGTATATTTCTATATAAATATTTTACCTCTTTCCAGCTTAAGTAATAACTTGTAAATACAATTTTGTCTTCATTTGTACAGATACACAGATAACTATACACACATTGTGGATCTGGAATGCTTACATTGTATAATTATAGCTTTGAGTATAAGAACTAATTTCTTTATGCTTATAGAACGTCGCTAGAAGTGTTCCACTGTTCGACTGGGTTAATTGTGCGATGGTAAATTCAAAAGTTGCGTTGCAAGCACCACCTCAATACATAAATTAATCGGGTTAGGATATTTCTAGCGACGTCCAGCCTGTGTTTCCTGCATTAACATAATATTTGGTGCAATTTGATATAAAATAAATTAGAATATAATATCGAATTATGGTACAAGCATTAGCCGCTTTCTAACAAAGGAGGGCAATGTTTCCGCTCTCGTTGCCAGCGAGGAAGGCTCGATTCAGGGGCAACACAGCCAGGGAGGTGAGCACACCGCGGAATGTCTCCGAGCGAAGTTTGGTGATCGTGTTGAAGGCGTGGGAATGGGCCACATCCGCATAGACTCCAACGCGGTTGCCAGTGGTAGCGTAGACCAAAGAAGAGCCAACACTCTGCAGGAAATGGGCGGGTTCTGGGGGAGGTCTATAAAAAGCAATAAATTAATAACCAATTTAGAATGAACCGGTCTTTTCTAAAACTCACTTCAGTTGGTAGTGCATGATGCCATCCAGGGCATGCCAAACAGCCAGGCTGTGATCCAAAGCGGAGCTCACCAGGAACTGATCACTCGGTGCTGCCAGCTGCAGCAGATCACATTCCATGGGTCGCCAGGAGTTGATCACCATACCAGTGCGCGTGTCCAGCTGAACGATACATCCAGAGGAAAGTCCTGCGGCCAACCAATTTCCGGATGGAGCCACAGCCAGGCAGCGGACTGTGGCATTGGGCAGGGTAGCATTGCATACCCGCCACTCGTTTACGTACTCCAAACTTCTGGCGTCGACCATCTTCACCGTGGACTCTGCTGTGCCGGCTATTACCAGCGGGGAATGCGAGGGTAAGCATTTGACCACTGTCACGGCACTGTGACGAGGAGAATCTAGTATGCCAAGAGGTCTTCCAATAAACGGATCCCATAAATGAATTCCCGAGTCACAGGAGACCACATAACGCAGGGATTCCAGGAAGCCCAGGGAATTGATGGACTTCTTGTGCGCCGTGTAAGTAAACTGACAGGCGGTGGTCTTCCGGCCATCGCCTTCGCTACGCAGTGACCACAGCTTGACGGTTTTGTCCTTGGAGGCGGATATGAAGCTGTTCTCATTGTCCAGAGCATAAATAGCCCTCACTGAGTTGGTGTGACCCACAAATGACTGCAGCCGGATCTGCTTGAGATTGAGCGTTTGATTATCCTTCTCACTGCGCGTTGTCTCGTTGCGCCAGTAAGCCAACCAGTTGCCTTTCAGATGCCTCGTATTGGGCATTTGGTCCAGCTTGTATGCCACCATGTCGATCAGTTCCACGTTGTTCCTGGCCACTTGCAGCCGATTTCCAACGATCTGGGTGCCAAAGCTATTGGCGGCCAGTTCGCAACTGACATCTAGAGAGTCCACATCTTGGCCAGAACTCACACTGGTCGCCAGTTGAGTTTGGCTCTGCTCGTTCCCACTGGGTTGCTCGTGTTCGTGACACAAGGTCAGAACGAATTCCAGATTGCTCAGAGTCCTCTTCATGTTGGCCTCGCCCAGGAATCGAAGGAAGGAGAGATAAGCAGTATGCGCCAGCTCTGGCCCAAACACATCCCTCAACTCCACCAGGGCACGTTCCTGCTGCGATGCACCACCGACCAGCGAAAGATTAGCCAGATCGCAGGCAAAGTCATTTGGCAGACCAAAAGCCTTGTTGAAGATCAGGAAAAACGGACTTAACAGCGACTGACACAGGTGCTCCCGGGTCATATCCGAACCTAGGCGCACACTGAGAGCATAAATCGCATCGAGAAACTTTCGTGCCAGCAAAGAGCGTCCCAGGTAACCACTTGGCATCAGAAGATTTGTGGAGCTCAACAGCCGCAGGATGGGCAGAAGAATGGCCTCCAGCAAGATGTGCTGCAGGTGCTCCATGATGCTGGCATCGGTCAGACATGGGACCATGTACTTGAGCAGCTGCAGGGAACTGATAATGGCTCCCTCCAGGCTGCCAGTTATCCGTTTCGAGCACAGTCCAATCAGTTCGCTTATGTGCGGGAAATACTGCAACAGGAGGAAGTTCTCGCCATAGAGAGCTGGAAGGAAATGAAAGCGAGTCAAGGATAAGATGTGCTGTAACTATAGGTTTAGCTCACCCGCTATGGACATGAGGCACTCCAGAACTCTAGCCGCACTCCGATCGCCGACGACCCTCGCATTGGCAATGCTGAAGTAGTTGAGGTTTGCCGCCTCGGGGCTGGAGGCAAACCCACCATCGTCCACCTCCGGCAGCAGGTTTTCCTGGCCCACGTAGCACAGCGAGAGGAGCTTGAGAAGGTTCCTGGTGATAAACCGAGAGGTGAGCACCGGACCTAGTCGATGCGATAGCCACACCAGACTTTCGGCGCTCATTTCGCTGATTCGGTTGTTTTGCACGGCTTTGGCCTCCGACAACCGGGAGATGACCGATGCCTGCAGGGAGTCCGAGGCCTCCGCTTCGGTATCAACGGCCGGAGGAGGTAGCTGTTCCACCGCTTGGCTGATCAGGTCAAAGCTGTCCACACTCTTTCGGGAGCCAATGTCGCAATCGATGGCGCTTAGCTGGAAACTGCGACGAATGCCACCGGCAGATGGACACACTGGAATCTCGATAGTGGGTGAGCGGGGTCCCAGGGGAGGTGGAACCAGTGTAGGCGGCGTTTGACTCTCTCTAAAAGAGAGCTTGTCTGGCGATATTCTGGCTCCATAAATAAGTTCATTGATCACCAGTTTATCAGGCGATCCGTCCGACTCCCGAGCCTCCTCCGCACTGGCAGCACTGGTGCTGGGACGCATGTCGAAGGAGTCGATGGATTTGCTGTCTTGGGTGGACGCCCTGTCATCCTCGAAGGTGAATAGCTCTTCGATGTCGGGTTTCGATTCTGGTTCAGCTGTGAGGTGCCCTTCTTCTTCCGCCGCAAAGTTCAGATTCTTACTCGTCCTTCTGCTACCGCCACTGTGGTAGTGGTAGCCATTGCCCTGTTCCGGTTCCTTGTAGCCACCAACTGCTTCAATGAGAGGTGCTATAAAGTGATGCAGAAAGCACCGGAGTCCAAATCGAACGATCAAGCGGAGCAAGAAACTGTGGTGATAAAGCTTCACCGACTTACGGGACTTAAACGAACTGCTGGCGGAGAAGCGAAGATGGCCACCACTGTTGTTTGAGCCATTGGAGCCACCATCATCTGGAGAACTGACCCCCTCAACATCGTACAGCTTAAGCAGAGGCTGAAGCAGATGCTGTTGGGTTTGGGTCACGCCCAAAGCCTGGGCTATGGGATCGAACAAGTTCCAGGCAGTCAAGATCGATGTACGTTCGTCCCTCAAGAGATCGATGATGTGGGGAAGCAGCAGCTCCACTGGAGTAAATTGCTCGTAGGCAAAAGCCACAGGTTCCAGAAGCCTCTTTACATGGGCGCAGCAAGACATGACCTTACACTCAGCGATTTTACGTTCAAAAAGCACTCTTTGACGATCCATCTCTGTGTACCTGGCGCATTCCCTTCCTCCTTTGCAACTGAAGTGAGTGTGTAGCTCCAGGAGCACGGCATTGGCCTCGAAAGCATGTAGAGATCTGACAAGAGCATACACAGCCATGTAGTGACTGGGGAATGGGAGTAACAGGTTGGCGAACATGGGCTCCACCAGCTGAGCGGGATTTGGTGGTTGTGGCAGACCTTGATCCTCCTCTCCGAAATCCTCCAATTGCAGCAGAAGACGTACCACTCGGCGCACTGGTTTAGGCAACTCTTGGCGATGCATCTGAGCCACCGTTCGGCAAGCGGAGAGCCGAGCTTCAAAGACGGCACTCAAGCCATTTCCCATTAGAAGCGGACGCAAACGTTGCATAGCGAAGAGCTCCACAATAAGACATCCCAGGACCTGCAGATCCCGCTCTCTCTTGTTACTCAGAAGTTGCTGCAAGGAACTCCTTTTCTCTCTGAGAAGATTCTTTGATTTTGTGGTAATTTCTTCACCACTGGCAAAGAGCTGATTGGTGAAGGAGTGCTCCGCTGAGTTCTGCTCAAAGAGAAGATCACTGCTGATCATTTTCTCTTCAGGATTGGCCGACGCCCGCTGCTGAGGGAAAGTGCGTGTGTAAAACGTCTCTAGAGTCTCCAGATTCTGAAGCAACAGCGCGGGATTGTAGTTGTCCGGCAATTCAATAAAGTTGTTAATCGCGTAAAAATTAGAAGCCGAAGCGGATGCGGAACTGCTATGAACAGAGCTGCTGGATCCATCATCGCCTAGGCGCAGTGAGAGGTGGGACGATCCAGTTCCAGTCTCGGCTTGCAGGTTTTCCGTGCTTTTGGCCAGGCGCTTCGAGGGACTGGCGTACAGTTGACTTAGCCTGGGAGCGGCTTTACTGAACCAGGGCGTGGTGTAGCGACGCGGAGGATGAGCATTGGCAAATAGCTGGACAATACCGCGCTGGCTGAGATTCCTGTGCTGATCTACCAGCGTGAGGCAGACATTCTTAGATTTAACCGCCGCCTTGCCACTTAATTTGTATCTGAAACCAATAAGAAAATTAGAATGGGTAAGTAAAGAGATGTACATTAATCAATTTTGTTTCAAGAGAATATTTCATAGCTTACAATAAAGACATTCGCTCTTTTTCTTATTATATATATTTCCTCAAAAAGCTTTAATTATTTTGTAATCAGATAATAATCAACATTTATAATGATCATTTATGTAATCTTTTATAACTTACATATTTTTTCAAAGAAAACTCACCCGAAGTTGAGATCAATCCAGTGATGAAGTCGCTCGCTGACGTACTGCGACTCCAGAGCCTCGCGGTGCTTGCAGATGAAGTCCTCCGGACAGGTGGCCCAGGCGGGCAGCTCAAGATCCGGCAGATCTTCGTGGATGCTCTTGAAGATCATCGGATCTGAGTAGAATTCGGGGATGCACTCGTCTGGCGTCCACTCCTGGAGACGCTGAATGGACACCGGATACTCTGCCGGCACCCAGATGGGACGCACGTGCGCACAGAGGACGGCCTGTGGCGTTCTCCTCGCCATGTACACAAAATAAGTTATCTCGGAAAGAAAGTCGGAGACGTGGTGAGGCGCCTGGTCGCCGACAGGTTGATAAGCGCCGTCTGCGCCTCCATGCTGACTTGCATGGGCGTACATGAGATCCAGATGGACATCTCCCTTGTTCAGGCGATACTTGCTCTTGGTCAAATCTCGCCAGGTAGCTGCTCCGCGTCCATTGAAGTCAGTCACCCAGGGCATGATGTGGTGGTGAGCGGCATTGGTCAGACTCCTGCCACACGCATTATTCAGGATGGTAAGGTAGTCGAAGTTGGACAACTGTCCATTGCACCACATCTCGGCATACTCGCGCAGATTGAAGTGGGCGGGATCGTAGGCGAATCGCAGGTCAAACATGGTGCCGCTAGAGGGCCTAGGCTGCTGCGGCTCACCAGCCTCTCCCAAATCCTCGCTGGCCAGAGGAGACAGAGGCGATAGGTCGTCTCCCGCTGGATCATCCTCCAGAAGATTGCACTGCAGCCGTGGGATCACTTGTAGCCAGAGATTTTCGCGCAGCACGATATGCTGAAGACGTAGATCGCCCAGAAAGATTCCCTGTCCTTGGAGATGCTTGGCCAGCTGCAAGATCTGGTAGATCACAAACAGCGTCTTGTTGTAGTTCTTTCCCAATAGTGCCGGACTGAAGGTGATGCAATCGTAGAGGTTGCATTCCAAAGCCGGTGGATAAAAGAAGACGCTAAAGTGCGTGGAGGACTCGATGGCCACAAGGGCGGGCAAGACGTTGGCGTGACAGTTGCCCAGGGAATTCGATGTGGTAGTGGGAGAGTCACCATTTCCCTCGCGATCCAACTGAGAATGTAGCACGGGGCATTGGTAGACGCGTTGAATGAGCTCCTTGAGCACCACATCATGCGGTTGGAGTTGTCCCTGGCCACTGGGTGGCTTTGCCGAGGGTGCCGAAGTTGACGACTTGCACAGCTTGACATGGGCGCCATCGTACTTCCTGTAGGCATCCTCCCACAATTGCTTAAAGTTGCTGTGAGTCACGAATGACACTGCCTGCGAGTAGGAGAGGGGCAAGTTCACTGAAGATGCCTCTGCAGAGATCCTCGGCAGTGGGTATACCCTCGACTGGGGCTGTTTGCGGTAGGTCTGCACCAGAATCCGTGTCCAGGGGTGCTCCAGCTGCCCCGTGGGATAGGCCCTGCGATCCAACTGTGGCCAGCTGGGAAAGTGAGTCAGCCGCTTGTTCCGCTCCAGCGATTGCAGCCATGCCTTGTCGCAGATCACTTGGAATCTCCCCTCGCCGCTCACTTGGCACACATGCTGCGGATCCACACCAATCTCGGGCCAAATCAGCTCGCTGTCGTCCATTTTCCTGCGGGGTGCTCCAACTGAAAACTTTCCAATTCTGCGGTTCTGCCTGCTGCCGCGGCCCGATCACATTTCTCGACTGGGCGGGGTTCGACCCGCTTCCGCCATAGGCTCTTTGGGCTCAAGCACTCCGATTAGTTCGTTGTTTTGAGGATTTTATGTTATCTTATCAAAGAACGCTGCAAATTTTTTCGCGAATTTGAGAAAGAGCTATCAGCTGTTCAAAAAGTGTGACCAGGCTGCAGACTTTAATAAATAATTCAACAAAATAATGAATGGTATTTTAGTCCACTTCTTACTAATTTTAAATTAAAATAAGAAAAAGTAAATATGAATGAATTAGATAATAAATAGATAGATTTTCGCCGATAGTTTTAGGCAGAATGAACAGCAAGAAGCAACAATTTTAATTGGTAAGTATTGTCGAAAAGGTTTATGCCGCGACTTTTCATGCCGTTTCGTTTTAGAACATATGCCGCGAAAATTCAAATTTTAGTTCAAATGTTTTTAAGATAATAGATCACATCATACAAATATAAACATAAAAACATGAATTTTCTGATTTTTATAAAATTAAAAACTCATTACTAAAATAACTAATGCAAGTTAATTGACATATTTATTGTAAAACAAAACAGTTTGACACAATTTAAATATTTTTATATAAAATGATTGATCATGACAGATTAGTGCTCCTTTTATGGTACAGTTTTTTATTTTTGAAATATTATATTATTAAATTTCTGTGACTTTTTTTTTAGAATTTAAGTTCTAACGACTGTCCTTTGCCAAAATGAATTTCCCATTCTCGGGTAAGGCTAATACGGATTAGGATCAATTGACAAGCATTTTATTCAACAAATTCCAGCACCCATAATGGACATCCTTATAAAATAATTTATACATAAATGTAAATAGCTTTAAACAGTTGTCCATTTTTTCCGGTGGATGTTTTATTTCTTTTCTTACTACATATGCATTATCTAGCTATTACAAATGAGACACACTTCAGACTTATTATGTTATTAATAAAGTATTACTAAGAAAACACTTCAGTAATTTGTTTAGCGATATTTGTGTTTGCTACTGCTGAGCAAACATTTTATTTTCAACCGATGTCAATACCTTCCTGCATGGCAGCTGCAAACGCTGGGAATGCGTCGCTTCAGAGAAACACTTGACCGATAATAATCGCAAATGTAATCAAAGGGCGTGCTATCAGCAGTTTGCTTTAGGAATTTTGAAAACCAAATAAGTACAAATATATATATATTTATTCATATATTATATTTATTTATATAGGGGTATTTTTAAAAATTCCATTATTCCAAAAGCCCCTCGGGCACACATTTAATATAAAAGCACACTTTTTAATTGTTTGCACAACTCATTTGGTTTAGAACAGATCTGCTAACTAAAGCTTTCGTATCTAAGTAGTTTGAATAAGGCGGTTTAATGTTGTTTTGATATTTTATTTTCTTTATGTAAAGTGTCTTTAAATACACAGAAATTATTCAACTATTTTAGTTTGCTTTTTTTGTAAATTCCACAAGCCATTTTTTTATATATATACCATATCTAAAAATACTGATATAATAAAATTATATTTATTTAGAGTGCCACTTTTATTTTTTATTTTGTAAATATACACAAAATAAAAAAGCAAAAAGCTTGGTATCTAATGTGTTTCCTATGCTCGTGGCAATTCCCACGCTCCCCCAGCATTCTCCATTCTCCTCCTAAATCTTAATCTTATCAGTGAGGTGGCCAGTTTTTGCCATCTCTCCTTACTTTTTCTGTTTGCGATCGGCACTTGAAAGAACTCCGAAACAGCGCCCAAGTTTAAGGTCATGCAGATGCCCGTGGTCTTCGAATGTTTTCTCACATCTGAAATAGTTTGGGCCCCCAATTTATTAGATTACTCTGTTGACTCGCGGTCGCAATATTATTTTTGTTTAAGCAGTGCAATCGTGGCATCCAACTGGTTTTGCTGCCCCAAAACGATCCGGTGAACCTTTGCCAATCCGATTCCGATGCACGGACTCACTTCCGTTTTGCACAAATTAGCGGGCTTAAATATTGTGTATAAATACCAGAATCACGTGTTAAAGGCTTGTCTCCGGTTCCAGGTTCACCTGTCCAGATGCTGTTAGGAAATTCACTCGGACTGGATATGGATATTTGCAAAGTGCCACAATTAAATGTTTTGTGTGGTCAGAGGGGGAAGATCGACCGTATTTGCCTGCTAAAAGTTCTTAGCAATTTTCACACTTCAAATGAGTTGTGCAAACAATTAAAAAGTGTGCTTATTTATTACATGTGTGGTATAGTATATGGATTTATTTATCGAAGTAGAGTGCCAGCCCCCGGCTTTGGGAATAATGGAATTTTTAAAAATACCCCTATATACGAGGGCAATTGATATTGGCACTTTCCTTGCCGGATCGGGAATTAAAACGCACTCATAAAGCGGCGCACACGACTGCCTGTGATCAGAGCCAAGCGAATGTTGGCAATTAAGTTATTAAACACCTTGCGGATGACGCACCCCAAATGGTCGCACTCCCATCCATAAATCTGTATCAATGGGACTCGCCCGACACGGTATATATATGTGTTTATATATATAGAAATATAGTGTTTTTTAAACCGCAAATCACATGCTGAGCTTTATACCCTAGATTTGACGGCTCTGTTTGTCCATAGTTGGAGCGGAGATTCCCGGCTGTCCTCCCCGGCCAATCTTATCTTTTCCTTGAAGACTTGGTACAAAAGTCGCACTATAAAGCCTCTGGCGGCTATAAAGATTAGGACCGATATTATGGTTAGTACCATTGTAAAAGACATATTTAAGATAGCCAACTCTGGCCGTTCCGTTCCGCAGTTTATTTAGTTTTATGGCCGCCTCAAATATGGCAATATTTCCCTTTCCCCGCAGACAGAACAGAAAAAACCCAGAACTCACATAACCCCGTGACCCAATGGTGGTCAGCCTTCGATCACTGAACCCCCTCCATATCGCTTCGCTCCGATCACTCAATCCAATCCACTCCAATTTAGCCAAGTAATTCGAATCTCGTGACGATTTGCGGTCTCGGTTTTATTTCTGTTAGCTTGAGTATTTTCTTGTCATCGATGACCCTCGAAATGTCAATTGTGTGGCAATTTCCTTGCCTCGATGAATCGTTTTATTTGTGGTAGCTATTTTAATTATTTAAGTGCTTATTTACTGCATTTAGCTTGAACTATTCTCGCCTTAACAGATGTCGATCACCTGTTAAGATTTCGCTTGAATGATTTGTGGTTGTTACTAAAACTTAACCAAACTCGTTTGAGACATGTGTCTAAAAATGAATGGGTTAAGCTTTAGTTTTTTTTAAAACAACAATAAAGCTACACAAAAAAAAACTATCCAAAGCTTAAGGTGAAAATCAGGGTCGAATCGTTTAAAATAAAAAAATTAAAATGTTTTTTATTTACTTTTTTAAACAGTTTTGCTTCACATTATACAATCCTAAAATATAGAGTTTTACAGAGGTTTTTTCTGTGCGTATGGAAAGTTATTTACCATAGCTATAGAGCTATAAATTAGTTACAAAACTGACCCCGTTTTTGTCCCAAAAAATGTAGAGTTTTAGAGATTTTTTTTCGGTGTATAGAAATTTAATTACTATTTTGAGACTAGACAATATAACTATATGAGGTATAGATTTCATAGATGAGTATTCAGTTCTGTAACTGACTACTCATTTATGGAATTTTTAAAACACCTTAGCTAGAATAAACTGATGGAGATATCATATCTTATCTTGACGTATATAATTTATTTTTAGATTATAGGATCATTATTTTTGATCCCTTGAATAAAGATAGGATTTGATAATTTTAGCTATCTCTTATATGACTTTTTTAGACAAATTTATCTTTTAACCAGTTTCAATTGCCTTTTCCCTGAACCGGTGCCCAGAACGCAAATGGTCTTTAATAAACACATCAAAGCTGTTTTTAAATAATTATTATTTTTATACATATATTCATGATTGATACACTCCCCACGATTCGAGGTCCCTGGCTTTTGTCCTTCTACAGACACTGTTTTCAATGCAGAGATGAAATTTCCACTTGACTTCGTGGCTTTAATTGGCCGAGACATGCCGGCTCTTGGGTTCTTCATCATATTCTGCTCGCCCATCGAATTAAAGGTCTTTGGAGTAATGTTGACAGGAAAAATTGTGCTTTAAGGCAAGGCGGTGTCTCAAATACCCTAGAAATGTGGGAAATATTTTAGTTTTGATTTCATATTTTTGAAAGAAAAGTATAATCTATATTATGATTTTATTCAAATGTCTACTTATTTATATCTATGAGCATTTTAAATATATTTCGAGGAAGCTTTTTTTTTTAATTGTCTTCGCAACACACTCTAGTTCAATTATTTCCCAAGGTAAATATACCATCATTGAACAATTATCTTAAATTTTTTCCGCAATTTAATATATCACTTGTTAAATACCCGCTGCCAGAGTATTATGTTGTGTTGATATAAATATTTTGGCGCCCGTCGCACCCCATTAATGGACATCAAATATACAAGACTTTCAGGCCGCTTCAATTAATTTGCCGTATAGTATACATATAACGCAAAATATTTGGTATGCGAGTTAAATATTGAGTGCTATTCGTCTGTCTGCCGCGACTTCTGTCCGTCCGTGTGTCCATCCTATTGTCTGACTGTCCGATTACCAGTTCAAGCTGGTAGCGTTTTCGGTCATGGACGTTGGAGCCAGTTTTAGCTAGATTCTAGACCCAGTCGGACGAACATACGAAAATTTACATTTCGGTTGATATATTCTGAATATTAAATATTTATTTAAACAAACATTTCAATTGCAGAGTCTCATTTTGCGCCGCATGGTTCGCTGACTTGGTAAAGTCAACTCGAAATGACAACGCAAAAAAACGAGTTTGAAGATCGGTTTAGTTTCGCATAGCCCAGTGCTTGGATCCTATCGGATTGCATGGATCGTCTGAAATAGATTGGATCATACATATGTGCGTGCGGCTAATTGATGGGGTGCGCATTAATTGAAGTTTGTCACTTTTCATTAACCAAGAGATGGAATATCCCCAGTCCATGCAAGCTTTTAATTCTTAATAAATTATCTAGCCAAGGTGTGCATACGTAGATATATGCAGTTGTCACCTAGATGATCTTAAGTCCGGACAAAGTGTGTCATCGATAAGAATGGCAAAGTTTGACTGATAAACATGGCATACTTCTCTTGGATTCTCGTTGAAGGGTCCTCGACAGTGGATTAGATTTCCGGCGATAATAGACTGATTCCAGTGCAGATAATGCATGTGTCCAAGCTTAAGCCAACTTCACTTGGAAACGCACGTGCGAAAATTCCCTCATAAGTACACTCATTGAGACACCTAATAAGTACTTAGCTGAGGAAACAGAACCATATCGTATCACCTGTACATTTTAAAGTGATCTGACAATGCTCAGTCAATATAATGACTCGTAACGCAGTCACTTCCTAAAAAATATACATATAAATAGACTGATATAAATATGAACGAAATTATGAATGTATATTTAAGCAGCAGCTTAGCTGCATTGAACCGCATCTGTAACTGGTTAAATCAGACGTCAATATTTGTGCACCAAGTTATGCAGATACACAAATGTAGTTGTAAAAGTCAAGCGAAATAAAACTGAAATCGAAACTGAGTCTAAAATGGCATTCAAGTGGCCTGCAATGAATACGGATCGTACAATAGAAGTGTCAGGGGCGGTTTGAGGTGGTTCACCCGACTAAAACGATAAGCGTTCCCTATTCTCGCGACCGCCAGCCTCCCACCACCCACCTCCCACCGCCGCCTTCTGTTTCGTAGTTAATTGCATTGCATAAAGTCGAAACCCGCATCTAACCGGTAAACGCTGCTGACTTACTAAACGTGCAACAAAAACAGCAATAACTACTGCAACAGCTAGTCGCACAGCGACTAAACTAATTCTATTGGAGACACAACAAGTTGTCGCTCTCTACTGAAAAATACCCTACACATCGGACTGCAGGGTACCATCGCTGCAATATATCTTTAAGATGGAATATAAATACATAGTTTCAGCACTCTTTGAACATCAAAGTCCCATTTAATATCTATACATATATGTATCGCACGGTTGAATGTGAAAACAAAAAGAATTGTTTTTGTTCTTTAGATTAATCTGGTATACCTATGTAAATTAATATAGTTTTTATATCCAGACGGAAAACCTTGTCGCGTGTATAAAAAAATGTAAATCTTCTTGAAATTGTATTTATAAATATACTAAGAAAAGTCTGTTGGTGACAAGTTCTCTTGTGCCCTATTGTTTTGCTTAAACTTAATCAGGGTGGACCGTAATATTATGTCTGAAATTATGAAGAATTTATAAATAAAACAAGATTAATTTATTAGTCAACTTATGAAAACAATGTTTATTTTTATTGATTATATATACTGCTTTGATAAGCATTAACCAGGGGGTTACCTCTTTTCTTAGATCGAGCTCTAGTCTTAATCCTTATTAACTTTAATCTGCAGAATCTAATCTATGTTGTACATTAGTACATTAGTAATGCCAAAAACAAAGTTCACTGTGTGGAAAATTCTGAGAAAAATTACCAAACGAGCATATCTTGGGAGAAATCGGTAATAAAGGCCATTTCTCTAGGTGCAGCTACCAATATTGGTGAATGGCGTTTCTGTCTGGGCCATTGTTGGCAAAAATTTCGTGTATTCCGGTTTTGCTAGTTCTAAACTAGAGCAGGGTGCACGGTTTGGCACATAGTCTGGTGGGTTTTTAGATTTAGCCGTTTATAATGCCACATAAAGTGAGCGCGTGCAAGTGCGACTGAGAATGCGACTGCGACGGCGGAAAACCGTTAAGTATTCGGTGCAGAATCGATTTCCGTTGATACCAACTGAAATCGAAATCGGGCTTGAAATGGTCACATAAACCAAAGTTCCTTGGCGGCGCAGCTGAAAGTTTAGGTAGTTGTTGCATTTGTTAAAATGCTCCACGCATGCGGAGGCCCGATGGCCGATCGGATCGGATCGACCAAGATAGCGAGAGTTTTTATGAGGTGCTAGTGCTACAAACATTCATCCGTACATGCACCGAGAAAAAAAAAGGAAAACATAGTTATACATTTTAGATGGAGAATTCATATGATGTTATATTTATGACTATTTTATTTTTATCATCCTTATCTGGGGTGTCAGCAAATTAACTGAAATGCTTTATAAATGTATTTCAAATGCATTAGTTTCATATTAGTAAAGAATTCATAAAGTTTTAAAAACGTTCAGGTACATTATTTTTGTCATCAATTAATTGAAATTTACAGAAAAAAGCTAGTTATTTTAAATTTAGTACTTAATACTCGAACTTCTTCAATTTATAATACAAAAGAGCTTTATTTACAAAGCAACGTTTTTTATAACTCTCAGTTTAAAAGATGGTACTTTAGTTAGCACGTTTCTTATTTTCTGATAAACAAATTCACATATTTTAGTAATATAACCCCTTGAAGCTTTGATGATTTTAAGTTTGCCCGTACATTTTACATTGCAGTCGAAAAGAATATAATAATAATAAATTTTTATTTGTTTTAAATTTAAAAATTTTAATTAACAATAGGTGATTTAAAGAGCATAACCTTTTGATGTACTCTAGCTGTATTATAACTATTTTTTCTCCGTGCACAATTGTGGCAGTATGTACAACAAGTATAACGAGTCAACTCCTTGTCAATATAGCGATACACGATCGTTGGCCGGCGGTTAATAAAAAAAACTCCCGCGGCGGCAGAGGAGCTGGCAGCGCAGCAGCAGCGGATCGGCGCTTATCTGCTCTCATATAAACTAAAGTCGGCGGGAATAATTTCTCATTTGTAATTTGGCAGGCGGCGTGCGCGGATCGGAGAATTAGAACCCAGAGCATTAGCGATCGGGATCGGGAAATCACTTGCTTTGCTTTACAGTTGTTTTTGCCAGGGGAGCGAAGAAGAGAGACGCCAAAGTGTCACCCACTGTCTCCACATCTCTCTCCAACTCTCCATCTCCGTTTTCGTAATTGCGCGTGCGCCAAGTGCAAGGAATAAAGAAACCGACATAGAAATCGGGAAAATCGAAGAAAATCGGGGAAAAGCGAATAGTTAAGTGCGTGCGTGATCATACGATTTAAGGATCCGCCGTTGTGCTTTAACCCGTAACCGTGGCGAAGGAACTGGCCAACTTGTTGACACAGCAGAACAACAGTCCCGAGATGACTCAACAACCACAATGGGGCATAAACCTATCGAGGTGTAAGTGTTGCCAATAAAAAACAAAAAGAATCCTATCGGGTGTTAACTTATAAGGAAGTGCGGAATCCAGAATGTGGAATGTTCGGATCGTTGAACTGCGATGCGATCAAAGGGGCATTCTTAAGGCGGTTACGCAAATATTTCAGTGGTTAACCGACATTGACCGACAGCAATATAAAATCCTAAATGTATACTCGCTTGTGTATGCTGTATAATGCATAAATGAAAACAATGACAAAACGCTTTTGCCACTTCCGATTTTTTGTGTTTCGTGTCTCGCATTTCACGTTTGTTTGGGTTTTGTTTGTTGGTGCTTCTCATGTCTGCGGTCTCTTAATATTCCCGGCATGCGTCCCCATACATAATTGGTAAATATTTTGCATACGATTTGCATGTGAATCGGTGGGTTGGGCTATCAGCTAGAAGCTAGACGATAGAGAGGGTATCATCGCTTTTCGGTTCTCGAACTCAACTCCACGATTACGACCATTAAAACGTTAACAGTTATTATGGACTTGTAGAACCGTTTATGGCCCTCCCCATTTCCTCGCCCCATCTCGCTCTTTTCTTTTTTGGGCAAGGTCAATGCAATAAAGAATTCTGTCCCCTGAAATTTTTCGTCCGATTGGGCAACCATTTCTTCTGTAAGAGCTTTACCAAAATAATATGTTTAATATATATAAAGTCAAAACGCAAATATCACGTAAGCCTTAAAACGCGCATTTTACGGATAGAACAGTAGTTTTTCATTACGACCAATTTTAAAGACCAATACTAACTGATCTATATAAAATTTAATTTTTTATCTAAAGTAAAAGTTGATAAAAAGTGTAAGCTTACTCAATTAGCTAGCGGAAATAAATAAAATACATATGTAATGAACAGAGAACAGTTGTGTAAATTAAGGGGCTCATTTGAGCCCTTCGAACTCATTTTTTGTTCGCCTAATGAGCCGAAACTTTACAAGTTGGCCATAAATCAGCCGGTCGGCAGTCAGCATTACGCATTAGTTTTGAGTTATGATGATTTGATTATTTCTTGCGGGCACCGTAACCCTCGACTAATCGCCTTGTTCTATTGCCCCTCCGAGTTGCTCAAAGTCTCATTATCATATGGAAAGGGCCTCGCATAGGAAACCTATCTTGCATTCGTATGCAGCAATCGCACTTTACGGCCGGTCCGACCCTCTGCCCCCCCCCACCCATTGACATAATTTTCGCAAGACCGCAGAAATGCAAGCAAAAGAAATGGTGTTTATTCGTGCCGTCCTATCACTTGGACACTGCCGATTGCCGGACAAAGAGCCACAGACCCAGAAATGTCAACAGACTACAGACAGACAGAAGAAATTGTTTTTATTTTCTCATTACTGAACGGATATGAATGCATATGAGTGGACAGTGGTCCCGCAATCGACGTTTGTTAATCTCTTAGTACAGCTCTGACTAAATTACTTTACCTACAAATAATATTCATTTATCAAATTTCAAATTAAACCCGTTTTCTGTAATTTTTACCGCATATTAAACGATGAGATATTTGTTTAGGGTGAATAGTGCCAACATCCATATTTCAATATTTCATAGAAGAAAAGAAAACTGTAATTATATTATATAACAAAGTGAAGCTGTCTGAAATGGTTTGAGAGAAAAACCACAAAAAGTAATAAAACTAACTTTAATTATTTCACACATTTTAAAATAGTGCAATTGTATTATCTAGCTAATTAGAAAGTTTCTCTAGGGTTCAATTGAAATACTATAGTTTTATGAGTCATATATAATTAAAACTTGTGATTGTGGTATTCGTCAAATACTCGATAACAACATATATATATGATTATATCAAAGGTATACTTTTATGCTCAAGCTAATAGCTATATTTCTAAGAAATTAATCTGACAAATAGGTAATAATGATTAAATCTCATTGAAAAGTGAGTTTTCCTTCACCCAGAAAGGGGATTAAGTTTTCTTTTTATTAACGCGATAAGCTTGCGTTACTAAACTCTGATTAAATCTGAAAAGGCTTATCGTTTGAGATGGGTCCTAGCTCGAGAGCGGCCATATATTAACGCCACTAAGCGTGATTGGTCAGGTGAAATATTGCCATACTTGGCGGGCGGCGATATGATTAGCACCCATTTACATATATGGCCTTATCAACTTATCACATGGTAATCATATTAGGCGCATTGTTTTTTATGTGACACTCGTGGAGCGAGCTCGAATAAATTTTCTTGTCGAATTTCGTTAAGTAACCTGTCAAATATTGACATATTGTTAATTTTGCCAGCTCCGGCCACTGCTTTACTGCAATTTGCCAGCAGCAAAAGATTTATTAATGTTAATTTATAGGGAAAATAAACTTGTCAGTAAGTGACGTCGATGGGTTTTGCGAAACAGTCCCTCATAAAGAAAGGGAGATCCATTAAGAAGGCAAACATGTTTGTTTCACTTTTATAGGTGCGGGTGGTTGGATGGATTTGACGTAGGTGGAGTTGTGGCTAAATGTCAACAACAACAGCAGTCGGTGGCTGGTGATCTAATAATATTGTCATGAATTGGATTCTGATTGTGTTTACCCAAGAATCCGCGCTGTTTGCTCATTTCGAATGCAGAGATCCAGTCCGTATTATTAGCCCAGCGCTTTGCGTGCCGTTCTTGTTAGATCTTTTTTGGATGAAATGGGTCAATGTTAACCCAGCGTGTCCGAGAACTTGATCAATTCAACCTTCGAAATATCACCTTAGAAGTTTATTCCCCTTTAGCCCTATAAATGTATAAAACATAACATAATTGGCTCTGCCACCCGCCATTTTATGGTTTATGGTCATTGGTATCGGTTACCAATTTGAAACACTTGAGATTGCGCGAGCTGCACTCCAATTATTTATCGCAGATCTAGTACACTTGGCGTTATCTGGGCGTAATTCCGCTTAACAATTTGATTGTGGTATGGCGACCATATAAACTACGCCCGCTGATCGGTGCCTGGTGATTGATAGAGGGACTTGTGAGCCCAATTGCATAGCGCCGTTTATATAGCCCCTAATCTATTGGCCAGGGTGCTCACACTTAACTAAAACACGAGCCATAAACCTCACGAGACAGGAAGTTGGTACAAAGCGGGGATAGAATTGTTTGAATTCTTCAAATGCCATTCAGTTACTACGTTAACAATAAAATTATTTATTAATGAACTCCACGAATAAGAGCAAATAAATTTCCAATGAGATTAAGGTTCAAGAGGATTGCAAACAACCATATATCAGCAAATGGTTTATAAAATATTTATTTAATCATAATATTTAATCAACATACGTAAAGATTGTTATTTATTGAGTTTGAAATTATCCGTTGATTGGAATAATAACCATTATTCAATGGTTTGTTTATTTCATTTTGTTATTGATTTATTACAAGTATTAAAAGTTTACACTTTTACATATTCCCGTTTAGAGTTTTTATTTTGTGTACTAGAACTTTTGATTCATAGACTTCAAGAATTCAAATTTCAAATTTTTTTAGTATTCGATGAAAAAGCTTGTTTGTTTGAAAATTCAAACAGGCTAAAATTAATTAAAAACTGGTTTCAAAATAGGAGATCTGAAATCTCTTCTTAACAATAACATATGTGTTATCTATTTTAAATATCTATTCAAAATTTAAATTAATTTTGTTTTGTTGGAAGCTAAAATCTGCTGAATCGGCTATGTAAATGGTTTTGTTAAATCGCAATAAAGGGAAAATGCATAATCACTCGATTAGTAATTACTAATGTGATTTTACCAATAGCTTGAAGTGGTTTTGGCAATTACATTTTCCAGCCATTAAAAAAGAAATAAGGAAAAATTTAAGACTACTAAGCTGAAGGTGAACAACAATTTGTTTGTTTAATTAATTTTAAATAACAATTTAACTTTTTTAAGTAAAACTTATTAAAACTCAGTCCACTAAAAATAAAATTCGGTATAATTATTTAATAAACCCCTTTTTTTAAATATTCCAATCTTTTAAATTAAAACATTACCGTAATTGGTCCAGCAGCTTCGCTAATTGATATAGTGCCACAGCAATCAAATGCAATTTGAAGTTTATCAGCGCAAATTGATTTGTACCCAATTGGGCCACCCGTCAAACTATTTATTCGCACGCTAACCAAATTAAATAGGTAAATTGCTTAAACAATATGTGAGACGCAAATCCATTCCGCTCGTAAAATGCTTGACGCAGTGGCTGACAAATGTTGCCCAGCCAGTTAATTAATGCCCGAAAAGAAACCCACTGACGTCAATTCTGAACTCGATCTTCTCGCCCCCAGATTTCGTGATCCCGCAGCGAGTGATCCTGGCCATTATGGGCTTCTTGGCCATCCTAAATGCCTACACGATGCGCGTCTGTCTTTCGCAGGCCATCACGGTTCTGGTCGTAAAAAAGAATTCTACGGACGATGACTCTCAAGCTATTTGCGAACCGGATGACCTGGACTCGGGCAGCAGCGTAAGTATAGATTAATCCAGTTAATTTATAGACAGATTTAATAATCATTCCTTTAAAATCTATTAATGTCTGTAAGTTTTCTTTTATTCAATAAAAACCAATAAATATTTGTTTAAAATTATTTAAGAATTTGGTAATATGACTAATACATGACTTAAAAACTAATAAAAAATACATATGGTTTATTTCTTCCAGAGTGGTGGCCAATTCGAATGGTCAGAGGAGTTACAAGGCTTGATCCTGTCTTCCTTCTACATCGGTTACATTGTTACCCATATTCCCGGTGGCCTTCTGGCCGAAAAGTTCGGTGGTAAATGGACCCTGGGTCTCGGAATCCTTTCAACTGCCGTGTTCACCCTGCTGACGCCCCTGGCCATCGATAAAGGTGGCTCCGACTGGCTGATCGTTACCCGTGTTCTGATGGGTCTGGGCGAGGGTACCACCTTCCCCGCCCTGAGTGTCCTGCTGGCTGCCTGGGTTCCGGCCAACGAACGTGGAAAGCTTGGTGCTCTGGTGCTGGGTGGTGGTCAAGTGGGCACCATCATGGGAAACCTTTTGTCGGGAGTACTTATTGACGCCGTGGACGACTATTCAATTGTGTTCTACTTCTTCGGCGGCCTTGGTCTTATCTGGTTTGCCATCTTTGTAAGTTTGGCTTGCACTGCCAACGGAATAAATATCAGTTCATGCAACATGAAATCCCCTTTTGTAGGTCTTTCTCTGCTACAGCGACCCCACTTCGCATCCCTTCATCAAGCCCAGCGAGCGCGAATACCTGATCAAGGAGATCGGTACCATTAACCGCAACGAAGACCTGCCCCCCACCCCGTGGAAGGCCATCCTTACGAACCTGCCCATGTTTGCCTTGGTGGCCGCCCAGATTGGTCACGATTGGGGCTTCTACATCATGGTGACGGATCTGCCGAAGTACATGTCCGACGTGCTCCAGTTCTCGATCAAGGCCAACGGACTGTACTCCTCGCTGCCATACATCATGATGTGGATCGTGTCCGTGGGCAGTGGCTTTGTGGCCGACTGGATGATCCGCCGTGGAATAATGAGCACGACCAACACCCGAAAGATGATGACGGGTCTGGCCGCCTTCGGTCCGGCCATCTTCATGGTGGGCGCCTCCTACGCCGGCTGCGATCGAGTCCTCGTCGTGGTGCTCTTCACTATCTGCATGGGCCTAATGGGTGCCTACTACGCTGGCATGAAGCTGAGTCCCCTGGACATGAGTCCGAACTATGCCGGCACCTTGATGGCCATCACCAACGGAATTGGAGCAATCACTGGAGTGATAACGCCGTATCTGGTGGGCGTTATGACACCGAATGTGAGTATAAGTCGGCTTGCAGAAAAGGCTTTAGAAACAGAAATTTGATAATTTGTTGGTCTTAAAGTTAACAAAAATCTACCTTTAGGCATTTAAAGCTTATGCTTATACAGTTCTCTGATGTTTAAAAAACACAGAGAGCTGAAACAGTACTGAGCTAATATATTTCAGAACTTTTAGTCATCGCTCAATGAATCATTTATTAATTAAATTATATTTATGTATATATGAAAGAAAACAATTATTTTATACAATCAGCTCTCTTACAAATCTAAAATTGGTTTGAAACTGGGATTTCGAGTAATAAGTTAATTATAACAAATTAAATCACCTTAAACACACAATAATTAACTTATCCTTAAAGTAATAACTAGAACTGAATAATTAAACTCATTATTCATATATAGAATACAATTTTTTAAATTTAAAATTTAAGTAGCAATTTACTTATGTCGAATATGTCTACATGTGTTGACATAATAAATCAAGGTAAAGTTAACACTTACCGTCTTAGTCCTAATATGTCACAGTTAGAGGGAATTCCCTTAAGACATTTAAAGAGTTAAGTTTAGGACTTGAAATTTATTCATAATTGTTTTAGATTTTCAACTAACCCGTTTTTCTCTCATCTTTAGGCCTCGCTGCTGGAGTGGCGCCTCGTGTTCTGGGTGGCCTTTGGTGTGCTCTGCGTCACGGCCGTGGTCTACTGCATCTGGGCATCCGGAGAGGTGCAGCCTTTCAACAACGCACCCATTCAGCCGCGCACCGTGGACTTCGAGGCGCAGGAGCGCAAGCCCAATGCCAGGGGTGTGGAGAAGAGCTCTTAGAGGGGATCGCCAACGAAAGTGCCATATATACATTGTAATCTAGTTAAAATGCTGGCTAGGTGGATTCGTGAACCGGGAACGGGCGATCCATCGGGCATTGTCATACTGTATACGCCGTGGCTGCTGTTCATATTGCTAGTTTTATAGTATTCCCGATCTGGCCGATCCCTGGCACAGGTGCCAACTAACTAATTTAAGCGAATTTACTTACACTCCCGAACGTGCGCAGTGTACTTATTATGTGTATTCCTGTTTTATCTAGGATAACCCCTTTCCCCTTCCAACAGAACCCGTACCCGTACCCCCATTCGCCGCGCACGCCACGTACTCTCTTAATTATTATTTAGTATTTAAATGAAAAGCGATTTCACGTTTAAGATTTAGTGTACACAGAGCTCGTATTGCCGTATTTTAAATCAAATGATGAAATAATTTGTACATTTTAGATTGTTGATCAATGTGTAAAGTGAAACGTGTTTTTAACTGTTCCGTTAAGACATTACTGTTTTTATGACGTTAGTCAAATAAAGTGTATAAAGCAAATTAAAATAATATTCCCTGTTTTTATTGAATGTTGTACACAAACAAACTTTTGATGGAGACGTTTATCTTTTTAAAACCTTGTAGACCTCATTTTCATTCATGTATTGGGTAACTTTATTCTAAAATGGTTTCCCGAATTGATTCGGATAATATAAAGTAATGCAGAACATAATTTGTAAAAGTAAGAAACGACAAACCATCGATTTTAAAAGCAATGAAAGTTTCAGTTAAAGCAATCCAGGGAGATTCTTTAGATTCTTTTGTTAAATATTTATTTTTTATTTATATTATATTTCGACATTAAAATTTAATTGTTATGAGGATAACAATGAGTTGGAAACTCAATCTATGAGATATCCATTTCGATTATGTTATTATAGCAACAACACTAAGTAGGCTTGCAACGTTTGCTAAAATTTTCTAAATAGAAACGTGAACAAAATGCTGACCGTTGTTAAGCAGCAACTGAGCTTTATGTTTATTTGTAAGCCATATCCAGGAAATTTCGATGGTATCCGTGACAACTAGGTGATACCCAATCCATTTCCACAGATCTGGAGGTGAGACAGCGCCTGGTGCTCTGCTGCTTCACCTTCTTAGCCATCATCAATGCCTACACCATGCGGTTATGTCTGGACTTTTCGCTGAACCGGATCGTTTCGGAATGTGGAGTTGACAACGAGTACCGGAATTCCAAAGTGCCTCAGGTGCTTAGTCCAAAGGCTCTGCCCAATTGGCGTTTTGAACTGGCCATGAGTCTCAATCACACGGATAACCATTTAAGAAGAAGGCTAAAAGGCGGCAGGGAATCCGAAGATCAGGATCAGATGAGAGGAATCCAAAAGAAGCATTTTAAGAGCAGGGAAACAGTCATAGTAAATCCTCCTGTACAAGGGACTCCTCATGAAACGATCAGCTGCGCCGAGCTGTGGTCTCGTCAAACCCAATCCCTCGTGGTGATGGCCTTCTATGCCGGCTATGTGCTCACCCATGTCCCAGGTGGTCGTCTGGCGGAGCGATATGGCGGAAAGTGGGTCCTCGGGGTCGCCATCCTCTCGTCGGCGGTGCTGACTCTTCTAACCCCCGCCGCAGTTCGTCAGGGAGGTCCTTATGTCCTAGTAGGCGTCCGTCTCCTGGTCGGCCTCTGCGAGGGACCGTGCTTTCCGGCCGTGTGTGCCCTCCTGGCTCAGTGGGTTCCCGAACAAGAACGCGGAGTGCTTGCTAGCTGCGTCCTCAGTGGCGGTGAAATCGGGATAACTATGGTCCAGCTGGTCAGCGGACTGGTAATGGCGGAGCAGGACTGGCCGGTGATCTTCTACATGGTTGGCGGAGGTGCAGTGGTCTGGTTCTTAGGATTTGTGAGTTTATTAGGCCTTTTTATAGGGGTGTTACCGAAATCCCTCCCAACCAAATTTAAAAACAAGTTTCGCCGGACTAACTTATCATTCAGTTCATTATATCCAGTTTTCTCTAATCGGTTAAATCCTAATCCAAACTAAAATCGAATTCTAACGAATTTCTTTTATTATATCCTTGCAGAGGATATCATAATTTTGTTCAAATGTTTATAACGCAGAGAATGTCCCCTTCTATGTAAATATATATACATATTATTGATCTGGATGGCCAGGAAAGTTAAAGTCCGTATGTCTGATACAGTGCATCCAGCACCGGTCAGTTTAAAAGCTACGGACTTCAAACTTTCGCAGGCGACTTACATATTAACCAGATTATTTCAGTAGCTTCCATAGAAGTAATGTTTTCCTATTCCCTATTTTTGTCTTTTTTTAGATCCTTGTATGCTACAGTACGCCGGACCACTGTCCATTTATCCAAAGCGAAGAGCGGGATTATATAAGGTGCAATACCAGTGCCTCCCTAATGTTGGCCTCCAGCAGAGAAAGAGAAGTGAGGGAGCGGCCAGATGGAGGAGAAGCTGATGAAGGGGAATCCAGCAGAGAAATAGAAGCCGCAGAGGTCCCACCATCTACAGCAGCTCCATGGAGGAGCATGCTCACCAGCACTTCGCTTTGGGCACTTGTTTCCGCCTCCATGCATCAGGAATTCCAGCAGAAGTTGCCTCAGGAGCTGCAGAAACTCTTGGAGGAAGTCAATTCCCGTGGCAGCAGTCTGTGGGAAGATCTCCCCGCCACAATTGCGTTGATCGCTCCCCACATTGGCAATTGGGTGGCTGCGCTAACCACCGGAAGTCTTAGCGATCACCTTATCGCCCAGCAGATCCTCAGTCGCACCCAGTGTCGCCGCCTCATGTCCTGGCTGGTTGTTATTTGCGGATCCATGTACATACTGCAGATCAAGGAAAACGGAGCACAGATCTGGAGCGTTCTGGCCATGGGCGCCTACTATGCTGGCATCAAACTGCTTCCGCTGGATATGAGCCCGAACTATGCAGGCACTCTGATGGGCATTTCTAGCGGAGTGGGCGCCCTGCCTGCACTTTTAATGCCCTATCTGGAGCAGCTGGAGACGGATTACTCTCTGGTGAGCAGTGTGAGGGCCGCCCTGTGGGTAATCGGCGCCAGCTACATTTCCGGCGATGTGCAGGCATTTAACCAACCGGAACCGATGCGACAATAAGGACACTTGCTTGTTATTAGTTTAATCTTACGCTAAAACATAAGCTACGGGTTTTGTCTTACTGGATTCCTTAGGCAACAGATTCTAGATTACATATGTAGCATAATACATGACAATTTCTATGCTATAGCTAGGAGCATAAACGTAAACAAGCTTTATATATATATAAATAACAGGTATGGTCGATATTAACTTAATTAGAGTAGGTCTGCTGGTGATGGTCTAGCTAAATGCTCCGCTCTCGCTTCTTCGGTCTTTCAATTCCAAAACACGGGTTGCAAACTTTACACGACGCCCTGGGGCATTAAACCTGACTGTGCCATGGCTGAAACCGAGTTCATATCGATGCCCAGCTTCTTGGTAACATTGATCTGGGCCACCGCCGCGTTACGCAACGAGTAGACGTGCACGAGCTCTGCCTGGCTTTTGGCATAGAGCAGCGCCTTTTCGAATAGTTCCACGGCCCGCTTGAGCTGCGCGCGCTGCACCTCCACGGTTCCTAGTGTCTCGTACGCCAGTTCGCATTTGGGATCCACTTCGATCGCCTTGTTGAGCAACTGAACGGCTGCCTCAATGTCTCCGCGCCACTGCAACACCATGATAGCCTGGTGAACAATAAGGGCCGGATTCTTGGGCGCAAGCTTCATGGCTTTCTCGTAATACTGCTGCGCCTCGTTGTACTGCTGCTGGTCGGCCAGAACCTGAGCCATTAGGCTGTAGCACTCAACGCAGCTGGGGAACCGCTCGATGGCCTCAGCGAATGTGTGCATCACGCCCTCCAGTCGCCTCTGGTCGCCGGCCAAAAGCGACAGGCGGTACTCGGCATAGCACTTCTGGACGAGGGCGATGGCGTGGTTGGGCGCAATGCGCACCGCCTTGGCAAACTCGGTCAAAGCGGGTTCAATCTGTTCCAGCAGCAGAAGAATTTGGGCACGCTGGTGGTACACATCCGGGTTGTCTGGATTCAGCTTTTCCGCCTCGTCAAAGTCAGCCAAGCCCTTTTCGCGCTGGTCCAGCTGGATGTAGAGGGCAGCTCGCTTTATATATGCGTAGGCCCGCAGATTGGGATCAGCATCAGCTGTGAACAGTATAAGGAAAAAAAAGACATTTTGAAATCATTCCAAAACTATGTTAGATAGTTTAAATGATATGGTATTCTGGAGTTCTTAACTTAGCTACAAAAATGCTTTGGTACCACTCTTTATACTGCAAAAGAATTTAAAATCAAATGTAACTAATGTTAGGAATAAAGTTAGGAGTTAAGTTATTATCTAGGCAGAAAAAAGTCCACCGAAGAGTTATATTAAATGGCCAACAACAAAAAAAGAAAGTATTGAAAGAAGCCACACAAAAAAGATCTTGTCATTTCCTAAGATGGCATCCAAGTTATGTTTTATCAATTTAGACAGAATTCAAATTAAAATATAAATGTAAATTTAAAAACAAATTGATACAAAATAAAGAAGAGAAGATTCTAAATGACTATTGAAACAAAAAGTTATTTTTCTGGGAATAATAAATTGACAAGAGCATCATAAAAAAAATTTTTCCATTTCCTAAGATGGCATCAATTTTCACAGAATTCAAATTAAATATGAATTTAAAAGTAAAACAATAAATAAAAAGTAAAGAAGAGACGTTTATACTTTTTTATAGTCATTAAAAATGACTATTGAAACAAACATCTTTTTTTTCTGGTAATAATGAATTGAAAAGAGTCACACAAAAAATATCTTACCGTTTCCTAAGACGGCATCAAAGTCCTGCTGGCTCTCTAAATATGAGCCGCACAGGAGGTGGAAGGTGCCTCGCATGAGAAGAGCCTCAACTTTGTACTGCGCTTCGGCTTCGGAGGATTCAATCTCTTCAGTGCAGGCGGGAATGATGTCCTCAAACTTTTCCTCGAGGAAAGCGCGGTGGGCCCGCACAAAACCTTTTGCAAGTGCGTCCGACTCCGGGGCGGGTAGTTCCAAGGTCTGCAGCGGATCCGCGATGAAGGAGCGCATGTAGGTGTTCACGAAACAGGCGGACGGCACAACCGGCACCCTACTGCGCATACCCTTCTCGGCGTCCACACGCCCAGTCTCCTTAAGCACTCGGTCCGCGAACATGATGGTTTGATTGTTCTGGAACATCTCCAGGATGCAGGTAGCGGTGACATCGTCCAGGCACTCCACCATATCCTTGGTGGCCTCGTGAGCACGTGCACGTCGGTAGTATGCCTTGGCATAGCGCGGATTAAACTCCAGCGAGGCAGAGCAGTCCTCCTTGACCTTTGCCCACTTCTTAAGCATCTCGTAGGAGGCGGCGCGGTTCTGGTAGAAAATGGCCATGTCGGTGCGATGCTCCTTGGGGCACTTGTCGATGGCCTTGTCATAGAAGTTAATGGCTTCGTCGTACTTTCCATTCCGGTAGCAGTTGTTGCCCTCCGTCTTGTAGTTGTTGGCCTCCTTAAGCGGCGACAGCTTCTCGCCCAGCTCGGCGGACTTCTTCTTGCGCTCCAGCTCCTTGTCCGGTGCGGTGCCGTCCAGGGAGATGGGCTGCTTCTCGAACTTGGCCTTCGGCCGCTTCTTCTCCCCGTCCGCCTCCTTGGGGGCAGCGTTCCATCGCTTTACCGCATAGGTGCCCAGTCCGATGGCCAAAGGAGTTCCCAGGATAAGCGCCAGCTGCCACTTGTTTAGCTTCACAGAGCCAATGTTCAGAGTCATCGCCATCGTGCCGGACTCCCTGCGGTTGTGTGTCTTGTATGGACTGCAAGAAAAGAGTTTTGTCAATGCCGGTATCGCCACAAATTGTGTAATACTCCGCTAGCTTATCGCTCGGCGCCTTTTGAGCCCGCTAAACACCGGGCGGGGGGCACGTTTCTCCATCGCCTAACCCCAACCCCATTGATTTTTCGCACCCCAACCGACGGACAGCGGGCCCAGTGCATCCCGCGAACGGAACTTACACTTTTTTGAAACTTAACACTGCTGTGAATTTGGCAAATATGAAACGTTGTTTGGCCTACTTTCAGTTAGAACTTGAGAAACTTATATTCTATTGTACATTAGCCTGCTGAGTAGGGATGTCAAATATTTTTAAAATATCGTATCGCTGATATATTTTCCTTAAGAAAAATATTGATATGATATTTAATATATCGCCAAAAAATATCGATATATCAGATATTTTTGATATTTTTTTTCAGTTGAATTTCAAAATTTTAGCCGCTTAAATAAGCTAACAACAAGGAAACAAGACTTTTGCCCTAAAATTAAAGTAAAAGCACTAGAAAAATATAAAAAATGAAATACGTTTTGTTACATTTGTTATTTTATTAGTTTCATAAGTCTTTGCATATGGATTTTAAAAATACTCTTTCCGTTATGTGTCGGTCGGTCATGCGGCTGCTTTTGTCGCAGACAACGCACTTAATAGCCGACGCTAACCGCTCTGACGACACCACTACCCGGGGTAATTAGGTAGCTTAGTGCAACACTGGAAAGATTTGGTAAATTGTCTTTCTGGGAGTACCAGAATTCCACCAGATCGCTGTCCCAGTCGGTGTGAGGCATGCTTATGTACATGAGAGAAAGATATGCAAGTATCAAATAATATCGAAAAATAAACTATCGATATTTTGATATTTGGCTAAAAAAATATCACGATATAAATATTTTTTTTTTTCCAAAAAATATCGATATATTGATATTTTGATATATTTTTGACATCCCTACTGCTGAGCACACCAAATGTGGTATAGTGTGACCGAGCTTTGGAACACCGGATATGCCAGTGTTCCCATTGTCCCGCTAAAGTGGAATTTAATTTTATCCCTCAAGTGGTCACACGCCGCAAAGAAAGTTTAAACTTTAAACTTTAAAAACAGTAAATTACCAAAAACCAAAACATTTTATTTCAGAAATAAGTTTACCTATATTGGGTTTAGGTTTCTAAATATTTATATTTACTATAAATACAAATTTACTAAGAGCATAAATGTACACACAGTTAAACATAAATATTTTTTAATGAAAGGTTTTGTCGTATATTTGAATTTAAAACTTTAACCAAACTTGTACTTTTAATTTAAGTTTTTAATGTTAGTATACGACAAAACTTAAAACTAATTAAATAATAAACTTTTCTTAAATATTGTTATTAGGGTTTTTATTATTATTACATTAATAAGCAGTACTATGATACTATCTGATGCTGTTTTCAAGCACTAGTTCATTTTTTTTTTTCCCACTCGCACAAAAACGTATGCACTTCCCCTAAAATCTCGCTCCCGATAGGGTTCTTCATAAAGCAAAGATTTAAAATTACAATCAATGTATTTAAAAGTATTTCACTAGAGTTGGAATACCAGGACAGCCTAAGAGCGGATCTCCTCCTCCTGGCTGGGAATAGGCGCGGGGGCCGATGTTGTAGCCGACTTCTCAGTGCCGGATACCAGGGCCTTTTGCAGATCCTCTGACTTTACTAGGCCGTGGGAGTCCGCGTATTGCATGAGATCACAAATGGTGGGCGACTCCACAACCAGGATATACTGGCACGTCTTCGGCTCGAGCAGATACATGGACACGGCAGTTCCACTGTTGGTAACAGGCGTGCAGGTCAGTTTTACGTCCACTTCGCGGGCCAAACCAGTGCGGTCACAGTGGGTGCCCTTCCCGTAATGGTGCCAGATGGATGACGAGAACCCGGTACGACGGGCTCCCTTATCTGGATTGGAGTTGGCCCAGGCACGATGAGCTTCATCTGAGAAATAGCCCAGAAACAGTTCCACTTCGCTGTTCTTGTCCTTGTGAAACTGACGTACATGTCGCCCATAGCAAAATTCGTACTTCCACCAGCCGTTTCCCTAAAACAAAAATAATGAGTCTTAACCAAGCATTTTTTAAAGGAAATACCTACCCCAGTTAGGCAGTTTTTTCCCGAAATGAAGTCTCTTATGGGGGTTAGATCGGTGATGGGTGTGGGCCCTGTTCCAGCTCTGGCCAGCAGAAGCTGCTGATAATTGCGGTCATCCTCGATGTCTCCATTACTAACGAGCTCCAGTATGGTTTTGTCTATATCCCCGCTGTACTTGAAGGTGATCATGTCCACATCCGCCTTAAGCCACAGTTTGGCTGGGTCTTTGCTCTCCTTTTCCTTTGAAACCAGCAAATCCGCCTCGGATTCAGCCCACTCACTTAACTCCGACCGCAGCATGCTCAGCGGTCTATGTGGCTCCGAATCGGAGTTAAAGCATTGTATGGATAGCTCCTTGGTCTCCTCAGCGTGAAAGCCAGGAATAACGCACAGCGTCGATGAGAGAATGATGGCCTCGTAATTGCAGGAGGAGGTCTCTTTAAAGGAGTAGATGTCATCCTTGCCGTGCGGATAGCACACATAGCGCACCATCGTGGTGCGCGGAGAGTCAATAATGTCGCACATGGTGCCATCGCTGTATTCCATCTCGAAATAGGGATACCGTGTGTTGTCGATCTTCAGGCTCTTGTACTTTGGTTTAACGCCCGCTTTAAGGTCAGTCTCCCAGGCTTTGGTCAGCAACTCCGTCTTGTCATCAGTCCATTTTCCCAAGTAGTACTCCTGGAACTTGACGTTCTTTCCCTCGCGTTCCTCGTGATACTGTCGCACATGGTGACCATGGCAGATCTCATAAGCCCAATAAGCTTCGATGCGGTAAGTGCAGGTCAAGGCTGAGAAGGTGGGCTGCAGTAGGCTGATAGGGGCTGCAAAACAACCAAATTACACATAATCCAAAACATGTTAAGGAAAATCATAAAGATCTTACAAAACTCCGGCTTGTCTGACTTTTCTTCCTCTTTCTGGCGCTCCAATGTCGGAATCAAACAATCGTATTTCTCCTTGTCCGGCGTGTAGAAAGTTCGAAGCTGATTGCCAAAGTCCTATTCGGAATATAAGTTATATGTAAACCATTCAATAACAATACGATTCAATACTTACTGGCTGTCCAATCAATTCGGGCACTTCGAAATCAATTTTGTACAAAATTGAATCGTCAAAATCTTTGGCTTCATGAGAATCAGCCGCAAGTATAAGGGCCAGCAGCAAAGCTATTTTGGTAATTATCACGTAGGGGCTTGCCATTTTCGTGGTTTATATCGCAATTCCTTTACATGAGTTTTTCCGTGATATATATTAAAATATTTATAAACGCTACGTGTTGTTTTCGTCCAAAAATAATGAACAGATGTTGACTGTTACCGTGGCACTGTGAATGACGGCGGAAAAAGAAGAACAAATATTTTTGCTGTGAATGGTAATTTTTCTTCATGAAAAAACAACTTTTTGAATTTATAACCGTTATACTACCAACTGAGTTAATGAATATAATTTATTTGTAATATTTATTATCCTTAAGGTTGAAAGTCGTGAAAGTGAAACCTATTCACCCAATAAACTAAACTAATAAAGTGCTCGGTCAAAACATTAAACAGATTAATACCGAATTTCTTCACTTAATGGTAGGCTAATAGAAGATTTTTAACTCAGAACATTCGAAATCGGGCCATAATCTCAAACTTTCAATACCAATTTAAAACACCGAATACGCCTAGATCTTTTAAACCAAATCAGGTCAAAAGCACTACTCAAAGTTGCCAAAGCAAAGGTGAAAATACTCCCCCGAAGTACATTAAAATCAGACTTAGTTTATCTTCAACATTATTATATTTTCTTTAACAAATATCGCATATAGTATCAGTTCCTTATCTCATGGCCGTGGCAGTGTCCGTTTTCCCCGTGGGCCAGCCGGGCTCCTTGTCCTTGTCAAGGTCCAGTGGCACCTTGTCGATGGCATCTAGGATGAACTTAATGGAGTGCGCAGTCCGTGGCAGCCACTCCATGATGCGGGAGGTGCTTGAAACTGGCGGAGTCGATGCATCGCCGTCGTCTACGAAATCGGCATCGCCTCCGGAGAGAGAACGAACTCCGCCCAGGTAATCCGTATAGTCGTAATCGCTGGTCAGCGGATTTACCTTGGAGTAGTAAATGGCAGCGAACGTCGAGTAGATAATCAGCAGTGCTGTGCCCACCTGTGGATTAGGGATTATCATAAATTGAATTAATAAATATATGTAAATTTTTCACAATTTATTAAAAGCTTTTTTAACTCTCATTTTATCAATTATATATTCGGCGAATACTTTCCCTAGCTTCAAAATTTATTTCGCCAATGTTTCACAATATAGAAATGATTAAACAATTACGTATAACTACCACTTTAAAATGTTACAGAATTTTCTTAATGACCAGGATATTGAAAATTTAAGTTTCGATTAAAAAATGAGTATTAAATGGAAAGAATTCTTAGTATATATGTACAATAGAAATGTTGAGTTATACATTTTCTGTTATTCTTAAGAGTATTTAATTCCTTTCCGTTATTATGCCATTATAAAGAGAGCTTACTAGTGGTCGATATCACCCCTTTTGGCGACCAAAGTCTCCAAATTCTGCACCCTTATCATTTTCATAGTCTGTATTGACAGGTTAATTTTTGCAAGCTCTCTTTTAAAAGAAGTTAAAGGAAAAAAGAGTTTGTGGTTCGGTGATAAACACTCACCTGAAAGACGGCCCAGAACTTGTAGGAGCCCTCCGTGATGACGAAATCGTAGTATCCCTTGAGGGGATCGCCCTTGATATAGCGACCCTCACCCACATCCGAGTCAGCTTTCTCCTCGGCCTCAACATCGCGTCTGTGGCGCAATCCCCGCACAGATCTCAGATTGCCCTTCTCCCCCTTGCTAGTCTCGACTTTGGTGGATGGAGCCGATGGTGTTACTGTCGCAACTTTCTCCATCTTCTTCTTCGGCTGCTCCACTTCCTCCACCTCCTCCTCGGAGCTATCTGGGGCTGGAGACGTCGTCGTGGACGTTGTTGTCGACTTAGTAGTCGTCGTAGTAGTGGGCCTCTTGTTCTGGCTCTTTTTGTTTCCCTCCACCCGTGGGGGTTTCTTGGAGTTAATCCTCGTCTTCTGCTGCTGCTGCTGACGCAGTCGCTCCTTCTCGGCCTGCTTCGCCGCCTGCTCCTGGCGGAACTTCTCCGTACTCTGCTGATGGCGCTCGCTCACTGCGTTCCAGGCACCCATGAGGGCCTGGTAGAGATCCCAGATCTGCTTGAGACTCTTCAGCACGGTGACCAGAGTGGATTCGCTCTGGACCTGCACAACTGCATTTTCAGAGGAAGGCTGAGATTGCTTAGCCAGCGCAGTTTCCGCATGTGGACGTGGCTGGAAGCCCATGGGATAATCATATACCTCATCGTAGGCGGGATAAGGGGGTGATCTGCAAATATTCAAAAACAAGTATTAAAATTGTGTTATTCAAAAGCCGACTTTATGTTCATTATAAGTTGCGATGGTGTTATAGTTATTGACAGTCTTTTAATATTTGCAAAACTTTGAATACTTTGGTATTTGCTAATTATCTTCAATATGGTGAAATTGTGTCACATTAATATACCTATCTTTGTTTATTAAAATTGATGGTATATACATATACAATAAATGTGTTCCAAGTTATATATAAATACGTTATTGTATATGTATGTACCGGATTCTTATTTAATCTTCAAAAGGCGTCTTTGAGTTTACTTATTTATAATATGGTTTATAGGTATAGTATTGGAAATCTCTGAACGATGTGAAAGCGTTGGATTCTGTCAGGAATAAACATTTTGACTTGTAAACCTTGGATTATACTTAAAATCACTTATAAATATTCATTGCTCGAATGTTAGCCAGATATTAATTAAACACTTAGGTCCACAATTTGTAAAATGTTCACCTATTGGGGGCTGGCTGTAGCTTCCTGTTGTTGCCCTCCGCTGCGGGATGAGTAGCCACTGGAGCTGGATTTCTTCCACTAGACCAAGGGGAGTAGAAGGAATCGTAGGGACGAGCCTGCGACGCCCTTCCCTCATCCGTATCCGCCGACGAATCTTCCTTATCGTAGAAGCTTTCCTCCTCCACCGTTTGCTGTTTGGACTCCGGATATGGATATCGGCCTGGCCCATAGTCATCGGCGACATCGTAGTAAGGATCCTGGTCGTAGGAGTCCTCCCTGCGCTGAGGTGGTCCGTAGGCATCTTGACGTTGCCCCATCACGGGATCCATACTCTCCTCATTCACCACCACCGCCTGCTGCTCCTCGTATTGTCTTCCTTGCTCCGGCTGATTTGGATTAGTTGCATTTCCGGTTTCCCTTGCGACGCGTTCCACGGTGGCGATTTCGGTATCGTTTTCGGCACCAGCTTTGAAGTGATTCCACATGCGAGTGAGGATCAAGAGATCGCTTTCTCCGGCGGCGCTGCTCTGGGCCCGTCCAGCTTCAATCATAGCCACCGCCGTAAGAGTGGTCGCAAATAGAAGCAGGGTGATCACTAGAAACCAAATGGGGGACAATCGCCGTGGCGTCTTCGCCGACATCTCCTCGTAGGATGACATTACTCGTTTGGCAACTGTTTACTTTTGTTCCGAATCCTTTTTTCGCACAAGCCGCACTGCCAGTCGGCTCGGAGTTTAATCATCAACTAACCGAAGAGTCCCAAATGCTGCTCCAGAAAAACTCCGTCAAGCGATGGTGCTAATGGCGGGACTGGGTATCTAGAACATCTATCCGTAGTGGCTCGTTGAAAGGTGCTAATCCGTGGGCCGCGTGCATCATCGTTATTGGGCCAGTGCTCCAGTTTCGATTTAACGGTTCATCCGCCACCGAGTGCCGCAGCAATTAGCACCATCCATATCTCCATATAGCAGGTACTCCGATCCCGATCCATCTCCATTCATTTATGCATAATCCCCGACTTTGTTGTTTGCCACAAATTCGTTTTTTTTCGCGGTGAAAGTGTGCAATATGGTTCTCTACCCAGAAAATGGGAGAATTAGACCTGGGTCCGAGGAATTTAGGAAGTCGTAATTGGTCGCATTTGCTATAGGTCTGTAGTTCTGTGGTACATCGTCTGTCGTGTGCCAAGCGTAACTCACGATCTAGGAAGCTAGCATATTTGCCTACACATGCTCACGGATCGTGGCGACCGTGCGACTTTCATTATGGGCGGATAAGAAAGAAATCTATTAAGATCTTTTGGACAATTACCATGGGATGACATCCCAAGCGGCTTTAGGAACAATCACATACTTATTTAAGAAAAACTGCAATGAATGTGGATGTTAAACTATATAATATTACATAAATAAAGTAAGCTGAAAGAGTATCTTATACCTTTTATACCATAAATTGGCAAACTAACTAGTTCGATTTCTGGTTGAAATTGTTTGAAACCCTAGCCTTTTTTATTCTGCTCTTTAAATGTATTGGAATGTATCAAACAAGGAAAAGACTAACGGCCATAAAAATTGATTTATTTAATTTATTCTGTGTTATTTTTAAATTGCAAAATTTCTTTTATTTATGCTCTATATAATAAATTAAAAATTAAATTGGTTCAAAAATCTATTTCCCCTTTTAGCAGACGTCTCACAGGATTGGATAAATTGTTTTTAAAATTATTTTCGTAGTGTTAACTTATATCCTTTTTTTAATGTTGGCTTTAAGTACCAGAAAGCTAAATATCATGTGTCAAAAAATGTTATTTTTATTATTTCTATTCGGATTAAGTTAAGCAATTGCTATACACTTATCCAGGTAAGGGTAAAATCCTCATGTTGAAAATTTATTAAATTAAAGAAAATCAATAATGTAAACAATTAAGCGCATTAAGTTAAAAGTGTCTTACAAAGAACATCTGTATTAGCTATACTTTTATATATGATGTCGTGACAACAGACTGGGTTTTACGTCGTAGTTTATATTTGAGTATTCAATTAAAATGCGCGAAAAGGTCAAAATATTGATCATCAAGATCATATAATTTTTTTCCTGCCACATTATTGATTTTTTTCCGAATCAATAAAAGTTCATATGTAATTGGGAATATTCATGTAGATAAGTATTTATTATAGCTTATTTTGAAGGTAAACAAAAGGTAATGCAAAAGGTAGTTATTTATTTATTTGTTAGGTAACAAGTGGCACCAAATTTTATCAAGGGACGTCCTAGTTACCAGTAATTACATTTTTACTTCTCAATTTTAATTTATTTTAATTTAAAGGGAAACTTCTAGCGATTTCTCGATCTCACTGAACTGGTGCGTCATTTGTTTACCGGCGAAGCACACCGTGGCAAACTAGTTTCGTTACCCCCAAAATTGTTTACATTATGGTTTAGACTTTCCCACTTGTTTTCCTCCAAAAAGCTCTAGTCGTAAACTTTAGTTGTGTTTGTTGATTTGTTTGAAACCTCCGCGATAGTGTTTATGGCTCGATTTCGTTTTATTTTTCGTGCTGCGAGATTTTAAACCAAAGTTTTTTCGTATTTTAAAATGTTTATTTGGGATCTTCTTGCAGTTCGGCCACATTCCGGACATTGTGCCGAAAGTCCAGGCGTTTTTGATATTGACATTGGAAGCGCCTCGAATTCTGTGCACAAATGGGATTCCCCTTCTATGAAAAACAATTTGAAATAGCTTTCTCTTAATTGAATTCTGATATAGTGGCCAAGCTAAAACCTTCAAGGAGCTACCGAAGAAGATCAAGGTTAAAAAAAAGTAGACGAACAGAGCGAAGGACTCGAACCCAAAGCCGCACATTCAGAAGGAAGAGCTGCACAATATCCTCTTCCTCGCTTATCTCCCCGAGGAGACTCGAGATGAAGAGTATGGACTCTTTAATTAGGGTCCTAACTTCAAGGAGGTACGTCTAGTGCCGAATCATCATAACATCTCCTTCGCGGATTGTGCCACGTAGCTCCGAAGTAGTGCAGCCAAAAAAGCGCTCCAGGTCTTCAGGATCACGCACGCCATTAAAATCATTTATCCAAAAAGAGAGCTTAGAGAGAGTTTTTTTTTGCTATAAATTGAATGATCTTCTTTTTGGGACAGCTTTTAGATAAAGTTCACCAAATTAAAAAAAAATACAATTTTTTCGAGAGCTAATTTGAATCTTTCACAGTTTGATTAATTGGCTTATAAAATAAAGTACAATTTTTAAAAAGAAACTCTAATCTCAAAAAAAAAGGAATAGTAAACTTAGAATAATAACATATTTACAGATTTAGATCCAATTGTATTAATATGTTAAATGTGTTATACTAAAAAAATTCTAAAAGGCTTTCAGCCAAATATAATATTTATAAAAAGTTAATATTTTTATAGTGAAAATGCATGACCAATAAAAATACAAAAATGAAACGAACAGACGCATCATGAAATTCGATTGCCCAAATATTTGTCACTTGTTGATGATTAATATTCATCGTACATATAAATATGTAAATACAGCATATAGAAAACCACCTGATCGAGAGTCTGTTTTATTGTTTACCAAATATCAACAACGCAATTTAAAAAGCCGGCAAATGGCGCAAAGAGAGCGAGAGAATGGCATTAGAGTGGACCATTCTGGAAAGTTTGTTGGATCTATTTATGTTTGTGCGTTTGTATGTTTGCCTGATTGTGAGTGGAAAATAACATGGCTTTTGTAATTTTCCACATGTAATGTAAAAATACTTTTAAGTATAGAAATCCACTAAAAAGTTAATCTTTATGCATTATTTCACCCACACACGCTAACAAAAACCGGAAGAAATGCTTACATATGTATGTGTTTGCAGGTTTATTTACCTGTGTAAGCTGTGAACTTTCAATGGAAGGTTGCGGGAATATTTCCGTTTCGAAACTAAATGTCAAGCTGTATGTGGGAATACATATTTTTATGGAGTCAAGTCAATCGCTCTAAACAAAGAAATACTCTGGTGAATTGCATTTGCGATAATCGAGGAGCTGAGTGCAAATGAGTTCAACTTAAAGGAGGCTATAAATATGCACTCGCAGGGACAGCACACCGACTGCATGGGAAAGCATTGGAAAAGCTCTCTGGCCTGACTTTGGGTGCTTGGAAAGGCGCTGTAAGAGAAAAGGAAAATAAAACACAATTGCAAATATAATTCAGTTTTGGTTTTTTGTTTATTTTATAAGTAATACCTAAATCAAACTTCATAATTTGAAACGCACTAAGGCTTAGCAACTAAAACGTGTAAGTCTGAATTAGTTTAGGAATATTTAGAAGCTAAGTTTTTTTTGTTTGTGAAAATATAAGCGAAATAAAATTATTACAAGTTCACAAAGTTTTGCGCCGCATGAAAACTCAATGCACAATACAAATGCAAAGTGTATTTCCAGGTGGCTTTTGATGTTCTCTCTCGTTCTCTCTTTTCTTTGCTTCCAGCGACTGCTGCGATTTGATTTCAACTGTTTTTCTCTTCTTTCCTTTCCTTTCTTTTCCTTTAAATTCGAATATTTCTTTCCCCGTTACTTCTTGCTTTTTCCGTACCGCTCCTCCGCCTCCGATGCCCTGCATCAGTTCTTGCAGGCGGCAGCCTTTTTGTTGTTGTTGGTGTTCATCAGCTTGGTTAGAATCTTTCGGGAATGGCCTGAGGGATCGAAGTGGTTGGTGTGTTCGGTGGCCTCCTTCTTGGAGCGCTGCTTGCCGCTGTGGCCAGAGAAAATGTGCTTGTCATGGTCGAAGTTGTAGTGCTCGTATTCATCAAAGTGCGCCTCGGACATAATGATGATTTTAAGTTGCACAAACTAACTGCGTTGCGATTTAGATTTTTCTTATATTCTTCTCTGCAAATTCGCAGACTGGAATTGAATTTTTTTCGGTCGAGCAGCTGCTTTTTATAGCCAGCCGAGCTTTTAGTGCGCGTGAAAGCCCTCTCTCTGTCAGAGTTACCAGACTTTGCAATTTAAATTAGTTAAATGGAATTTAAACCTTCAAAAACAACAGTTTGTTGAAAACCAAAGTTTAATTCTTCATTTACAAGTTGTTGCGCATCTAGTGACTTATTATTTTTTTTTAAAGTTTACTTTGAAATAAATAAAAAATATTTTAATTTTCCCTGACAACCCTTTGGCTCTCTTTAAGAAAGAGAGCGCCAGCTTTTTGTCCATTTTAGCTGCGCAATTTAATTTTTTGTTGTTTACAAAGTGCGCGGTAAACAAAAAGAAAAAACACACATCGTCAAACATATTATTTTGCCTTGTCCATTTTTTTAATTATTTAAGAACTTTTCATAATACATACATACGTTTCAAAAGTGTTATGTAACGCCCGCCCGGCTTGGCCCCCACAAATGTACATACGACCCCCAAAGTGCATTTACCCATCATTTATTTCCCCACATTTTAAATATAGAACTAAATGCAACATGAAGTCTGGCTGATACACCACTACACTGCGAAAATTTTTTTTCCTGCCACCCAAAAAAAAAATGAGTATTACCATCTTTAAATTATACTTTCAAAAATATCTTAGTAATTAAAAATCTATTTAAAAAGCGTTATATTGCCGAAAAAAATTATTTTATCAATTACCAATGCATAATTTTTAGTTGGGTGCTTTAGAACTTGATCGGGTGACCCAGTTCCCTCCCACTCGAATATCATTTGTTTATTTCTAAAAACCAAAAGCTTTAAGTTTGTTTTGGTCTAATCGTTTTTATATATGTACATAACCAACAGATGTTACGTAGCGTTCTTTCGGTGATAAGGTGCGAACTATCGTGCTTGTTAGTCATTTAGCAGCTATTCGTTCTAAAAGTTCCTCTGGAACTCTCGAAACGACGCAATAGATCGTATCACATTCTTTGATAAGATAGAACGGACCCAACAATGTTGTTCAAGAACCTTCCACAATATATCACAACTTTGTTTACAATTCATTGGTATCAAACCATTTATGAATGCTTTTCACGGTTCCTCTTTTGTCTAAAAAGGGAAACTGGTTCTTTTAATTATGATACTAAATTGGTCTTTCTAAAATACTTCATTTGTAAGTTCTGTTGTAAGTTGAGTGATCACTTTGAAAACCTACTCAAGTTGTGATATCACAACTTGTTTGGTTATCAAGTGTTAGTAAACATGATGCATTTTAAGAAAAGTTTCTTCTTTTATCATAAAATTGACCATTTTCAATGTGATAATTCACTTTTCATAAATCTCTGTTTGGTAGGCATTAATAATAACCCCTAGTTTTATTTCTATTTAACCGTCTCCTTGGGCAGTAGAGTTTTCAGTCGCTTGTCAGAATTGGTATCCCTTTTCGCCGTTCTCAGTACTTTCTTGGGTTTCTTTTTAGGCGTCGACAAAGTCTCAATTACAGGCAGATCAAAGTCGTCGGGAAAGGAACTGTCCACCGTCTCAGAGAGCTCCAATTGCACCGCCTTTTCCGTGTGCACCCGCTGCACGTGCTCTTTCATCTTGTCGGAACGATGGCTACTAAACCCACACAGCTGGCACTTGTATCGATTCGGACCGTTCTCCGTGTGCTTCAAGGCGTGTCGCTTGAGGTTCTTGCTCTGGCTGAACTTGCAGCCGCAGATCTCGCAAATGAAATCCCGTCCCTGCTTGTGGGTTTCGATGTGTAGCTTGAGGTTCTCCTTGCGATTGGCTCGATGCTTACAGCCCGAAACTGTGCAAGCGAAGAATTCACCGGTGTGGAGCAGTTTGTGGGATTTTAAGGCCTTCATGTGGGTAGTGCTGTACCCGCAGACGTCGCAGAGCATCTGCTTCTCGGGATTGTGCACCAGGATGTGGTTGCTTAGGCCCTGCTTCCACTTGAAACCTTTGCCGCAATGAGGACAGATGTGCGGCGTTTCCGTGGAGTGCTTGGGCTGATGGACGAGCAGGGCAGCTCGAGTGGTGAAGCGAATGCCGCATTGCAGGCAGAAGAAGGGTTTGCGAAGGTCATTTGAGTGCCTGCGAAGATGTGTGTCGTACTCCCGCCAGTCCAGGAATCCCACTTCGCACAGGGAACAGGTCAGATGCGAGGGCTCACAACTGCCCATGTGCTCGATCATCTTCTGCACCTGGTAGCATTTGTAGTCGCAGCCAATGCAGTAGTTCACCTTACTGCTGGATTTCACGGCCCTTGGGTTCTTTAGCTGTAATGAAAGGGTGATATGAAAACTGGAAAGGGAAATGGATGTATGTAGTTCTCACTTTAAAGTAACTTTGTCGATTTTCAAACAAATCATCTACTTTTCTTGCTGGCTCCAGGTTTTGTTCCACCTCTCCAGGAGCCGTAATCTCTGAAGTTTCCTTCACCTCTCCCAAAGGCTGCAACTGGTAGAGATTTAGCAGTTCGGTGACAGCCAAGATTTGCGCCAACTCTCGGAAGTGGAGCTCGTGCTCCTTGGACACGGAGACTATGTCTTCGTAGAAGAAGTCTACAATTGTGTGCAGGCACTGAGTGCAGCTGAAATTCCGGATGGTGATCTTCAGGGGATTGTGGATGGAAAACTGCTGCTGCTTTTGGTTGGTGTTTATCAACTGGCTCTGGGCGGCCAGCACGCAGAAATGGACACTCAGGCTAAGGGAGTCATCCGAATCCAGTTCCAGGAGCAGGTCACAAAACTGTCCGGTTCTCCGCTGATTGTTCAGGTAATTCGACACCTTGGAGTGCAGCGGCTGATGTAGAGTGGGTACGGATTGCATCGCCTGAGAATGGAGCATTTCCATAGCTTGTATTTGGATATTGCCCCAGTCCACAATAAAATCAAAATAAGTTAATGTTTTCAATAGGACGCCAAAACAGCTGTTAAACAGTGTGGTAGGCAGCGGTTTGCTGAAAATACTTCCAAGTATATTTCAAATACTGATTAGTATTTATGTTCGTTACAAATAATAATTTTGAATGTATATATAGATCCAGCATCAATTTCTGATCTTTGCCTATAATCTTTTTAAATCAATTCTAAGAAATTAAAATACTTTTAAAAGCAAACAAAATAATTAATAGCTTTGCTCTAAATGGAGACATTTACTTGTTATGTTTTATTTGGAAATTATCTTGTATAATTAATGAAATGTTTTTTACAAAACTTCGAGTTGCAATTTTTAATTTTCGTTTTCTCAATTAAGAGAAAGTTTGATAGCAGAACCGACCTTTTGTCATTTATTAATAATCAGCATACAATTCTGATCGTGCCAAATATATTTAAAAAAAAACTAAGCAATCAAAAACGGATAAACTAATTTTAATTATTTAAACCTAAATTTATTTTTTTAAATTTTCAAACTAGAAACGCGCACATGGGAAAAATTTGGTTCAAGTTAAAGAAAATTCAACATTTGAACGTTTTTCTGCAGTTTGACGACCCTACATTTATTATAAAAAATAAATCAGGGAATAGAATGATATTCCAAGCAACACCTTCTGAAAATATAAATAAATGTCAAAAAAGGCTCAATAATTAGTAAAACAATCGCTTTAAAAGGCGGACTTTTAAGCCCTATATCAAATAAATACACTTTACAAAATAAGTAGCACACTTAATTTATCTCGAAATGTTTATTCAACAGTTGGCACTCAAATATCAAGCGCTTACATGGAAAGTGGGAAAGTTAAATAAATAAATAAACCCATTCCATAAGCTCTTCTCGGTTTGGTTCTCGCATTTGAGCTTCAGTTGAGAACCGACGCTGGGTTCGGGATGTCACAGATCGCTTGGTTTTTATAATAATTCGTTTAGTCGGTGCGAAGTTGAATTAAATCATAACGCCTCTATTGTTTCGTTTCCTAGAGGAAATTCGAGTATTTAACCTCCAATACTCTTTGTGTTCTAAAAATACCAGAATATTACACTGCCAATTAAAACTGAGTGCGAACAAATAAGTGCTGATAATTTGCACATTGCTGAGAATTTGCCTGCCCCTATTGTTCGGAATCTTATCGGAATCTGATCCCAGTCAAATGTTCTATTTACACAGCCATTGAGAATTTAGACCAGCAAAAATAGTGTATGTAAGCCCATTATAATCCTTCAATTAGCATTAGGCCTAATTACAGGGAATCCCAGGGTAAATAGAGATTTCAATGAACGGCACGCAACTGCCGAGAAAGTCTAAACATCTAAGCTACATAATTTACACAGAGTTTTCTTGCTAAGCTCAAGTGTCGGGTTCCAATTTGTTTTACAACTGCCACCCCTGCAAGGCATACAGATAAAGATCTGAATTAGCCACTGGATTTGGGGCCTGGGTCTCAGTTCATTAAGTCCGGAGCTCTTGGTGCGAGCGGTTGATCTGCAGTGATCTCTCTCGGGGTGTCGTGTTTATATTACTGCTCTGATTCCGTACCGCTGATTAACGTCAGTTGCAATCAGCTCGAATCAGTAGTAATTCAATCAGAGAAATGGTGGGAAAAATTATACAGCTTGCGCTGGTGGTTCTCCTCGTCTCCTGGACGGAAGCTCAGACCGAATCCTACGAGGATCCGAACAATCTCAAGGTTTGGCTGACCATCAGTGCCCGCAAGAGATTCCTGGAGGTTTCCTGGAGCAATGCTCCGGCTAAGGAGGGTGACCAAGTCCTCGTAACAAAACAAGATGCCCTCAGCTTCGAGACAAAGCTCCTCCCCAAACGGACTCCGCTGGCGGCCTTCCACAGCGAGGAGGGAAGTGGTTCCGGCGAAGGATCCCAAAGCTACGTGCCGATCAGTGGGTTCACAGTCCGACCGGAAACTAAATCGGACTCAAACGAGGTGGAGCAAAAGTACTGGGTGGCCAATGGAGGAGCCACGGAGGTCGTGGCGGCCATTCAACCAAGTCAGGGTCTCTCCACCCAGTGGTTCACCACCGGACTGCCCTTTGACTACGCCTTGTCCAGGAACGTGACAGTTCAGACCTCCTGCTATGGCTTTTGGGCCAGCTACATCGACGCACAGGGGAACATCCTGGCCAAAACTTGCCTCAAAGTATTTCCTCGGTGGATGAATAATCTGAAGTCCAAAATAGGGGAGATGCGCCTGCGAGATCTCTTCATTCCCGGTTCCCACGACTCCGGTTCATATCGGCCCAACTTCGATCCGCTACTCAGGGAAAGTCTAGTGACCAAATACGCTCTTACCCAGGACGACGACATAAGGGGGCAGCTGATGCATGGAGTGCGCTACCTGGATATTCGGGTGGGCTACTACCGGAACTCCCCGGAGCCCTTCTTCATCTACCATGGGATCACCAAGCAGCGGCCCCTTCAGGAAGTCATCAACCAGGTCCGGGACTTTGTCTACGAAACCAATGAGATTGTTATCTTCGGACTTAAGGAGTTTCCAGTGGGTAAGGAATGATATAAGATTTCTTCTTGAAATCCTTGAGCTTCGAAAAAAATACATCTTTCTATTTTCTTAAAACAATATTAAAACGAGGAAGATAAGTCTTATTTCTTTTCAAATTTGAAAAACAAAATCAAATCCATTCGGATTAAGAAATCCCAATTCCTGTTTCAATTAGGCTTTGGAAAAGGACTCGGCGTGCATCGCCTGTTGATCAGCTACTTGCGCGAGCAGTTCCAGGACCTCATAGCTCATCCTTCGCTGTCCTGGCGCGCATCCTTGCGGGACATTTGGGCCCGTAAGCAGAACGTGTTCCTGGCTTACGACCACGAGGTAATGGTGGATGAGTTCCCAGAGGTCTTGTTCGGATCCGTGGAACAGCGTTGGGGAAACAAGCAGACGTGGGCCCAACTTGAGACATATTTGCGAAACGTTAATGACTTCGACGTGTCGTGAGTTCATCTACAAGTTATTGATTAGATAAGATACATTTATCGCTTTTTACTGCCGCAGACGGTTCTCTAGTCGCCCGGTGTCCGATATGGCGGAGTTGACCCCGGAGACCTGGGACGTCATTTTGGACAAGCATGGTGGACTACGCAAGATGGCCGATAACGTGAATTGGCGGATCTCTCAGCTATATCGGAATGAATTGGGAACGAACGCCAACATCGTGTCAGCGGATTTTATACGGGGCACCACTCTCGTGGAAACGGCTATAGAATATAATACTCGTAAGATTTATATGTAGATTTAAACCACCCTATTCGGGACCATAGGTCCATCACAATTTATACTAAAACTTCCGAGTTTGCAATAATATATTTATTTGCCAAGCGGTAAGTAAAACATCAATATGTTGTTTATTGTACTGCTGTGTGGCTTCCCTAAACATGTCACATTTTACAGTTTGTTCCCATTAAAGCGTATTCAATTACTTCCTGATTGTATTAAAAAAGGAATTAGGATTGTAGCACCTATCCATAAACTCTATAGTAAACTTTTGTGGGAAGTGAGCCAAAAAGGCCTTGGGTTGTGTAAAACCTGTTAACTGATGAGCTTGCTCAAATAAATACATACATTAAACCAGGGATTGCCATTAGGTGTTGAGATTTAAAAAATTTGAACCGAAAAAATGTAGGGAGTGAAATTTGTACATAAGTTATTTTTTGAAGAATACAGAAAAAGTATTAATTTTGTTGTATTATTTATACTTAATTTTTAAGTTTTTAAATAAAAATTAAACAATAACTCCTATATTTTAATTTTTAGTAAAAATTCACCAAGAATTAGAGTTATTTTTCAATTTTTATAATACAAATTAAATTTAAATATCTTTTTTACGGCGTGGTCTATTTTAAAAAGAGACTTATTCATTTAATCTACTCTTTAATACCTTTTTCTTATTCCCTGTACTAAAAGGGAGCAAAGAATGATTTAAACCAAAAATAATTTTTGAATCTTTAAGATAAAAATTATAATTGGTACGGTCCCTGGTTAAAACTAAAATCTAATCGATGCCGATTGCGCTGTGAGGAATGCCAATTGTCTATCGAAAATATCATACAAATGGGGCAGGGTTTTCTTAAGACTGTTTACAATTTAACAAGTTTTTAGTGTTTTTAAATATCATTTACGAGTTTTTTTTCGAACTAAATGCACGAAGCCATGTTCTAGAAATAATTCTAAGGGTGCGGTATATAGACCTAGTTTATCTTTTCGTTCGATTCGATTACGGTGGTGTTAAAGATGGCCCGACAAATCTCTACAACGGAGTTGGACAATCGCCCGTAGCACTTGGGCTTATTTTCCCAGGCGATGAAGCAATAGTAAAATGGAATGCCGGCCAGGGTGATACCGATACCAATCAAGAGATTACCCGGCTCCTCCATATTCGGCAGCAGGACCAACGTCACGCAGCTCACCATGAAGATAATGGGCAGCGCAAGATTGACTTTAATGGGTCGTGGCAAGTCAGGCCTGGAAGAAAATAAAACGGTAAGTTATTCAGAGTTCTAAATGTATTTGTCAAAACTAATTTCTCTATTTTAATATACAATAAAATGTTAAATGTATTGGAAGCAAAAAATTGTATTTTTAGAGGTAAGTGTCATGAGGGTTTCTATTTATTTAAAATATTTTCAACCCGCCTTGCAAATTTTGGAAATTTCTATTTAAGATAACAAATATTTTAAATAAATTTGTTCATAATCAAAAGTAAGGTTAGTTTTAATTATTCTTGAAAAGGGGACTATCCGAAATAGACCAATAGTTTTAAACCAAATCGTTTCCGTATTTATGATAAAGTATTATGTAAATATGATAGTGATCACAATACCTCTTATGGCGAAGCCACAACATTCCAGATATACTGGCCACCACTGAAAGCCATAGCACCGAACTGAAATAGTTGATCAACTGGTAGACATTATCCGTGAGCAGCATTAGCAGCGACATCAAACACTAAGGGTATATATGCAAATATCATATCACAATTCTCAGGTAAAATGTAAATAGTCATTGCCAACTTACTGTGAAAATCAGGGAGGGAATTGGAGTCTGTTGCTTCACGTGGAACAGCTGGAAAAACTTGGGCAAATGCCCCTCTTGAGCTCCAGTTGCGAACAATCGCGCCGACGTGAAGAGCACCCCGTTCACACCTCCAAAGGTGCTCAAAGCCACGAAAATTGGCACCATGAAAGCCAAAGGTCCAAACACACGGTTACCAAAGGTCACCGCCACGGCCAACGAACTAAGCATCTCCGGTTTGCTGACCACTGCAAAATAGGCCAAATTAACCAGAACATAGATGCCCGTGACCAGGGGCATGGCTATCCAAATGGCGCGTGGAAGATTTCTGCACAAAGAAAAAATAAAAATATTAATCTCTTTTCTTATCTTTATTTAATTGTTTAAATTCGCCTTTCAGAGATGGTAAAAGAACAGTAAGTATAAGGATATTTATATTTACATTCCATACCGTTTTTTTTTGTATTTAAATGTTATGTGCAATAATTTTTGGAGCTTATAAACCATACTTGTGTTAAAAGTTGCCAAAATAGACGAGCTATTTTGTATTTATTTTTATTTCCATTGTTGGAATACCAAAAGTGGGTTTGTGAGATTACTGCCGATCGAAAAGATCGGTGTGCACTGCGGTAAGATACTCTGTTTGGACAGATATACACTATAGATATTTACAGAATAAAAAGGTTTGCGAAAATTTGGGGGTGTGACATTTAGCCAAGCTTGCAAACAGTAAAGAAACAGAAAGACATGACTATATCGACTCAATATATATAATGTGTAGGTTAGGAAATGTCTTCTTTACTTCGCAACAAAATTTAAATTAATCTTACAATATCATCAGGGTATACAAATATATTTTAGTGGTAGAAAATGTCTCCTTTAGGGAGCTAAAAATTTTAAAACAAATTTTCAACACCTTTTATAAAGGTATAAAAATATGATTATAAACATTAAACTTTTTCATTGTATTATTAATTTAAAAATATTTACAGAACAGCTTGTTTAATAGAAAAGAAATCACGGATATTTAGCAGGTTTCTTTTTTGTACCATATCCAAACCTTACTTTATATTTAGTTAAGAACTATCATTTAAAATGGTAAATTTATGGTAAATGTTCTATATTTCAAGGTAAATATTTATCGGGACGATAACCAAAAAAGTTAAAATTTTTCTCCGTGTGAATAGGAACGTGCTGTTTAACGAGAATTCCACTTGGCCTGGGAGGAGTGGAGCACTTAAATTGATTGCTGCGCTTCGAGAGCAAATTGAATTCGTTAGGGAGCAGGCAGCATCCCACCCACTTAGACCCATGACATCAAGGACGTTCAACAAGTTTCAACTTGTTGCTGCCTGCGCATGACGCATAAGGCATGAATAGGACATATAATCCCGACTCATTCCACTTGTGCAGCCATTTGTCATGTTGCCAGTATAGAGCCCTGAACCCCACTACTCACTTGTACGGATCCTGCAGCTCCTCCGTGACAAAGTTCAAGTAATTCCACCCGCCGAAGGCAAACAGACCGGAGTAAAAGGCGTAGCCAATGTTGCGGGAGGAGTAAGTGCCCTCCCAAGGGTTGCTAAAATTCTCCAACTTGCCCGTGGCCATATAGTACAGTCCGGCCAGGATAATCATGATGAGGGCCAATAGCTTGCCCACTGTGAACACATCCTGCACCTTCATGGACACCTTCACAGACAGGCAATTGATGGCGGTAAGCAGAGCTGGGAAAAAGAGAATAATTAAGGTTTCTCATTGCCCTTTATTAGTTAGTTTACTTACTTAAGCAAACGGCTGCCAATAGTTTCACTGCGTTCTCCGGTGGGTCACAGTCCGGGAAGAATGGCTTGGCGGCATAATGGGCGAAGGTTAGGGCCACTATGGTCTGTAAGCAAAATCGTATTATAAGATTTTAATACTTTTAACTAGTTAAAATCTTCTGTTTCATTCGTCCGCCTAGTTTTCATTGGAGAAAGTTGTTGTTTTTCGTAATTGAATTCAATTCCGGTCGAAGGTAGCCGCCACTTAATAAATTTCTATTTATTTGCATCAACAACCAATTCGAAGCGCTGCCCATCAATCAAGACAAATAAACATTCCGTAATTCAATTGACGGGCCTCAGGCACTGACCTGCGTGGTTGGCCGGATGATGAGTAGCGCTATCCAGAGCCGCAGGAATCCCACCAGCGGTCCAAAGGACACCAACAAATAGGCGTAATCCCCTCCAGATCTAGTGATGCTCGTTCCCAGTTCGGCGTAGCAAAGTGCTCCGATTGTTGATAGAATCCCACATGCCGACCAAATCAAAAGGGAGCTTCCCACGGATCTGGAAAATGAATATGAGGGTGGAATAAATAAACAAACCAATTTCGTAAAGAAATATACACAAATACAAGGCAGATTCATTACTATTATGGTGTAATGCTATTTCAGAATTTCAATTAGAATTTCTAGCTTAAGATGTTAGTTAAATACTATTAGCTTATTATCTTATCCCAATTCAATGAAATAAATCACTTTAAAAACAAATTTAAAAGAACAAATTAACAAACATTAATTTATAAATAACATAGTTGTCATGAATAATTTGCCGGAAATTTTTCCAACTGCCTTACGCATATGGCGCACACCTTTTTTGTGCATCTTATCAATAACTTAAATGTTGGCACTCCTCATTGACGTTATTCTTGTAACTGGAGACAACGGGCTTAAAACCACTTTAAAGCTGACGCAATATTTGTGCAAAATTTCAAGGGAGAATCTTCGAGGGAAAATCGACAACTAATAAATTCATCTTAATTGGCGCTAAAGGAATGTTTGCGACAATCTATTTATTAATTAACAGTTAAATTGACCTTTTTGTGAATAAATTGAATTAAGGATGATACTATATGTGGGCATAATTCCACTCACTCGGTGTAAAAAAAGACTCCAGTGGGTGCGATGAAGATGCCCGATCCAATAATGGTCCCCACAATAATAGCCACTCCATTGATGAGGGTTAGCTTCCGTTTCAGGACAATTTTCTCCTCTCCCTCGCTGGGATTTCCTGAGGCAGTGCGTCCATTTGTGGGCTCAACCAGACTGGTGGTGACTCCATTGGCATATCTGTCCGTCATGATTGAGTGCTGAAACCTGGTTCTCCTCTACTGCTGAGTAGCTGACATTGCCACTGAAATGTACAATCAATTTGAATTTTAAATTTCGTAGGCAAGCTTTTGCTATTAGTAAAGTTTCAGCACGTGTTGCGCAAACTGTAAACAAACATTTTCATTTTTTGTCAAAGACTAGTTACTAATTGCTTCGTTGGCAGTGAACTAATCTCCACAGACAGACATAAACTTTAATTGTGTTTTCAGACACCGCTATCTTCGGTACACAAATTGAAGTTTTAAACTGAGGGTTTTAGGGTTGACGTGATATTTTCCCATAGAGGTAGTGCGTGGGTTTCGTAGTGACGCCTTAGCCGCGTGCCAATTTTCACGATTTCGTCATCACCGATACTGCATTTTCGACGCGTGGCAATGAAAATTGCAGTTACGCTGCAGAGTTGTGCTTTCTGGCATTTGCCTCTTTGCTTTTTCGCAACGTTTGGAATGCAGTTTAGCTGATTATTTCGGTTTATCTAGTCCGACTTCGACTGCGTAAACACGATTTATTACCTCGAGCGCGACACAACAAAACGGCTTCGACTGCGAACAGCGACTGTGCGTTGGCATCGAGACCGGCATTTTCATACTAAAATTAACGCAATTTCCACCCCAAAATCAGAGGGAGAGAAAGAGAGAGAGAGACAGAGAGCGATTCGCGAGTGTGCGTCATAAAACAAAAAAGAGCTGTTTTTAGAGAGAAATAATTGCTCAAAACCGGAAATTGGTTTCGATTTGTTTGTTTACAAATGAAGTGAGGAGGTGTAATTCTAAAATTGCCATTGAAATCTGATTGTTAATATTTAGTATATTACAGAACAGGTGTCACGTTTAGTTTTCAATAACAAAAATTATATTTTTAAATATAAATTAAATCTCCCGCCTGAAATTTAAGAAAACTTGCCAGTCACCCAGAATCGCAGCTGATGCATCGATCAATTATCGATAACACACCATCTGTCGAACATTGCTCATCTCTATCCCTTTAAAGTTATTGTTTTGATAATTGCACGTGTTTTCTTTGATTGCCGTTTATAAACCTAAAACCAGCAATGTCGGACAAGTAAGTGGAGTAAAAACAACTTATTTCTGATATTGTAATTCCACGTCATATATTTTTACTCCTAGATATGCAGTTCCCAACAAATTGCCGGGCAAAACAGTCTCGGTGCTGAAGCATCGCAAGCGGCGGATTCTGCAGGATGAGTCGGTCGTTACACAAAAGAGAAATGACCGGATCAAGAAAAGGACCGCCACCAAAGATCACCACAAGTTCCGACGCGCCGAATCCTTCGTAATGGGCTACTTGAAGGCAGAGCGCACGGCCAAGCGAATCAAGCAAACCATTTTGCGCACCAATGTCACCGAACAAAGTGCCAAGGCTGCTGAGGATTGCAACCCAAAGCTGATCTTCGTAATGCGCCATGCGGGCAAGAAGATCTTCGACAAGACCACTGCCAATATATTTCGAACCCTGCGGATGGGCGCGCGCCACAATGCCGTCTTCCTAGAGAACAACAAGGAGAACCAGTTGCTGCTGCGCGTGATCGAACCCTTTGTAGTCTACGGCAATCCCTCGCTGAGCTCCATACGCGAGTTGGTCTTCAAGAAGGGCTTCGCCCGCATCGACGGCAAGAAGACAGCTATCCAGTCGAACACGATGGTGGAGGAGCAACTGGGCGATAAGGGCGTGATCTGCTTGGAGGACATCATCCACGAAATCTGCACAGTCGGGCCGAACTTTGCCGCTGTCAATGAATTCCTATGCTCCTTTATGGTGGGTTTAGTATTTTTGTGGCTTTCCTATAACAATCTTAATCCTTCATTTGATCTTTTGCAGTTGTCCAGTCCCAGCAATGGGTGGCAGAAGAAGGTCTCCGTCTCTTACAAGCGCGGCGGAGAATACGGCGATCGTGGCAATGCCATCAATGAACTGATTGCCCGCTGCCTGTAGAGAAATTAAGCTAGTAGACCTTTAAGTGATTGTTCAACCTCAATAACCCATTCTGTAGCTAAGCCCAATACACATTTATATAAAAACTGAGCCTTGGCATCTTAACTGATTTTTTTTAAGTCAATAGAAAGAAAACTTATGAATAGTAAAATACCAAAATTCTCCTTTTAAACTGTTCACTGTAGGCTCATAAAAGCAATACTCAGACCATTAAGGAACCACATGAAACTGTCTCTAACGACGTTCCTCATTATCCTACATGTTTATCAACATGATAAACTCCACCCACGAAACAAGTTCCTTGCTTCTTGGCCTTGCGTGTCCCAGCCAAGTTCCCAAATTGAACAAACCAGAAAATCAACTTTTTTCCTACGAATAATAAATAACTCATAATGGAGCACGAGCCGCAAAGGAAGGAAGGGAAGGCAAGGAATGCCAAATTGAGCTACTTGTTGCCATGAAGGAGGGAAAGTTGTTTTCCGATTAGTCGAAATCAGTGCCACTAACCTAGTGCAACTCAGAACGTCGTATTCGGAGAAATTCGGAAAAATTCTAGGCACTACAAAATTTATTTCAAAATCAACGATTAATTCATAATGAATTCAAGATTTAGCCCCGAGGAATGGGAAATGGACCGTAATGGATTAAATAAGCTGCTGGCCAGATCGCTTAAGGAGCCCATTCTGGGAAAGCATTTTGCCCTTCCCGGCCGAACAGGTCAGGGCCAACCCATCGAACTGGACACCAGTCAGAGCTACATTGCCGTATACACTCATCTTAAGGTGTACGCCACCGGAATGCCAGAGAGATTGCCCACACCAGAGGCGATTGGACGAGTGCAGGCGGAAAACCAATCAAATTTAGAGGGAAAGACTAAGACTAAATCTGCCAAGGCACGCGGAGATCCTGTTTAATTTGCTTGTCGGTTCTTTTAGAATTTTCCTTTCCTGCTCGGAAGGCATCCAAAACCCCAATCGAGTGATTATCGAAATATTTTAATATGTATGCTTGATAATACAGCGTCAGCTTAACAATTTTTTTTGTTAATAAATCATTTTAATTGCAAATAGAATAAAATTTAAATATTGTTTTCATAGTTTCCGAACCATATAGCGAACCCGAGAAGTCAGTGAAGCAGCAAGATCATTTTAACTAATATAACATTTAATTAAATATAAGACATGCTTCAGATGATATATGTACATCATATCGTTTTCCCAAGTTCTTGCTAAAAATCGTTTTAACAGATGTGTTTGGTCCTTGCTCAAACCATTTAAAAGATGGTTTCAATCTGTGTGATTAATTTGTGCTTAAAATTCTTGCTAATTGAGTGTTAAATTAATGTGTTTCAGTACGACATTCAGATTGGCTTCTTGCCAATAACATTTCAATGCGGCAATACGTTTCTTGCTATTAACATTAAATAAAGAGTGTTTCTTTGTTATCCTCCACCTCAATTCTGCAGGATACGCACGGCGTTGTACATCTGGGCTATGATGGGCAACTGCTTGGACTCGCGCCGGCAGAGGCACTTGTAGGCGTGGGAAAGCAGCCTGTCCAGGGCGGCGACATCTATTTCGTCGGGCTTGGTGGCCGCAATTTGGATGTTCTGCTCCGTCATTGGCTCCTTCTGCAGAGCGGGGCGAGAAGTGGACGTGGATCAGTACTGCGGATGGTATACGCCGGCAGCACTTACCAGGTTGTCCAGGTAGGCCAGCAACTGGTGCCCTACGGAGGCAATCTTCAGAAACGTCGACTGCGAGCTCTCTGCGTAGAGATTAAGCCGTCGGCCAGCTATCTCGAGCAGCAATCGGCCTAGCTCCTCGTCTTCACTGATGTCGTGGAGCAGCATCTGGGCCTCCGCATCATACCCGAAAGCGTACAGCTCCACCACCTGGAGGAGGGAAAAAATATATTTAATATATTTTTATTCCGTTGTGTTTCCTCTGTTGTGCTCTCTAACAAACTAACGAACGAACTGAACCTTAAATCTGAATGACATCCCCACCTGGCCATAAAATAAATAACATGGCTTCCTAGTTGTGGGTCAAAAGTCGTATGGCGCAGGACAACAAATTGTATCTTTTAAAACGTGCAGGCTTATGCGTACAAAATGATGGGGTTTATTAACGAGTGGTATCTGCGGAATAAGGTAGTGAGCAGGTTTTAAATAAAAATTCTTACATTAAAATAGTTTCTATGCATTAAGAGGAACCTATTGTCTATTGTTTAAGATAACCTTCACCTTTCTATTGCAAAAACTGTAATTTATATTTTTACGGATGACGGATGTATGAATTTATATTGAAATCCTAGTCGGGGATAAATTTGTGGGTTTAGGGTTTTTGAATTTTTTCCCTCTCAGCCTAAAAAACGCCAAAGTACTTTTTAAGTTCTTACTAAAAAAAATTATTTTGGTCAGAAGTTTATAACGCAGTGAAGGAGACGTTTCCGACCCCATAAAGTATATATATTCTTGATCAGGATCAAAAGGGGAGTCGATATAGCCATACCGTTTGCGAGCTCAGCTTAGCAATCTGAAACTTTCACAGTCATCCTAAAACATGTGTAGGCAGATTAAGTTATTATTAATATTTAGTTATCTCGTTTTCAAGATATATTCCCCAAAACTTACTCAAAAATTGTGTATTTCTTAGGAACCTAAAATCGGGAACAATTTTCTACAAAATGGGTCATTCATAAACGACATAGACATCTGGCAACTCCGGCCGGATGCAAATTTTATATAATATAAATAATTTTTATACCCGTTACTCGTAGAGTAAAAGGGTATATTGTATTCGTGCAAAAGTATGTAACAGGTAAAGGGAAGCGTTTCCGACCCTATAAAGTATATATATTCTTGATCAGGGTCACTAGCCAAGTCGATATAGCCATGTCCGTCTGTCCGTCTGTCTGTCCGTCCGTATGAACGCTGAGATCTCGGAAACTATAAAAGCTAGAAGATTGGCATTTTGCATGCAGATTCTAGGAGTTCCTACGCAGCGCAAGTTTGTTTCAAAAAGGTGCCACGCCCCCTTTAACGCCCACAATCGTTTATACACTATTTTAAAAATTTAAATATTTCGGAAAAGTAAAAATGCAGTTTTATTGTGTTTATCAATACCTATCGAAATGTAGAAGAAATTTTTCAAATCGGACCATTTGTTAAAAAGTTATGCGTGGTCAAAGTTTCTATCTCCATCTCCCTCGCACTCCCTTTACCTGAGTATCGAGTATCTGATAGTCGGGGCACCCGACTATAGCGTTCTCTCTTGTTATATTTTATTTTATATATATTTATATATATATACTTTTTTAAATCCAATTGTAACTTTTTTAAATCCAATCGTAACTTGTTTATGTCTACTGATCCAGCCCTTTTATAGAATTATGCATGGTGGACGAAGTAAGTTTCTTAATTGTATACGTGGTTAAATTTATATTAAACTACAAAAAGTGCAAACAAATTAAATTGCTGCTTAGAGTTTGGTCCACTGGGTGACATTGGCCCTAAGAAGCGTAAAGTTCCATCGAACACATATTTTCATTCCCTTGATACCCACTTATTATGGGCCTAACGTCGAGAGCTTTGTTTTTAATGGGTGCCCAGGGAATTGGTCGTCATCAGTGATTGTCTTTCATGTTTCTTATTTTTTAAAGCTATTTCCTCTTTCGAAAACTCAGCTGCGAAATTTAATAATCGCCTCAGTTTCGATGGCGATGAATATAAAAGGGAGTAATCTTTAATCAAGGGCCAGTCGAAATTGAGCTATGATCGAGCTTTGGTTTTTTGGTAGAGTTCCTATTCGAATTCTTGTGAAATTTACGCGGGCAAATTTGCAATATTCCCGGTTGATCACGTATCAAAAGGAAATCCGCTTTTTATATAATCTATTCACTATTTCTTGAGTTTCAAAACGCGAGTGAATTACTTAACCCAAGCTTAAAACAGGACTGCCACCACGATCAATAAAATCATACCACGCTTTATAACTCAACCAGTTAACTTTCCGTTTCTGTTTCTATTTGTTTAGGCGATGTGCTATCGATGATATGCATTCCCCTAACGATCGCAGTGTATCTTTACATACCGACGTTTCGAAATGTGACCGGAAAGTGCATTATCAGCAACCAATTGTGCCTTTTCATCTTTTATATCAATTTCGATTTCGTTATTGAATATTTGAACAATTTTTGGAAATACATGAGCGTTATTTTTGGTATATTATAGATTCTTAAAACTTTTGATGATATACGATGTTAATATTTATTTATCCTCCTCAGTATCTGATAGTCGGGGCACCCGACTATAGCGTTCTCTCTTGTTATATTTTATTTTATATATATTTATATATATATACTTTTTTAAATCCAATTGTAACTTTTTTAAATCCAATTGTAACTTGTTTATGTCTACTGATCCAGCCCTTTTATAGAATTATGCATGGTGGACGAAGTAAGTTTCTTAATTGTATACGTGGTTAAATTTATATTAAACTACAAAAAGTGCAAACAAATTAAATTGCTGCTTAGAGTTTGGTCCACTGGGTGACATTGGCCCTAAGAAGCGTAAAGTTCCATCGAACACATATTTTCATTCCCTTGATACCCACTTATTATGGGCCTAACGTCGAGAGCTTTGTTTTTAATGGGTGCCCAGGGAATTGGTCGTCATCAGTGATTGTCTTTCATGTTTCTTATTTTTTAAAGCTATTTCCTCTTTCGAAAACTCAGCTGCGAAATTTAATAATCGCCTCAGTTTCGATGGCGATGAATATAAAAGGGAGTAATCTTTAATCAAGGGCCAGTCGAAATTGAGCTATGATCGAGCTTTGGTTTTTTGGTAGAGTTCCTATTCGAATTCTTGTGAAATTTACGCGGGCAAATTTGCAATATTCCCGGTTGATCACGTATCAAAAGGAAATCCGCTTTTTATATAATCTATTCACTATTTCTTGAGTTTCAAAACGCGAGTGAATTACTTAACCCAAGCTTAAAACAGGACTGCCACCACGATCAATAAAATCATACCACGCTTTATAACTCAACCAGTTAACTTTCCGTTTCTGTTTCTATTTGTTTAGGCGATGTGCTATCGATGATATGCATTCCCCTAACGATCGCAGTGTATCTTTACATACCGACGTTTCGAAATGTGACCGGAAAGTGCATTATCAGCAACCAATTGTGCCTTTTCATCTTTTATATCAATTTCGATTTCGTTATTGAATATTTGAACAATTTTTGGAAATACATGAGCGTTATTTTTGGTATATTATAGATTCTTAAAACTTTTGATGATATACGATGTTAATATTTATTTATCCTCCTCAGTTGCCCTTGAAATGGTCAACTGGTATGCTTACTTTCTCTGGTTATCTGTAATAAGCTATCATTTGTGGAAAGTGTTCAAGGCTCTCGGTCGCTATGAACAGCCTAATGAGTTCCTCATCTACAGCATCTTTGTCTGGGTCACTTCTGCTATTGTTTTCGCCGTGCAATTAATGGCGCACATCTTTTTAAACATCGATAAAGGTGATTTTAAATATAGCTTTGGGAGTAGTCGCTTTTAATGAGCTTCAATCGAAATTTCATAACTTGATATGGCATTCAAATTTGTTTTTTAAATTTGCATTTTAAAGTCTTTAAAGAAAAATAAATATAATTGCATTATTTATTCGAAAGATTACATATAGGAAACAAACAAACTAAACACCTAATACTGTATTTATCCGTCCATTTTCTTTTATTCACAGTTACTGAATCTATATTAATTTTTTTTCCTTTGGTGGTCGGAGTTACCTTTAATGTAATTATGTTCAGCCTCACTGTTGTTAACATAAAGAAAGTAAAAACAGAACTGAATAGTTTTAAGCAACAGGAGGAGTCGACGACGACCTGCCTTAATTTTGACACCCAGACGTAAGATATTTTAACTCTGCAAAGTAGTAACGAATCATGATATCCACTCCGCATTTTATTACAGGTTTCTTCAGTTTATGCGGATCTCTGTCATGATGGGCTTGATTTGGATCCTGCTAATAATTTTTGACATTGTCTATTACTACGGGTTTTCGTCTCCAGTAATGATTGTTGTTGGATATGTACACAATTTGAATGGTGTTATTGTGTTTGTTGTGCTTGTCCTTAAGCGCAACACGCTGAACATGCTGATGGATAGGTAAATCCTCAATAATTAAGACAGACCTTCGATTAATTTTATTGCTGTCATTTCAGCAAAGACAAAGAGATCGGCTGACCCGTGCTCAGAGGAAAATCCCAGTTTAAATATAGCTTTGCTTTCAATGCGACAAATGATAGCGCTACACCAAAATTCGTAAAATACAGAGCTAAACATTTAGAAAAAAGTTGTGTAATTCTTTTTTTATGTGCCCTTTGTGTATTATATTCCCTATTTTCGATCAGGACTGTAGTTCGTGGTGAGATAGTTCTCGCAAAAAGAGCTACTTAACAAAATATATAACTTTTTTCCTTAAAAATTTAATTTTTTTAAATTTTTTAATGACTATCACAGTCATCCTAAAACATGTGTACGCAGATTAAGTTTGAAAAGCGATCGGACGTCTGTATCCTATAGCTCCCATAGGAACAATAGGATATACCTTGCAAAAATTGATGATATTTCACACAGTGTAAAAGCTATTAACATGAATCTTTCCAAATCGTACTTTTTTATGCATACCTTGATCAGGATAAAAGTGCGTGCCGATCGGAATAATTGTTAATGGCTGTGAAAATATCCCTTTTTTTCTATTTGTATATGTCTGCAAGGGTATTAAAACTTCGGCTTGCCGAAGTTAGCTTCCGTCCTCGTTTATAGTTATTGTTTATTTGAACAGATTGATTGATTATTTTTTATGGAGTACAGAAGCCTACATTATTTGTTTCATTAGTTTTTACTCAGATGTATTATCTTACCTGTTTTCGGAGGATGGGAAGTTTGTCGACCTCCCAGCTGTCGGCCAGAGCGCAGATCTTGGCCATATAAAAAACGTGGTCGAGAATGTACAGCTGCTCCAGGTCCTCTCTGATCAGGTCCATAGTGGCGGCCACAAGGCGGCATAGGAAATCAGTGCGCTGCTGTTGCAGGACAAGATCTGGTGCGGGCAGGACATAGGGCAGTTCCTTGTTGATGTCCGCCAGCAGTGCCTTGTTGCCCATAGAGTCAAATAGAGTGGTCAGCGGTTTGGAAACGCGCAACTGGAAGAAGGACACGAAATGGAGCACGCTACACAGTTCCGTCTGCAGGCGAAGCAATTGCGGCATGGCGTGGTGCTGCTGGAGGGCGAGGAATTGCAGTGGGAGGGCTCCCTCACTCAGTGACTGTTCGAAGTGTAGCTCCCGCTTATCGTGCTCCATAGATGTGGAGAAATGCTGAAGGAACTCCAGACTGAGTTCCAGAAACTCCGGCACTTTCCCGGCCGACATATCCAGATCTTGCTGACACATCTTGTCCACCGGCAGACGGCCCACTTTCTGAATCAGCTTGGCCGCCGCCTGGAGAGGAAACTTCAAGGTGGCATTCCAAAGCATGCAGCAAATTCCATGCTTCAGTGCCCAGTCAGGAGTCCGGAATTGGGTCAAACAGAGTAAAGCTGCCTTAAGGTGATCCAGCGATGAGAGCTGCTTGCTCCATTGGACCATGTACTGCCAGGACATAAGACTTAACAGCACACCCGATTCCAAACTGAAAGGAAAGTGAGCTCGGAGCAAAGCCAATCGCTCGAGAATCGGTTCGTGTGCATCTTTGTTTGATTCTTCCACTTCTTTTGCCATTTCCAGGCCCTCTTCTGATTCTGCCTCCTCGTTGGCCTGCTCTTCTTTCAACTCCTCCTTCGGCTTAATTTTACTTTCATCATCCGACTCCTTTTCCGGTGCCGAGATTTCCAAAATTTTACTGGGATGCAGTTGTGCACTGATTAGCCACTTGGCCGTCAGTTCGGTGACGATGCCTTTTCCGCTGCTCACAATGCTCTTGAGACTGCAGTCGGGAGGTTCGTATGACATCACCGGACCAACAGGATTCCTGCAGGTAAGCTGCTTTCTGCAAGGGGAGAGGTAATTAATTAATTGCTAAACGGGAAGGAGATATCTGGACATACCCCAGTATGGCTCCTAACACGGCCACATCTTCCAGCTTGCCAGTGAGTAATCCCCACTGGGCCTCATCGTGCGAGATGCGTTCCCAGCGCTCCTCCTCCTCGTTCTGCGAGGATTCGTCACAAGATCCCTAAAACAATTTTATAATTAACATCTAATCAGATTTAACTTTCAGTACTCACCTCTTTTCTGCTGCGCCACAAATTACTGGCCACCGTTTTGCAAACAATGGCCACCAGCAAGCCAGAAAACTGCTTGCTCTCCAGGAGAAGTTCGCGTACCTCTTGCCACCACGGTGAAATAGCATTGTAGGCATAGTCGTGGATGTGGTCGCCAGCCAAATCGCAAATGGTCTGCACCATTGCAGCAATCCTGGACATGTCATCCACAACTTCATCACTTTAATTAGAGAAAAGGTAAGGCAAGAGTAAAACATGTCGTCTTAGAGATTTTCTTACCAGTTGTTGTATTTAAAAGGCTTTTCCAGCCAAAACCAAGTAACCAACTTTAGCAAATCCATGCTCGGCAGACACGCCTGATGGATCCACTGTTTGAATTGACCAAAGCACAGTCCTTGGGCAAAAAACTGGCTAAAGAGATCGATGCTTACGACGCCAAACTTGTCGGACCTCTCCGGTAGCAGACTGATGCCATCTGGACGCTCGATGTTGAAGATGCTCAGGTAATCGACAAACTCCTCGGTCTTGTGTTCCTCCTGAAGCTTGAAGCTTACCTCGCGGGTGGAGGCGGGTTTTTCCTTCTCGGTGCCATCGTCCAAAAGTAAAACCAACTTGTTAATCGTCACCAGATCTGCATCGGAGAGCTCAAGATGCTCCACGGGTGGTTCGTTGTCTCCCCGCTGATTGGCTAGACTAAGAGCCAAATAGAGATCGGTCAAGCGCTTATAGTTCTCAATTTGATTGACAAATTCCTCGGAATTTGCCGTGTTGGGGAGAGGTTTCTCAATGAAGGCATTAATGATGCACTGAAATACCCGTGGCTGCAGCTTCTTGTCTTTAAGCAGCATCTCCAGGCACTGTTGGCGGACCTCTAGTGTAAGTAGTTCACTTGCCAGTTCCCCAATCTCGGCAATCATTACATCTTTGGTATCGCCATGATTTAAAGCTCTCAAATGATTTCTAAGACGCCTCAGCATATGGATATCCCGGGATGTCTGCGAACTGGTTTCGCTAAGGGCATAGTGAAAGGGAATGTGCACCTCCTTTAGGCTGCCATCGCTGGGATCCAGGAACAGGCAGTGATTAATGGCAAAAGTCTTTCGTGACTGGCTGCTGCCCCCTGCTGAACCACCACTTCCGCCGACGCCTAGAGCACTGTGATTGTTGTAGACCAATTGCCCGGATTTCGAAACATTAAAGGCGGCCACCTTGGGGCCGTTTTGCAGGGCCCAGATATCCAGGCAGCCCAATCGAGGTGCGTAGATCACCAGAAACAAAGCCTTTCTCTTGTGCGTCTTGATCCCGCGCACAGATCGCTCTTTGACTGGCACGAAGGCGCACTGGGCATCCCGGTAGCCCTTCCACACACGCAGAATAATAGCCTGCTGCGTGTCCACCAGCATCACTCGATCCAGATTATCTGTGACGACAGCTAAGCGTCCACCTGGTGCCACAGCTAAAGTTAGCCCATCTCTCTTTCCGTCGTACAGGCGACAGCGAATCCTCATCGGCGCTTCCTTTGTGGGCACGGGCAGCGGAGATTCTTCGGGCGATGGCAATGGCTCTGGAGCGCGTCGAAAGATCCCTCCCAGCAGGTTTTTGTATGCTATCCCAATCACATCCTTGGCCACCTCCCCTATGGACATCGTTTTGTAACCTTCCTCCGCCTGAAAGAAGCCCAAATAGGGCTCTGCTCCGGCGGCCAGAACCTGTGAGCTCCTCGGCGGCGTGGCATGCACCTTGGCGAAGTATCCAAGGCCGATACTCTGCTGGACAATATAGTCGTATGTGGGAGGCCTTTGGGTGCTGGATATGGCGGCATCGTTGATCACACCCTCGCGCTCCTGTTTGAACTTATACTTTTGGAATGGCACCACATCTGCGGTGGGATACGAACCTCGCTCCAATGCACTTCGCTGCACATTGTGCCGGCAGTTGGTCAGCGTGGGTAGGATGTCCTGGCCCTTGATGAAGCACAGGCAGCGTGGGTAAACAATGTAGAGCAGAGAATCCGCTTCGGAATGTCGCGGGGTGGACTCGAGCTTGACTCCTATGACTGGATCTTCCTGGCAACTGGAAAATATAATCGATTAGTAAGTTGTTAAGTTATTTTCCAGTACTAACCATTGAGAGAAGAGCTTTACGCCTGAGTCCGTGTAGAAAATAACCATGCCCGAGACCAGCCCAACTGCCACGCAGGTCCATTCGATGGCTCCATCGGAACTTCGACTATGGGTCATCGGCAGGCAGGTAAGACTGGTCACAATTTGGTTACGATCCTCCAGTTCGCCACACCAGCTGAGGACATATGTGTTGGCATTCCTGTGGCTGCTCCAGCAGGTGGAGAGGAATGCCAACTTTTCGCCCTGGGCTAGGGCAATCAGTTCTCCCGTGGGCGATATCGCATGGTTTACCGCATTTAACCAGTTGTCATCTGCTTGTAACATACGTATTATGATTACCCGACGCAGGGAATTAAGTCCAAATTAACTCACCGTGTCCGAGTCCAAAGTATTCCTGAACTTTCCTAAAATCACGGATTTCTCCGCAGTGTTTCACTTCGCAAGCCATTGTCTTTTGTTTTCATTGAACAGCTGATTCACTGTATTGTCGGCAGTGCAGCCAGGTTTTCGTTGGAAAACAGCTAGAGCTATGTAGCTAATTTAAATAAGGATCTTTAAAAATATATTTGTTAAGTGTTAATAAAACTACTGACTACCTTGTACATATTTACATTGAAATAAGTATAGCCAAATATTTAGATTTTAACAATTACATTAACAAATAATAATAATTGGCAGCACTGGTGTTATCGCCATTCGCAGTTTGGACTCCAGTGCAACAGGTATCGGCAATCACAACGAACAAGAGCGCACTAATTGAATATTAATTTTTTAAAATTAAATTACAATAATGTATAAAATTATTTTAAATTGCAGTTAATAGGATTATAATCAAGTATGGTAATTTGACATTTTTGAAATATATTCCTAAGCTTAAAAGTTTTTTTATTTGGATTAACTAAGTAAAAATAAAGTATTAGTGTACCAAAGCTTAATTTAATGGCATATACTATGTAATATTTAACATAAATAAAGGTGAGTTTGACAAACTTGAAAAGGTAAAAAAAAAGGAAAATGGCAGTCCTGAAAGAGTATTTGGTACTGACTCGTATTTCCTAACACCAAATAAATATGTTTGTGAATTATGACTTTAAAGAAATAAATAATGAAAAAATTGTGTAGAGTACAGCAGCAGAGAATTATTTTCGATGGGTTCTATATACCTACCAAAGCGATCTTTACCACTCCCTGGATAGATTGAGATGCTTCCACGGAAAAGGGATATGGTTTCATAGGAGACAGTCCTACTATTTATATGGGTACTTACACCTCCTAAATAGTTTCCTGTGATAATTCTGATTAAGCCAGTTTGCTTTTAACGTTAGAGCCCTACAAATTCTTGAATTGGATCCGACCGGCTTTACGACACTTAATTTCGAAAGCCTATACATATTCCACACTATGGAAAATGAAAGCATGGATTTTATTATTTATGTAAACGTTAGCAAATTTTTACCACATAAATTTAAGACTCGCAAATAAAAATGTATTTATTATATTGTGCTGGTTTTTGTTGAAACACAAGGGACCTATGTACAACAATCTAGTACCTTCCCCTGCGCTGATTATACCACCACAAATTTCAGGACTGAAAGTTGGTTTTATTTTATTACATACTCCAATAGTGAGTTTATTGTACTGCAATGTATTGTAACTCGATCTATGATCTACTCTATCGTGGATACCCTAAATTAAGTCGGAGTCGACGCCACTGTCAATAAAGTCCTTGAGCATCAGGCCACAATGATCAGGCAGGAGTCGCGTCCAGTTGTTGATGTGCAGCAGGCAGCTCGGAATGGTGACTTCCATGAGGTCGGAGCGGTGGGCCTCCACGATTCGTCTGGCCACCTGCTTGGGATCGAGCAGGCCCAGGATCGAGGGGAACTTCACCTTAGGGTGCTTGCACAGGCCAGTGTTGGTCATATATGGGAAGATGGTGGTGGTCTTTATCTGCAATGAGGAACAGTGTTTTTAGTATATCTAGGAAGAGATTCAATTTTCTTTACCAGATCCCTGTAAGGTCCCTCTCGTAACTCAGCATGCAATGACTCCATTAGACCCCGAACTGCAAATTTAGTCGCGCAATAGGGAACTAAGTTGGATATCCCCACCAAACCCGCAATCGATGAGAGGCAGATGATATGGCCACGATTCTTCTCCTGCATGTGCGACAGAAAGGCCTGGATGGTCCAGAATTGCGAGAAAACATTCACGTCAAACACCCGCTTGATTTCCTCGTCCGATTGCTGAAGGATCGGGTGGGTGGGCATTATTCCGACATTGTTCACCAGCACCGAAACGTGTCCCACCTCCGTCTTAACCCGATCCGCCAATGCCATAACCTCATCGCGCTTGGAAACATCGCAGCTGGAAGAATGATTCAAACTTGATGGCTTTTTATTTATTAATGGCAGAGCTTATACCTATAGCTGTACACTTCGCCTAGATCGAGGCGTTTGGCCTTCTGCACCGTCTGCAGGTTGTTCTTCTCATCGATGTCCACGCAAACCACAGTGCTGCCCAAGGAAGCGTAGTGAAGAGCCAATTCTCGACCGATTCCGTGTCCAGTTCCGGTTATCTTTACGGAAAGATTTAAAAAAAATTAAAAAATAAACATATATAACATTTTTAAATAAACATAATAAAAAACAATACAAATTTATAAACTTTGATCTGTCCCATTAATATACAAAAACTTTCACTAAATAAATCAGATTACAGTGCTTTAAAAAATTTATTTTTTTAAAAAATTGTTATTTTGAAAAATTAACCCCAAAAAAGTCAGACGAACTTTAAAATAATTCTTTCCGAAGTTTCAATTAAAAGAGTACGCCTGAGGAAGTCTCACTTTTCAACTAACAACACCGTTAAAAAATCTTAAAATTGTAAAATTTTCAAAGCCAAAGAAAGGCACCATATCCTAAACAAAAACAAAAACTTATTTACCAGGATTATCTCCCCGCTGACATCTTTTTGCGGTTTGGGTAAAAAAGCCTGGACCAGGGTGACAAATAACTCCAGAAGGATGCGGACAGAGAGCAAAAAAAATTGCAGGACATCCTGGAGCACATCGAAAATACGTTTTGAAGCGGGGGTCGTGCTGAAATAAAGAACAAATATAGTGCTAATATCGAAGCGAATATCCCACCAATTAGTCGCGTTTACAGCCCACTCCGAGTTGGCAAATATTTGAACAAAGTTGAGGCCCGGCAAACCCCGAAATGATTTAATTTATCTATTTGTATGCGCCCGCTGCATGTGCAATGTTCAAACGGTCAGACAGAAGGCGATCGGTGGACTTTGCCAAGTCCCCATAATATAGTACAACATAAGATAATGGAGACTGCTGAGACTGCCTCGAGTATTGACACTGGGTCTTGGCCTCTTTTCGGGTACTCAAGGGCCTAAGTGAAGTACAGTAAAAGCTCCCTTGGTTGGAAACCTATTCATTTTAAAATGGGCCTTAGATTTTAAATTAACGTTAGTAATGTCTTGTTATCAAACAATTTAAGATAAACTTTAACTTTTTAAAAATAAAGTACATTTTAGTATTTGAATAATAGATAAATTATTAGATTAAATACAAAATATAATATATAAATATTTAATACAGAATTGTTAACTATTTTAGAAGAAGCCCATGTTTTTTTAGTTTAATACATATTTACACCATTCACCAAAAAAAGGAAGTAAGCAAAGTACATGAAGCTGAGCGCCTAAAGGGTATTTTACTGTATCACTGATAATGATGCAAAATTTCATCTTGCTTATATGTACATATAGCGATAAGAATTAGTACTCACTGGATAATTTCTCGCTCTATCATGGCGACAATACGCATTCGGGTATGTGGTTTCTTTGGATTCCGAAATCCGACGCCCTTTGACAGCGAAATCAAGCAGAACCAACTGCGATTCAATGTCTGTAATGAAAAATAATGATTTTGAGTCACGGATAGTTTGACTGTCTCGACGCTCTTCCGTATTTGCGGGTTTCCTTTTCACAACTTTTGGCTTTTGAGCTTGGCGAGGAGTCGGTTTTCTTTATTTTTTATTTTTCCCCGATTTTACAACCGGCTGGCCAAGAGCAAGCGGCGTGGGCGAGTGCGGAGATGGAGCGGCAGTGCAACATTTCCACTTTCGTTTTCGATTTGGTTGCCACTAAATGGAAAATTACGTGCACTCCAATGTGGCACACAGAAAAAGAGACTTACGCACACGAAGATATCGCGTTGCAGGGGCGTTAAAAGGGGGGACTGCGAGTGTTGACTTCCCCTCAATAATGATTGAAATAATAACAATAAATATATAACAATTTCTACATAGAATATTAATTATCTTAACTTAATATTAATTAACTTATCTTAATTTTTATTAGGAACAAACCAATTCAAGCATTTATTTATAAAATGGATTTAGATTTGATTGTGGAAAACAAAATAATAATAATAATAAATATGTATACAAAAACAAGTTATTTACGGTTTTATCAAATAAATTAAATATCTATAACTCAATAGTACTTAACGTAAAATAAAATAAAAAAATAGTGCCTACTGCCACTGCGTCCTAATGAATGGCGCTCGATTACGCGGAGCCAAAAATGAAAAAGTCTCTTATTCTCTTGGTGCAGTTCTCTTCGTTTTGGCCAGTTGCAGCGTTTGACTCTTTTATTTTCTTGGTAAGAGGCAGGCATGGCCTGCTGCAATGGGGAAGCCAAATGTTTGTTGCAACAACCGAAAGCTATAACCATAAAATGCAACGAGGGTGTCTATAATACTTTTCCTGCGTTACAGTTGCCTAATCACTGTTAAATTTCTTAATGCTTACATTTCTTTATTATTGCATACTGAACTAGTTTAAACGTAATTGAAGGTAGTAAGAAAAGGTGTTATGGACAATTTGTTTATTGTAAATTCCTTAAAAGCAAACCAATTTTGTTGCCCTAAAAAATGTTGGTAAAGGAGTGACAAGTTTCTAAACAAAGAAGGTCTATAAATATATACAGAATTTGAGTTCGGTTTTAAACTGCTGACAAGTGCAACATGTTGTTCAAAAGGGAATATGAGTTTAAGTTTTGTATAGCATGATATTTTAATAGCTTAATTATTGGTTTTTGTCAAACACGTTAGTTGGTTAGATTAATGTGTTAATTTTTTGTAACAGTCATGATATTCAAAAGCCATTATTATTAATGAATCCGTTTAGCTATCCTCTGTGTAATCACTTGTTTCCATTTATTTATTAGATTTTTATGTTTACTATGTAATATCCTGAAAATAAAAAACTTGTTTTTCAGTTTATGGGGTCTTTAAATGTTGTCAAATCTATTTGCGGCAATCTCATTTCACTTTCACAAAATACACAATTTACACCGTATTATAAAAGTTTATAGCCTAAAGCCCGCGAATATTTAATGCATGTATTAATTACACAATATTTCCAACGGATCGTTGGGTGTAAATAAGATCCGAGCCCAAGTCGAGACTGGAACGACCGATAAGTCTCGTTGTTCGCCGCCAAATGATTCCAGTTGCTGGCGTTCCCAAGCGACGAAGCCTTCACTTAAGTCAATCCGATTGGAAACACAAAGAGAGGGCTTAAGAGCGTTGGATCGTAAGAGAGCCGGATCGCGATCCTTGGAGGCCATCGCAAAACAGACAAATGATTGTCACTTTGTTTCCCCTTCCAGACAAAAATCATAAAAACCGCAGGTGACCTTCAATAGTGTCCAGACGAAAACAAAAGACCGGGAAGCAAAAGCTGGGCTTCAACCAAGTTGGCTAAGCATGATTTACCGTTTTCATGTTTTTCTGTTGGTGTTTTGAGATGAGTAAGCTTAAGTTCGTCTCCAAGTTCAAGTTCAGTGATCATAAACAAGGGAAAGGGAGCGCCGGAGCGACATCTGGATAATGCCCTTATGCCGTCCTGTCCTTGGCTGAGCTGATAATCAGAGTTTATGTATGTGTGTATTTTTTTATCGAATTTCACTTTTACTCTGCATCTTATTTTTGCTTTATTTCCCTTTTGTTTACATACTTATCACTTGTTGAGAATAAGGGTGTATTGTGGTTGTGCACAATAAGTAAAAGTTGAATGATAGGTATCCGAACATATAAATTATATACATATAAATTATATACATAATACATTAGGGTGGTCCAAAAAAACTTTTTTTTTACCGGTAGATTTTGGTGTACAATAAACTAAATCGAAATCAAAAAATTAAATTTTGAGTTTTATAAAAATTACTCATACGATACGTATGCCAGTTGAAATTTTGTACTCATTAGTCTCGTTCAAAAACTAGTAAAAAAAGCTGAATTGTAACATTTTATTTGTCTGTTTAAGTGAGCGAGAGCAGGACCTTAAAATTTGAGTTCAATTTTTTTCATTTTGTTTGCATTGACAGCTTAGAAATCTAAATCTGTGTTACTCAATGCCTATAGGTATGTAATATATTTTTTAAAGATTCGTTAGTAGCAGGTATCCCATGGTCGGGACAATCGATTTCTTGTTTTATTATCTGCTTGGGGGAAGGTCATCGAAGGGCTCTCCCCGCATTTGCCGTTCAATTTAACGCGATCGACGACCCGTTCACATAATTGGTGTCAATTCTGAGTGCAACATCAACCAACATCAATACACATGAGAAAAAATCACTAGCTACAATTGCACTTTGCAGACTGTTAATTAATATTGTAACTTTTATACACAATGTATACATTTACATTTAAATGGTTTGTTTCTGAAAACTGGTTGGTTTGTCAACAATGTAACAAATCAAATATGTTTAAGAATAAATGTGAGCTACTCAGTCTGAACAGAGAACAAATATTAACGCCCAGCCTGTCACTTCAAAAATCGGTCTGAGCACAAATCAAAGTAAACAAAAAAGTTCTGCCTATTATGTACTTCCCCCAGCCCCGCCCACTCCCGGTGATTAATGGGTGGGGTTATTAGGCGGCAGCCAGCTTGTTGCTTAATGTTTAGTCTTTACGGTTCCTTTCCACCCTCCCCTTCTATTCTACCACCTTGCTTTTCTGCTTTCATTTGACTTATCGATGTGGCGTGCATTAACAATCAATATGACATGTCAGGCACCTGAATAAGTTGAGGCATAAGTTTGGAATTGCGCGAGCCCAAAAGGGTGGAAAGCTTATGGAATTGACCAAGTATATACTATATGTATATCTGATCTGATCATGTTGAAAATAGCCACTAATGCGGCATGTGTACGATTGTTACTTGAGCCATACCTCATATACTATACGTTGAAAAATGCAAATGAGAAATAATATATAGCATGATGAAGCTTTTTTTTTTGTTGTGCTCTCAACAATAAACATTTTTTATTTTTACAAAAAACTAAAACACCATTATTAAATCTTAGAAAAATTGCCCTGAACAAAGTGAAAACTCATTGAGCCTTGACATTGAATAGCATTTGTTGCTATGTACCTACACATGTTCCATTAACGTAACATGTTCTTTATTGGTATACATATTAAAAAACATTGCACTTGGTATGTTTTGCTTATTGTCAACCATCAATTCGTCTGTTTGTCCTTCCATTAACATGCACAACAAAAAGTGAAAGTTAGTGATTTTACGGAACGCGAAACAATAATACCCTATAACAAATGAGCATAAAACTAATTTGATTACATATATATAACAATATATATTAATTTAATTGAAATCGTACTTATAGACAAGAGCTATAAGCCAATCATTTATAATTAAAATTGTTTTAAAACAGTTTTCTAAGTAACTATGTCATGAAATGACTTTTTTCCTTTTTGCTACAACCTTTTCAATACAATGTTTTCATATAGTTTCTAGTTAATGACACCTAGTATTATTTTACACTAAGGCAGAGCAAGTTGTCTGAAGATTCGGCAGTACTCGCCAGCTTTGTAGGGTACTTAATTGGCCACGCAAGTGGCTGTGCTGCAGTCGGCGGCGGCCTGAAAGGCGGCTTCAGTTGCCGTCGTTGAGCCAAGCGGGAAACAACGGCCAATCGAGTGCGGAAAGCGGAAACCGGAAGCAAGAAGAAGACCGCGAAAGGGGAGCTTTGAAATGTGAGTGTCTCCTTGCCTACATTTTCTTGTTTTCCCCTCGGTTTGTGTCTGTGTGAGTGCGGTGAGCTCGTGATTTGTTTACCTGTCAAAATAATAAATATAACTTTTGTTTTCGTGGGGCATAGAATACGGCCAGTTGTTGCTGTTGGCATTGGTAGCAGCGCCGAGTAACAAGCCAGCGAAGGACTCTCGACGCCTGTCTGCCTCTTCCTTCCTTTTTCCTATTCTCGGCCAAGTGCAGTGTCAAAAGTCAAACGAAGGATAATGTGCCTGTCCGACAAGAAAACTGCCAGCCAATTTCGTGTAACTTCTGTCCAAAACCAAATCTAAGCCTGACCTTCTTTAGGCCCCCGTGAAAGATCTGCAAGAAGAAAGTTATTTATGCCAACTATGTCCTTAAATTACTTTTTATTACAAGCTTTTCAATACAAAGTTTTTATAAAGTTTCTTAAATCATGAATATCCATAAAAAAATTATCTTATGTTGGGGGCTAAAAACAAACAAAACAGGACGTTTTTTACAAGCCAATTTTTCAAAAGTATATAAATTCCTTTTTTTTTTATTTGCTAAACATAACGCCTAGATAATTGATTCTTAGTTCTAAGTTAAATTCTCAGAGAATCGGAAACACGAAGGTAAAAATACAAAAATAAAAGAGTTTCGTTTTATAATAAGCCTAAAAGTATGCAAGCGATTTCACCCATCTCCCACTCTATCCTCTTAATGTCATGTCTGGTTTAAATAGATTACTGCCATATCAACCCTTGACAGGTCTACCTATCAACAAATCAGTCAGGATGTTCCTACAGCAGCGCCTTTATGGGGCAATCTTTGCTAGGATCCTTTCGTCGCGCCACAGCCTCATGAGCAGGCCTCCAAGCAGATGTTCGCCATTGGTCTGGAGGCTATCCCATCCTGTCCAGCCCATCGGAAAATGCCGCAAGCCGAGTCTGTTGGAACAGCAGCGGGAGCAGCCGAATCCTTTTGGGGAGGATTACCGCATCTACCAGCAAAACGTGGACTTGGATGCCTTCTTCGGCGAGGAGCCCAAGTACGAGAAGGTGTCAGATGTCTGCTTGCTGAATGATCACTTCATCCTGGTAAAGATGCCGCCCCCAGATCCTTCTCCTCCTCCGTTAAAGTCAAAGATTCCGCGGTGCTTTAAATGTAACCGCGGCAGCCGGGTTTCCCCCATTCTAGAGGAAGCGGATGAGCAGTCATCTCCGGCGAAGTCCACCTGCTTGCAGCCCTGGTCAACGCGCGACCAGGACGAGATTGAGGTTTTTGAATCTAGTATCAGACTTTCTAATACGCCAAGTCAGGCTCCTCAGGAAGTTCCCGCGATAGTGGAGCAACCGCATCCCACCCTGCAGCTAGAGGCGATCCAATCGGTGGTTCCTGGACAGTTGCAGGTCCCTTCCACAAGTCGGGGACCACTCCACTGGTTCCTCTGGCCCTTCCGCCGGCGTCTGAATCATTCTCGTGGAAAATCCAAGCCCCAGCTGGCTGCCGTCCACAAAACGTACTTTGTACGATGGAATAAACCGCCGGATACGCTCTGGCCTGGATTCGGAGTGGACACGGTGGAGGAAAAGAAATCAGAACTCCGACGATGCCGCTCGGCGGTTTTCTGAGCCATCTGCTTAAGTTTTTGTATATATTTTCTACGCTTACTACAATTAGGGTCCATTATTTAAAAACATCAAAGGTTTCGTTTAAGACTTTAAATTGAACTGTTAAATGGGATGAAGAATATGAATACTTGTTATTCTTGAACTATTTTCTATACTATAAATAAACAATTCTTCCTTCCAGTTTCGTCTTACTTTGTTTTGGTAAGTTTGACATTTATGTACATATACTAAGTAAATACTTACAATATAAAGACGAGTTTGGTTAAAAGTGAGAGTTTAGTCCGTTTTGCATTTATAGTTTAAAGATATGGTTAACATAACTGAAATTAATTTACTAAGCATTAAATTAGAGATCTATTTAAAGTTGAAAAGTCCTTAAGATTCAAGTTTAAGTATTTTTTGAGTCATTTTACAATCAAAAATTGAATTTTAAAAATGATTATTAATATTAAAATTTAAATATATTACAAAATTTATTTGAAAATACAATATATTTTACAATATTTAATTTTATATCTAAAAAGTTCATATTTTGAAAATAATATTCGTTAAATGCAATCAATAGTCAAAACTATTGCTCTAAACAAAATTGGATAAAAAGCTAAGATAGTAGAAAATAAATTAAGTGTGTTATTTATATTTTGTTAGCTAACAAAAACTCCACTTTCAAAAATTTAAGTAAGGCGTTGAAAAATACCTAAAAATGTAATAGAGTGTAATGCTAGCTTGGCGATAATTTACTTAGCAAACTCCCTTAAACTATCAAAGTATCCCAACTCAAGCCCTCATGGGCACATGTCAAACTCCAATTTCCGCATACAAAATTAGTGGCTGCCGCGCCAACTTTAGCTTGCCACAATGTGTGTGGAGCCTCGACTCTGGGGAACTCAGCGGAACTGCAAAATAATACAAAAGAAGCCAAGAAACAAAATACAAACCACGTAAATTGCGGGGCCAATGCAGATAGAGCCAAACAGCCAAAGAATAAAAAGCGGAGTTTAACTCCTTTTTCAATGGAATTTGCACGCGTCCGTGAAGCCTGAAAGTCTGAGGGGCATAAGGGGTATAAGGGGACTTTTGGGGGCTTGGGCTGTTGCTTCATTAGCTTTGGGGCCTGAAAATGTCGGGCAATGTCGTTCGTTACTCCCGCCACGGCCGGTAGGTGGCGCTGCCACAGGAGCCCCCAACTAATTACGAGGCAGCCCGCCAAGACCCGGTCATAAAAACAAGTTCATGATAAAATGCCCAGGTACACGGGGCAGAGGGGGAGAGGGAAGTGGGGTGGCGGGCTGCCATAGACCGCAAGCACCCTGCGCCACCATATACATAATAATAAAATAAAATTAAAACCGTCACGCCAGGCGTCAGTGGAAGTCCCAGTACCGGCCAACAATCGCGGCACAAAACAAAGCCATCGAAACCCCAAGCGAACCGAGTCCACAAGGAGCTACTCTTTGAAGCTGGGGCCTGCACCCAGGGCTGCGTCCATGTCCGGGCCAGGTCGACAGCGGATCGGGCCAGCGGGTCACCGTAATGAACCATTAATATGCGAGTTCCCCCCGAAAAAACCCCGCGATAAGAACAGCGCGCTTTTCCTACATTCAAAATCGAAATCGAACTAAGAGCCCTGGACACGGAAAAATAAAAATGATTAATTACTTGGAATTTACTAATTATGTCCTTTAAATTTTAAGATATTTTACACTCACATTGTGTAATTTCTGAACGGTAAAACTATTCCTGGTGGTCACGCTATTTTAGCTTTTTTGACGTTTTCAAGTTTAACACAACTTATAGAAGTTAAAACTTAAAATGTTATATTTTTAAATAAAAGAAACTATTAGTTTTGTAAAAGTTCTTAAAATGTTTTTTTATGATTATAAAATAATTTAATCCTTAAATTTTAAATCCAGTGCTGTCGCTTACTCTAACAAACTTATAAATTCATGAGTGTCTTAAATGTATATTACTATTTCAAGATTCAATTGATTTAAATTTTTGAATTTAATTATAGAAAACTAAATTAAAATGAGATATAACTCACTGTATCATTCTCAGTGTATAAAATAGAGTTCTCCATTGTTTTCCCCGCCGCTGCGAAAGGGCGACTTGTGCTTATCATTAATAATAATGTCGACATAGAGGCGAGCGCATTACCATTTGGCCAAATGCTCAATTGGATGGCTTAGACTGCTTATAATGTACATGAAATGGGCTTTGTTCTATTGTATGTGGCCATGAGGTAAGGGGCAGTCAGGACACCTGTCGAGGGCGGAAGGTAAATGCAACAAGCTGAAATCGAGCTTTCAGATGGTATCTTTTGCAAATGGGGAGTATTTAAAAGGGATTAAATAAGAAGTGATGGTACCAGAAATAACGTTAACACCTAGGCAAAACGTTACATACGGTTTAAATAATAAATAAGTTGGTTACTTTTAACTAATTTCATGTACAGCCTTAATTAAAATTGGAATTGGTCATCTTCCGACTTTATTCGTTCAATCTTATATTTGCTTATTATTAAAGGACATATTTTGAATGTTATTTATAACAAAGAATTTAATATTTGTAGAGCTAATTTTTTGTTTATATTCACAATTAATTTTGTTATATTTGGCGAGGTTAAACTGTACATAGAACTTTTTTACTGACTAGATAAACAAAATAACTTAACGCCTAAAACATTTTAATTAAATTACTAACTGATTATAATTTGCCGACAAACTGAGGAAAATTTTGAGCAATTTATAAACCCAATTAAGGGTTTTCTTTCTACCAAAATGATCAAGGTTAGATTATGCAAAGATACGAAGTTATTTTCGCCACCTTAGCTCACAATGCCACACCCTATTAACCCCCCAGTCGAGCATCTTTTACATATCCAATTCCCAGTTCCAATACAACTTAAATTAGACAGCCAATCCGGCTGGCAGCTCCGCTTAATTGGTGGAAAGTAGCGTAACCGTTCCGGCCACGTTAACTTTGGCACTCCGAGTGCGATGGAACCGCTCAGCAGCCGACTTGGACAGAAGACACTTGCTGGGCGCAGATGCCGAAAGGAAGCTGACAAGTTGTCAAAGGAGAAGGCGAAGGAGCAAGAGGTCCCGCCAGGCATTCCAAATCGATTACGAGCGACTTCGAAAGATCAAAGAGGGAGTGGGACATACAGCCATCCCGTTTTCCCTCCAGCAAGGTGTTTATTAATAAAACTCCAACTATTTCGCTGCGAAAGAGACGGCTAGCCGGCAAACGAAAGAGACGGCGAAAGAGCAACAGAAACAGTTGGTGGTACGCAAAGTGTTGACAATGTCCAAAGTCCAAGTCGTTGGCACCGACTGCGCAACGACCTTCGTCCTAGAGGCCTAGGGTCCTGGGCAATCATCGTTAATGATGGCAATGTCCTTGTGCGCCCCGATCTGACAAATCAATTTGTGCGCTAACAGCATGCGCTCGACTCCCAGCCCGTTGCAAGTCAGTGGGATAACTCGAGGTCGAAGGTACCTTCCTCGATCTCCTTCTGCAGCGGCGATGACAGGGATCACAGTACGAGTAGTTGGGCCAACAGGCCAAACCAAATGTTTGCCAATACGGCTGGAATCTGTTTGGACGGTTCGTGGTGTGCAAGTGTAGCTGTTGACAAATGAATCTCAGGGGGTATCTGCGTATGACAATCATAATATCTCAATCAGCTCCTAGAACTGGAAAGATCCTTGAAACAATTTTTGTTATATTTCAATAACTAATTTAACTCACTTATAAATAAGTTTTATTTGGCATAATGGAACTCTTTTTTTCAATCGACACCCATTGAAGATTTATGAACTTATTCTGAAAGTTTTTAATATAGTTATGCAATTTATATTATGCTTAAATTCTAAAGGCTATCATTTATTTTTGATTTATTCATAATTATGATTTTTTAGCATGTTAGATTAGGTTGATTTTTGTTTAATCAAGTGATATAAGGGCATTGCATTAAAAAAATGTATTCTAGAACTCGATTTTAATGTATATGAATAAAATGTTCCCAAAAATGATACAACTTTGAAAATTGGTGAATTCACCTTCAAAATTATTCTATGAATATTAAGGTATATTTTCTATTCGAATATAATAATTCGATGTTGCGATTCCATGTCTATAGAGCCATCCTTTTCTTGTTAAGCCTATAATTATTTCTGTAAGCATAATTGCTTCATTCAATTGGATTTCTCGATACATTTTCTGTAATCCCCTTTATTCCTCTATTATCCTTGACTTTCGGACTTTCATCCAACTTGGCCATCCCAATATCTTCAGCTCTGCTTTGTACAGGACACCTCATTAGCAGGGATTATCGCTGCAGCTCGGAAATCAGCAGACAGGGCTCTACCTATCCCGACATAGAACCTCTACCTGACTTTGACTGCGTTCGAGTGACTGACTGACTGACTGAAAGCTAAGCCTTTCCTACTCTCCTGGCTTAACTCTTGCCGTCGAAAGGACCCTTTATCCTGCGAGGAAAGGGGTTCGTGTCCTGGCTGAGCGATGAGCACCGCGCACGAGGACGAAGAATGACAGCAAATAAAAGTTTATGACTCCGTCGTAAACGGGCCGAAAACGAGTTGACCTGGCCGGAGGGCTGTGCGCCGTTTACTGCATTCTTCCTGGCAGCAAAGGATTATTTCCGAAACGGCCTAATCCTGGCAGTGCGAAGTGGCGAGTGCGAGCGAGACAGCCAGCACTGACGCTACAAATCCTTTCGCAACCTTTGACCGATCGCCTCCTGGAACTGCAAATTTTGATTCGCAAACTCACAAATCCCCTTCTTGGGTTAGTCCACCTTGCTGTCGAGTAAATATTTTGAGGTTTTGCGCTGCTTATGTGCCAGGCAACGCCTGGGTTTATTGGTTCATCATCGGATCATCGGCAGGTAGATCTCCATCGGGACCTGCCCCAGATCCGACCGACATCCACAGCAACAATTAATAAAAAACTAAATTAAATTTCATCTCGAGTCGCGTCGTTGTAAATTACTGTTTTCCCTGCCTTTGATGTTCAACACTTTGTCAGCTCATTAATCACGGCTTAGGGGAGGGCATAATGCCAGAGTGCCAGAGTTGGGGAGCAGGGAGATCGGCCTGTCCATGATCTCTGGGTAGCCGTAGCCCCAACTTCCATTATCGCCACGGCAGCCTCTGCGTTTTGGAGGTTACATCGCCGAGCTTTTCCTCTCGCAGCTTTGCTGGGTAATTTTTGTATCGCTACCGAAAATTAATGCGTAATATTTCGGATTAATCGTTTCCCGATCGAAGCTTTCTTTGCTACTGTTGCTGAGAATTTTCTCCCCAGCTCAGTGGGTAACGAATTAAATCGTAATTGGTTTATTAGCCCAGTTGGCGACTTTGGGCGCTATTAAATTGGCATTAGATGTTGTCTACAAATGGCCTAGGACGTCAGATAACAAGATGGGAATCTCAATCGGGGGATTATGGTCTTTGAAAGAACGAAATCAACTAGATCTAAATGGATTTTGTGCAATTTTCCTTGCTAATCTTTCGGTCTACCTGGAAAACCTACCACTCGCAGATTCCTATGTCGATTGTAAAGTCAATATTTACTTTTCTCTCTCTGGTCAGAGGAAAACAAACAGCGACTAGGAGTTTTTTCTAGATTAAAATAATAGAGCCACTGATTTAGGCTGTCTGAGCCGTCTGGAGGTGAGGACTCAAGGATAATGACTTCATCAATTGCCATCGCTCAGACACGTAGGATGGGCTGATCCCCGAAGATGAGGTGTGAATTTGAGGTAAGTCCGAACGAGGGCAATTACTCTGTTCGATGGAATCGAGGGGCCAATTAACACCTTGGTTGGAGTTGTCTTCGCTCTTCTGATAGGATGTTTTCCGTTTCGGCAGTTTTCTCTTTTTCCGGAAACTAAGCGACCCCTCACAGCTTGATCAGCAGTTCCGAGAGGAGTCCTGTTTCCCGGGGTGGCTGTTGAGATCTCCAGCCAGGTCCGTGGAAAGCGCAGCTACTTAAAGGCTCTAATGGCCCATAGGATTTCCCATTTCCCGCTGCGAACAGAAGCGTGTCAAGGCTGCTGAATGGATTCGAGGATTTCGAGTGAAAGATCTTGGAATACGGGATAAATTAGCATAGATATTTATTTTCAAGGCACTTGCTACTTATTCTATTCGTCTTATGTCCTAAACCTTAGTGGGTACTATTTACTAGGTCTACTTAGCTCTACGAATTGGAACTATTTTGGGGGCGAGTCTGTCAGATGTTTTCCCACATGGAAAACGTCAGTACTGCCCCACACAAAAATGTTATTTTCATGTTTCTCCCCTGCTATGTATGTACATCTTTGGCGGCTTGTTCCAGGGACCTGGCGACACCTGCTCCTGCTCCTGGAGGAGGAGGTGGTGGTGGTGGAGGATCCGTTTCAGTACCAGGAGTGATAGAACGGCTGTGGCGGCATCGTTGTGTAGTTGACCTTCGAGGGCGATGAGAAGGCGGCGGCATTGAAGTTCTGCGGCATGAAGTGCGACGACGAAGTGGGTGGCGGATAGTGCGGATGGCCGCCTGCGTACTGCGGATGCGCATGCGGATGTGCATGCGGATGTGGGGCATGGGCATGCGGATGTCCGTGATGCGGATGCGAGTGGGCATGTCCCGGGGCCGAAGGATAGGTGGCATACTGGGGCGCATGCTGATACGGGTGGAACATCTGGTGGGTGGTCATCTCCAGAGCCTGACTCGTGGAGCTGGTGGAGTTCAGCGAGTCCTCCGGCGAAAGTGGGGCATTGGGACGCAGCGCCTGCATGGAACTCCATCCCCCGTACAACTGCGACTGACTGGCCGCCACTAGATCCGCCGTTTCCACCTTCAGGCCTGCGGACAGCTCCTCACTGCCAGCACTGGCGTTGGCCAGCGACTGCGAGGGATCGACGCCCGCAGCGCCTCCACTGGAGGTCACCCCGCCACCACTGACCACAGCCGAGAGGCTGTTGGGTGTGGGCGGCAGCTGGCCAAAGGCGGAGGACACCGACTCGTTGGGACTCTCGTTGCGCGGCATCGTCTGGTGGGCATCCGCTTCGGTTCCGTAAACAGAGCCCAACTGCGTCTCGTAGCTGGACACGATGATGTTGCCGGTGGGTGTGGTGTTGCCCGCCGCCTCTCCCGCCATTATGTAGCTGGCCGTGCTCCCGTTCGGGTTGTAGAACTGGTGGTGGAGCGGCGGAGTGGTCGTGATTCCCGGCGAGAGATTGCTGCTGCCCATGGGAGCGGCGGCGGCGGCGGAAATGGAGATGTTGGCGGCACTGCCGTAGAAGTCGTACTGCTGCTGGTAGAGGGGCACGGAGGCAGCGTCCAGGGATCCCGGCATCATGGCCAGCGGGGCCATGCTGGGCACACTGGAGACCACGCTGGGCAGCGAGGTGGCTGTCGGCACATGGCTGACGGAGGACACTCCACCGGGAGCCACGGCGGAGACCGAGGTGTGCTGCTTGCGGAGACGAGCCCGCCGGTTGCTGAACCACACCTGGATGCGTGCCTCCGTGAGATTGGTGCGCTGGGCCAGCTCCTCGCGGGTGTAAATGTCGGGATACTGGGTGCGCTCGAAGGCGCGCTCCAGTTCGTCCAACTGGGATGCCGAGAAGGTGGTCCTGCAGCGGCGTTGCTTGCGCTTCAAAGCGATTCCGGGCTCACTTTCACAGTCGGAGATGTCCTCGTCGGAGGGCTTGTTGTTGTGATGGCCTCCGGACACATCGGAGCCGCACGAACTCGAAGCCTTGGTAACACCGCCCGACGGAGATCCCGAGGCGGAGGACAGATCGGTGTCCAGTGGGGCATCTCGGCCACGCACCAGGCGCGAAATGGCGGAGACGGAGGGCGCCGTGCTCCTGTCGCAGACGCCTTCGCGGATTAGCTTCTCCCGGATCTCCCAGGAGAACATGCCGGGGTTGCTGCGCTTGTAGTCCTCGATCCTGTTCTCGATCTCGGGGGTGGCGATCCTCGGCTTGGAGCCACCAATCACTCCTGGTCTGATGGAGCCTGTTTCCTGATATCGGTTCAGGATCTTCGAAACGCATCCGTGGGACACGCGCAGTTGTCTGGAGATCACACAGGGCCGAATGCCGTCGGCAGCCATCTCGACGATTTTTAAACGGATGTTGTTGGGCAAAGGACGACCGTTGATGAAGACTCCACCTAGTTGATTGACGCGCCCCTGGCCGCTGTTCATGTCTGCAATGAGGAGAGGAGGAAATGGAAATTTTAGAGGCTTTTCCAATTTGCTAGGTAGCGAGGAGCGCGTGTCACTTGATTTACGACACCTTCGACCGGCGTTGACTTCCTGGGAAGAGGGAAACTCGGAGCTAAGGTCGAAGGTCAGAGGCGCGCGACTCTCCCGCCGAGCAACTAATGGCCATTAGAGAGTCGCCGACGGCCTTGGATCGAAGTGAGATATTTGAGTGATCTTTGAGCAGCGAGTTTAGGGATAGTTGAGGAAGAGATATCTGATGCTTTCTGATCTGTGAGAGATCTGTGATCTCAAAGACAAAGCTAAAAGTGAATACGATTCTGAAGGAGAATGATAAGGTCCGTAAAAACTTGAACTTGAACAAAGCTCAATGTGAATACAATTCTAAAGGATTCTGGATAAAAAGATCCAAAAAGAACTTGAGCTTTTTAGAGTTCCTTAAAATAATTGAGACGTATTTCTCATAAGGCTTAGAAAGCTTCAAATGAAATCAAAGACAGTTTGGAAACGATCAACTTGATATCTTGGAAAGATTTTACAGGACCCTTAGATCTACCAAAGACATTTGGTTCTTAATGATATATAAAATTCAAAGACACTTACCTTGCATGGTAGAATATCCATTGAAAAAGGGTCTGTGCATGGCGGCAGCAAAGGCGGTTACGGTCATAGTTTCTGGAGCTCCAAGAACCGCGAATTTGTCCCGGCACAAAACCGGCGGAAACTCAGTCTTGGAGTTCGTGTATCACTTGGTTTCACTTGAGATTTTAGACGATTTGTTGACACTCTGTCAAAGTCATAAGTTGGCGATGCGAGGTGTTGATTAACCGATTAGTTTCAGAACGAATAGTTTCTGAGGGCACAATCTCAATTAGGCGAAGAGACGGAGGCGAAGACGAAGACGAGATGCGGTGTGACTCGTTGCGCAGTCTGTGCCTAACTGACTTCACCATCCGAACGCCGGCCAAGATCGTTGCCTTTCTGTGAAGCCCCGGCCCAGACGTCGGCCATATCCCACTGCCACTTGGCACTTGGCAGGTAACCACCACGCGGACCAATCGCAGACCGCCCTGCTGCGGCCTCTCGCTCCCACTCGCTGCCGGATATAGCTCTGTATGGCACCCATCTCGCTCAGCGCCGGGGGGCGTCTCAGCACGAAAATGGGAGAATGGGAGAGAATTTTGGATGGATTCTACAGAGGCTCTCAATTCCAATCCTGGGCATGAATTCTACTTCTATTAGACTATTTTCTGGGAGGCTACACCGGTTTCCGGAAATTAAATATTGTATTAAGTGGTAGATCTAATGAAATCAAGTACGCATTTTACACTTTACAAGCGTAATATATCCTTTATTGATACCTCGTTAGAAGGACATAATCAACAATAATATAATCTATGCAAGTCACTTTTGAATGAACTACAGGAATAGTTTGAAAGACTGGCACTCCTGGGTTTAGGCTATTCTCGCTTGAGATATTCTATCGGGTTCCACTCGACCCCGGAAATCAAATTAGATATTCACTGGAACTCATAATGCAATCGAGTACGCATTTAACACTCTTTACAAGCGTAATATATCCTTTATTGATACCTCATTAGGGCTTTTAATTTATAAAGGCACGAGAGCAGCCACTTTTCTGACAGTTATAGATAGAAAACGGAACCGGTTAACCGAGCTCAAAATGTTGTGATTATTGTGTACTAAACTATTTGTGAAAAAAAATACTTGCAAGTGTCGTATTTTATAAATGAATCCAAGCTAATAATTATGTTTAAAACAATATCAATATAACAAAATTAGTACGATCAAACGGTACGTCCGTACGATTGGTTCTCAAAAGCTATACCATTTCAACATCAGATATTGATTAATTTCTTTTGGTTAGTTTCCAATTAAACATTCAACATTAGGCATATCCTTGTCACGCTTTTGAAACCATTATGCTCCGGTGCTCAAGGTGATGGCATCGTTGCGACCCTATTCTATGGGCTGCCCGTGAGTTTGATTAATTGTGGAATTTCACGCAACAGAGGCCCTCAAAAAGAAGTTAAGTAAAACCGCTGGAAAAGAAAGCGCCGAGCGGGATAACAACGAGGCCTAGAAACCAGCGAACAATAGAGAGCGCCAAGTGTTGGGAGAATTAATGATGGACCCTGGTCGAAACGCCAGCGAGGAAATTGGCCCACAGAGACGTGACGAATGGCGCATCCTTCTGGCTAGGATCTGTATCTAGATCCAGATCCATGTACAGATCAAGGACGACGGAGGCCGCAAGTTAACAAAGGTTGGGTTTCTACTGCTCGGTGTGGCTGCCCGTTGGGAGTTTGGTTAAGCAAACCCAACGGGAGGAGTTCGGAGTACCCAGTGAGGAATCCCGACATTTTCGCCTGGCTGGATAGCAAAAACCAGGACGACCTTGAGCCGGTGACCTTGATTGTAAGCTGGTATACGTGGACAATTCAATTGAAGAGGTAAAACAGATATAAACTTAATAGGCGCCTCAAGTTTCGATCAATACTCCATCCGATTCGATCCTTGTTGATTTCACAATTTAGGGAGACAATAAACGCTGAATAGACCACTCATATAACGCTAATTTCGCCCTATCAACGTTTGAAAATAGGATCCTGCAACAGGATCGCAACCCAGGGAATAGAACGGTTCTGGCCGAAATGCAGGAAGCAGTAGGAGGCATCGGTGCCATAAACGCAGCTAGTCAGCTTCGCTCGCATTTCCACGAATCAGCCAGCGGGAAAATGAAGACACATCCGTGCAATGAATAAGGATGCTTAGAGACTTTTTATGATGCCACCCAGGGTGCTATGAATGAAAATCCTCCTCGTGATCGTCAACTTTCGCCAGCGGATCTTCGTACCTGCGAAACTAAAACTCCAAGACTAGGATCGCATCTGATTTGGAGGATCTACCTCGAGAGGCTCGTGTGCTCAATCGATGCAAACAAATAGCGCTATAATCGATGGCAACATTGAATAGATTCCACGTTTTATTTGTCCCTAGTTTTGTAGGAATTTAATATTCCCTCATTCTGTACCGTTGGATCTTAAAGTTAGATGGGTGTAAATAATAATTTTATTTCACAATTTTGTCAAGTTTTTATTGACAAATCTTTAATAATAATAGCAATACCCAACTATATGAGAAATATGCCGTTTTAAGATAATATTATTTTTGTTTGCTTCTTATGATAAGTAAGCATTTGTAAAAATTTTAAAATAAACTAAAAAAAGGTTTTAATTAAGTAAAATAAACAAATCTAAAGAACAAATTATAGTGCGCTTAACAGCAATTGTCTTTTAAATTGTAGCTGTGATCCTATGACCTTTGATGTTGGTTTAATATACATTTAAATTTATTTTAAGTTATACAACATTTTGCATTTTTATTTTTTTTTAGCCAGACTATAGACTAAATATTACCAATAAAATACAATTAAGTAATTTAAAAAAATAGATGTAATAATTTGAAGCCCATCTATATCATAATTAGATATTAAAAACAAAGAAGTCAAGTATCACTCTTCGTGTGTCTTAATCATATTTATTTTTTAGTTGATGGGTATGACCATGTCGTCATCTCAACGTACTTTTTCCTACCTTTCTCCTCTCGATTTCCGCTGCTGTTTGTGTTTGGCAATCGATTCGCTTTGGCCGGACGTAATGTGGTCTGTTGCCACACATTGGAACGGCCTTGATTGTTTCACGTTCCCTGCACCTAATGTCTTTATCAGTCCCTTTGCGATTGTTGTTGCTGTTCCGTTGGATGCTGTGGTGTGCGACGAATTTCCATGCCCACAGCCCACAGAAGGCTCTTCTCGTAGAACGCCCTACGGGATGCTTAGATAATGAACTATTTAGAGCCATGATTTCTTGAAATTAGGAATTTCTGGACATAGCATCTTAACGTACCATGGCATGCCATGTCTAAAAGCATCATATATTATTCTCAGTTACTTATTCTTGGTATTCAAATTGAAACGAAAATAATGTTAATCAAATACCATTGAAGAGCTAATGATTTTAATTCTATAGGCTGTATTGAAAAACATAAAATACATTTTTTTATATTATGTTTACATTTTTATTTACAGTCAATCAAAGTCTATCATATTATTTTATTTAAATTTTGTAGTAAACACTCTTAATAGTTAGTATCAACTGTATCTTATCCAACCGATTAATTACGACTCAGGCATATTATGTTTATTTTTCTTATAATTTTGAATTAATAAAATATCTAACTAATATATTTGGTTAATTGGAATGACAACCACAAATTTCCTAAATTTTTTAAACTTTTTTTTCATTTTTTCATTGTCGGGACATGAATTCCTTTTTGATTTTAACGTAAGTAAATTCTAACTCTCCATCCTGCGATAAGCTCTTTTTGATATTTGATATAAATTTATTTTTATTAGTCAAAAATCTATCTTTAAAAATAAAATAAAGCCGAGAGCAACATTTATAGTGCTCATTATTTGTATTTTCCTCCATTAAACTGCACTTCTAACTTAAATCCTAAACCGACTGTTGATCCTCCGGTTCTGCGTTGATCCTCAAATATTTCCACTCGTTCGTCAGACTGGCAGGCGGCGATTGACTTTTTGCTAATCCGCAGTAAGTTTTAGTAAATACGAGTCCCAGAAGAGGCTCCCTGGTCATGGTCACGGCCCAGCCCGAAAACCAGCCCTCAGAATCTCCCGAGCAGAGTTTTCTCCGGAGCCAGAGCGATCGTAAATCGAAATCCCCGCTAAAGCATGCAAACAAATAGCGGCAAAGTGCGAGATTAGAGGGAAAGTCGCACCAGCTTAGGCCCTGGATCCTGGCCATCCTGACCATCCTGCATCCTGGATCCCGCGGATCGCCAGTTGACTTTTTCAAATATTTGGGAAAAGTTCTCGAGTGTTGATCGCACGATTATAGCGGATAATCGCATTACAGCCCGACGTTTTATTGATCAACATTTGTAAACGATTTGCCATGGCATTTGGGTGGGACTCGCTAAACCGGGCCAAGGACCAAGGAGTCCCAGGTAGCCTGGCCACGGCCCAACTGCCGAAGAAAAAAACGCTGCGGCTTAACGCAGCCCCCGCCCACCGTGAAAAGGGGGCGGATGGCTGAGGGCCTTTCCCGATCTCCGGGCGATTAACCCTTGCTCTTGGTAGCAGTTTAGCCGGGCTAATTGAAGGCATTAGTTGTTTGTGGGTCGCGAGGCGGCTTCCGCAGAACTGCTTTGTCTGCAAATTAGCATATTTCATGTGGCTCGATCGGAGGAACTTCGCGCCCATGCCCACAATCGTATGGTTTTGGCACTCCGACCGCATGACATTCGTCATGCACTCAGGGAAAACACTCCGGGCGAAAAGCAGGACATCATTTTCAATTCTAAAACATGGCACATTCATCCAAAAATATGTTTTTTCAGGGAGTACGGGAATGTGTACAAGAAAGGCATATTCAAAATTAGCCATATTCTATATTCTTTTTATTATTATTTCAAAACCACATTTCAAGTTCAGTTTATAATTATACCCGTTACTCGTAGAGTAAAAGGGTATATTGTATTCGTGCAAAAGTATGTAACAGCTAGAAGGAAGCGTTTCCGACCCTATAAAGTATATATATTCTTGATCAGGATCACTAGCCGAGTCGATTTAGCCATGTCCGTCTGTCCGTCTGTCCGCCTGTCTGTCCGTCTGTCTGTCTGTCTGTCTGTCTGTCCGTATGAACGCTGAGATCTCGGAAACTATAAAAGCTAGAAGATTGGCATTTTGCATGTATATTTTAGAAGTTCCTACGCAGCGCAAGTTTGTTTCAAAATGGTGCCACGCCCCCTTTAACGCCCACAATCGCTTATATACGATTTTAAAAATTTTAATATTTTGGAAAAGTAAAAATGCAGTTTTATT